TTCCCACTGTTGCTTCATCAGGATTCTCTGGCTTGTGGGAGGAGTGCCTCACATATAATTTCATGTTTGGAGCGCTCTCTCTCTCTCTCTCTCTCTCTCTCATTCTCTCATGTTTTACTGCCCTGTTTGGAAGAGAAGAGAAGCTCTACTTTCCAGAAGGGGGCATCCTCATCCTTGCCGCCACTCTGGCATTTCTGAGCTGCTTACCTTAACAGGCATTACAGTTGCAAGATGATGCTAAAGCTGCTGTAATGCATACAACAGTGTAGGGTACGGTTAAGGCCATAGGATGTTCTGGGTAGCTGATGGCAGGATTAAAGAATTTGTGGCAGAGGCAGGAATTAAAAACTGTACTTTTAAACCTACATGGAATGAGGAATAACATCTGTCTGTGAAGAACAGTGGCTGAGAGGGCTTTAGCAAAAATATTGCAGGCTGGGTCTTGTGCATTTGGTTAAATTTATCAATACAAAAGCATTAATTACTTTATTTGAAGATTTTCCTGGAGCACTGCAAGAATCAACACTTAAATACTTTAAAAAATGTTGTTTTGAATTGACATAAAGATTTGCAAAGAGAAGTACAATCCATAAAATCACTTCTTGAGTTTAAAATGTTGTGTGTGTGTGTGTGTGTGTGTACATGGCTGTGTGAGAAAGAGAGAGAATCGTATTAAAGGGATTAATGTGTGGCAGATACAAAGGGAGGAACTTTAATGCTTTCCTTGGATTCACTCTAAATGATGCTACATTTATCAGTCAAGAGCTTAACTTTGTTTCCTGTCACTAACTGTAACTCCACTTATTAATTCAGGCATATTACTCTTTATCCCATTTCTATTCTCAACTTCATTAGGGTGGTATACATGAGATTAAATATTTCCTTATCACACAATTTTTCTTAATACAGCATCAGTGTATATGTTGCTTTAATCAGTTTCTTAAAGAAAAATGGGCTGGCGACACTGACCAGCCACTTAAACTCCAAGTAATTTACAGTGCAGGATCCCATAGAGGATGAGAGGGCAGAAGCAAGGATGACTGCAAACAAGGGCAGTTATCGCGTCCCTTGGCTTCATTCCTACTGAGCAGTGAAATGATTTGATCGATTCAAAAGTTTCACACCAGGGACAGGTTCCTCTTCATGGAAAATAAGCCTTGCAGTGGCTACTAGCTGTGAATGGTGATGTGGCTATGAACGGCCATGGTATTAAATGCCTCACAACACCCCTTGCTAGGGGAAAGTCCTTCTGCTCTTGGATTTTCACTGGCCCTGGGCTGAGCGCTGTGGGAATGGAAGGCTGGAGGGGCTGGGCCTTTCATAGAATCATAGTAGAGTTGGAAGGGGCCATGAAGGCCATCGAGTACAACCCCCTGCCGTTGCAAGACACCAGTTTACACCATCCCACTCAGAGGGCTGTCCAGTTTCACCCCGAATGTCTCCAGTGTAGGAGAGCCCACCACCTCTCCAGGCAGCTGGTCCCACTGCCGTAGTGCTCTGACAGTGAGTGGGGAAGCTTTTCCTGATGTCCAGCCTGAATCTGGGTTGCCGCAACTTGGCTTGATTATTCCGTGTCCTACACTCTGGCATCAGCAAGAAGAGATCTTGACCTTTCTGTTTCTGCCAGCTTTTGAGGTACTTCTAAAGGGATATCATGTCCTTCCTCAGTCTTCTCTTCTCAAGGCTAAACTTGCCCAGTTCTCTCTGTCTCTCCTCATAGGGTAGTGTTTCCAAACCCTGGATCATTTTTGTTACCCTCCTCTGGACCCTTTCTCATTTTTCTGCATCTTTCTTAAATCTTGGTGCCCAGAACTGGACACAGTACTCCCATCTGATCTGATCCATTCTTATAAAAGGAAGGAAAAGAGAGAGAGCAGAATCTCCGATTTGACATGCCAGCGTGGTGCAGTGGTTAAGAGTGCAGGGCTGGGGCTCAGGAGATCTGGGTTCTGGTCTCCGCTCAGCCATGGAGCCAACTGGGTGACTTTGAGCCCGGTGCAGACTCTCAGCCCAGCCTACCTCGCAGGGTTGTTGTGAGGATAAGATTGAGAGGAAGAGAAGGGGGGGGAAGGCAGGCATAAATGCAACACAATGATGGTGATAATGATAAGTGTCCTGTGGGTATATTTATTCTTCATTCCATTTTTATCCTGCTGTTTGTCAGAGAGACGCCAGCCAATGTAAATGGCCCTTCCCTCCCTTGTCCATCTCACAGCAGCATAAGTTGTTAGTCACCTGCTTCTTGACTGAGTGGAGGATTCAAACCTGGACTCACCTGGCTTCCGATCCGACCCACTGTGGGACACAGGTGACATTGACAGAGCCCAGCAGCGACTGACAGCCCCATCCCAAACATTTGTGCCCATGCAATGCGGCAAGAAAAGCATATCATATTAAAATCATATAATATTGACACAGTGCTTCTTCTAAGTGCTCAGAGTGATTTTATTCCCCATACAAAATAACAGCAAAGGCACAGTGATATTTGGATTGGGTCATGTACAAAGCCAGCGTAGCTGTGTTAGCCCATAAGAAAAGAAATCCATAATAGGGCAACCTGAAGCCTGCAGAGCTCCTAGCAAAGCCTAGTCTTTTATGTCTGCTGCCTCTTCCTACACATCACCTTATCTCAAAGTGCATGCGTTATCTCCACCGTACCTCTCTTCTCTGCCCCTCCTCTCGGCTTAACCGCTGGCGGGTTGAAAAATTCTGGAGAACCCAAAACCTGGCACACTGTTACCTTTTAGTAACGATACTGCCCATTTGTGGCTGCTGAAATCATGGTTTTTGTCATGTACCTGTGTAATTGTGTAGTTGTGCTGTATGCAGGCTGTAATTGTGGAAGTGCTCTGTTTTTTAGTTATGCGCTCTGAAAGGTAACTGTAAACCAGCTTTTGGAATACTGCACAATTATAATTGTGCTCTACAGATCTCCTCCTCCTCCTCCTCCTCTTGACTATAATATTAAATTTTGGAGCCATTGATGATGTAAAATAGCAAGCTTAGATGTGATTCCTAGTAAAATGAAAATTATTTAGTATTCTGCACCAGTATTGTTACAGATGGATCACAACATGACTTCAGTAAATAACGCTTATCTCTATAGCCAGAGCCTTACTTTAAAATCTATTAAAAACATTCAGTCTTCTGCAATATTCCTGGAGCCTGCAAAGTTCCAAGAATATAGATCAGCCTTTCCCCCCATTCATACTGCTTTACTACTCTTGTTGCAAAAAGAAGAGTGAGAAAGAATGAAAAACATCCAACTTTCTGGGGAAAGAATTGAAAAGCAGCAGCATTTCTTACGAGTTCTACATTGAACATGGTTCACACAGTAGTAAGAGATGCCCTGGTAACTTTTTGTCTGGATCATTGCAATGCATTTTACATGTTGCTGCCTTTGAAAATGATCTGGACAGTTGTGCTGGTCCAAAACAGGGCAGCAAAATTGATGATGATTGAGCAGAGTGATCCTATTATGCCAGCACTTTCCCACTTGGCTGCCAGTTCACGTCCAGGTCCCATTTAAAGTGCTGGTATTAACTTCAAAGTCCCAAATGGCTTGTGGCCGGGATATCTGAAGCGTCACCCTTGTATACGCTCAGACCTTCAGATCATTTTATTTATGCTTTATTTTGAGTAGTATGAACCTTTTCCTCATTTTTGCAAGGCAGACTAGTGAATAAACTCACTCAAACTATTTACTTATTTGCTGAACCCATGAAACAGTAACCTGTGAACAACTGTTCCATAGAAATTTCTGAAACCGCTCCAACTGATATCATCTTTGTAGCCTTACCCTGTGATAGAACTGAAATAGTTTACCATTTGTTGTAGGGTTTCATCTTATCTTATTGGGATTTTGTGACTGATACTGCTTTCTAAATAGGTTGGAGTTCTGAACACACATCCTTAAAACCTTTCACGTATCCAGTGCCCGAGACAAGATTCCTTCATGCAGGAGTGAATGTGTATAAATTTAAGATCAAATACGGCAACACAACTTGGTAGGTACCACCGTTTTATTAATCTGCAAGCCTTCACTCCTGACACAACATGGCGTGCTGTGGGGCTACTGAGGGCTGGATCTTGGGGCAGAACGGTCCAGGGCTCTGCAGTTCAACAGCTCCCTAAACGAGGGCCCAAAGAGTGGCAGATGTGAAGCAAGCAGGCCCAGTGTCAGTGATTCAGCCAACAAGGGCATGCCACCACTGAACAAGTTTGCCTTCTTATTTTCAAAAACTTTTAAAAGCCTGGGTGACTTCTTCCTGCAACAAAATAGTGCTTTTTCCAGGTAATTGGACTAAGTGCCAGGGCAACAGCAGAAGCAAATTCCATTTTATTCCCATCAGTAATATGGTGCCATGATTTAATTAAGTGAGTTTAAAATGTGAAAGAAAATGTCTTCCTTTCTTTTTCGCTAGTTCCTGTTTAGCAGCTGTAGAATTGTGCCAAAGATCTCTGATTCAGATTTTGTCTCTGAACTCTTTCAATGCCCTTAGGTAATCTAGTCTCTCAATCTCATCTTTCCACCTGCAACATAAAGACAATACTGGCCTCTCTAACAGGGTTGTTGAAAACATTCCTGCTATAATGCGTGTGAAGCTAGAGTGTGTGATCTTGCTGTTATTACTGGATAGATGATGATGACAGAAATTGATCTTTTAATTGAGAATGTTTTCCTAGCTTGTTGTTTGAGCTGGTTAGTTCTTAGTTGTTTAAAGTATCTAGCAAATTAACAGGTTGGAACTAACAGAAAATGCTGCTTATTTTAAATGCTTCTGATTTCTTTCTCGGAGCTGTACAAGAATGATGGTGTAGCGTTACTTCCAGAAAGGGCCAATGTGATAATGCAGACAGATCTTTGGTCTGAACTAATTACAATGCTTTTAGATATCCATTTCCTCTTCATTTCTGCAGTCAAATCCTGTTATGTTTGTCTTACAGTATTAATACTGACCTTCAGGAAGGAGTTGTCAATGAAGAACTTCAGGTATGAGATGATAAAGTTTGGTGGAATTGTCACACGGCAATTCTTACTTCTTATGCTTTGCCTTACAAAACCAGTTGGCACAGCGTCTGCTTTCCTCCAAAGAGCCACGAACCTCCTGGGGAATGCTGGTTTGGAGAGCTCCCTGTTTCCCAGGAAGAATAACTGCAAACACAGTGGGACAGTGCGTTGCACAGAAGGTGGTGCAGCCCTTCTTTGTGTGCTCTGGGCCACCAGCAGTGACAGAAAGGCATGGGAAGAGCTCTGTTGCTTCAGGCGGAGGGTTCTTCTGCTCCAGCTTTCTGTTCACCTGAGCTCGACCAGCTGCCTACCGGGAACCCAGAGCAGGTCTCAAGTGCACCTGCGACGGCCCAGCCACGGGTGCACGTGGGCACATTGCCTCCGACAGTGGATGGAGCATCCAGTCGGTGAATCGCTGTCGATTGCTTCACACTCCATTAATCTGTCCAACCCTTTATAAAGGTTAGCAGCCATGACTCCGCGTCATAATTTCTGTGCATTATTTATCTATCACAAAGCTCCCAGCCTTATGGGACGATGCAGGGTTTTAATATTATGAGACAGGGAGAAAAAAACTCGTGCATAATTTTTTACACCTCTCTCAAGTCTCCTCTTACCTGCCTTTTTTCCTGAGCTAAATAATGGCACATATTGTGGTCTTTGGAATTGCAGAGGAATTGCTCCAGTCCTTTAATTATTTCAATTGCGTGTTTCTGCACTTTTGCCAGCGGTACATTTTTAGGTACAGTGTTCGACACTGTGTACAATATTCTGAGTGTGGGCCTACCACAGATTTGTATAAGGGCAGTATGATCTCAGTATTTTATTTTCAATTACTTTCTTAATTATGCCTAACATGGATCTTGTCTTTTCACCATCACTGTGTTTTGGACTGATATTTTTATCAAGCTCTCCACGCTCCCAAGATCTATTTCTTGCTCAGTCAGTGCTGGGTCCCAACTCCCATGGTATGCTCTTTCTATCGCATGCCAGTCAATTTATTTATTTATTTCCTCCCTCCCTCCCTCCCTCTTGTTAGCAATTACCTTTATCAGATTTCTCAAATGATAATAAACAGCAAGCAAACAACTGCAGGCCTTTGATTGCATTAATGTGTCATCACCATGAAATGGGTTTTAACACTACTATAAAAATTGCAAGATGATTGGCAGGGAACTGCATATTTTTCAGACGTTCCAGGCTTATCAAGAACTCGCTAATTGCTTTGTGGTGAAATCTTCAAGGTGTTCTTTTTTTAACCTGACTGTTTTCAACTTCGTCTCACCTTTTAGCCTTTCTCCGGCACTGCAGGTGCTCAGCATAGTACTGGAATGCAAGCCATTCCTTTTATGGGAGCATTGAGCTTTGACAGCTTAAACCCCAGTTCCTTTTTCAAAGGGATTTTTGGACAAGGCTACCCATGTTTTTTGTAAACATTCGTGGCTGGTACTCATGATGAGGTCATTCGCCAGGTTCAGATGATATGAAAACCCATCCTGGGCACAACCACCCCTAGAATAAGCAATGGGTTGTCAAGGTGGCTTGTTATCCACCAACAAGCAACAATGTGGAAAATAGTCTGGGTTCACATGACATGATGACCTGCTATGGCTTGTCACCCATGATGGGTTGTTTCGTTGTGTGAACCAAGTCATAGAGTTCCAGGATGAACCTGGTACATTAATGATTTGTGAGACTTACCAGCTTTTTCTCCGTATTACTTGAATGGAAGAAGTTGTAAGAAGATCTACTCTGAAGGGTGGATATTGAGAAATTAATTTGACAAAATACAAGAATAGCCTTACTGCAGGAACTCTGATTAAGCAAATCTATTATCTTCTATCTAACGTCAGAAATTTGCTGGCACTAATAACATTTCAAAACTTCCTTTAACATGTCTAGGATGCTATTCGGATAATACTTGGAAACCTTGATAATTTATGCCCTTTTACTACTGAACATTTGACCATATTTCCATGTATCCTTTTATCAATGTAGACTGAAGCTAATCAGTGAAAAGAATATTTATAACTCATTTGACCTATGAATCATAAATCACGTGTGTTCCTCTTTCCACTGAGTCGCAGTTGGAAACACTTTTTGGTGGTAAGCTGTGATGGAATGCGCACGCAGTGAAATAGACACAAATGCTTTCATCACACACAAAGCGATCTGTGCTGGAATGCAATCGGCATAAAAGGACACTCGGGCGAGGAACAAAGTCAAGTGCCCAGGAGCCAGGAAGCATGGGAAACCGCACACCCCTTTGTGTGCCCTGCTTTGTGCGACCTACCATGTGCTGGAATAAGATAGTAAGTAATTAGACCTACAAGCCAAGAAGGAAATGTGAATTTTCAGCGCAAGCAGGCCTTACAGGGTCACCTAGATGAAAGGAAAAGATAAGCAACAGCAAGCTGGCGGGAATTTAGATGGGGGAGAAGGTGAGCTCTAGCAGACTGGGAAGCATTTAGAAGAGTACGTGTTAATACTGTTGACTTCAAGCCAAGCAGTGTTTTTAACAGGCAACAAGACACACTTAACCAGGGAATGAATTACGCTGTGCTCATTTAGACAATCCAGCTGAATGCAGCCACTGCGTAAGCACGTTCGCAGAGAAATCTCCTAGGCAGGTAGTGCATTTTGGGGGAAGTCAAAATACCTGCATAAACAACAGGGAAGATTTTGGACATTCCTAGCGCATGGTTCTCGCTAAAGTAGAAGTGATGGCTAGGTGGCAAATTTCTGTTGGTGAATCGGTGTTCTTCATTTTCAAATGCATTTCTGCATTTGAAAATATATAATCTAATTCTTGTCTCAAAGCATTTATATTTCCCTCTTCTTTACTTGAGCACTGTTTCTATGTTCAGAATCACCTTACAGCCTTCTCCTATTTCATTCTTTTACTGGCCATAATTATTGTCCACTCAAGACAATCAATGGCAGCTCCCAGAGGTATGTTGTTTGCCCGCCACCAACTTCCAAGGGAGAGGCAAAAGGACAGAAGCAGAGAAAGTGAGTGATACTTATAAACATGGGACTTAGGGGCTTTAGTCCACCAGCTCCTTATGAACGCACATAGAATTTGCTGCTCACCAGAACATTAGTTTATTGATGAATTTTTGAGCTGCCCTGAAAATATCTTACTTTGAAAGGTGGTATATGAATTCATAAAATAAATACATTGTGGAAAAATGTGCATCTTTAAAAAACCGTTTTTGGTGTTTTCCTAATGTCCATTATCTTCCTATCTGAATGTAGAAAATATCTGGTTGTGGTGCGTATGCAGCTCTTTTGTCCATAAAGCTGTTTGTACAAAGCTCCAGTTCTGCACTCATGTGGGCACTCTATATTTTCCCCTGCCACGTTAATATTAATGACAGGCAGTCTTCCTGTCTACCCTGCAGCCAAACTGAATAATGTATACCAGGAATAATCATATAATTTTCGCATCCTTCTTTTCACTCCTGTAGCTGCAGAATTCTTAAGCCTTAACTGCACCACTCAGATTTAAACAAATGGGAAAGAGTGTCCGACTTGAGATTCATGCACGGTGATGCATTTCTTACCCCCTATCCTTACGTCTGCACTGTCTATGTAGAATCAAAATCATGGAAGCAAAATGTATTTGGGGGTAAGTTCAGAAGTTTAGGAAGGAATAGAGAAATGTAAAGATAAGGGGACATCCTAATTGCCACATGGAAAGCAAACAGTTGGCTCTGGGAAATGGTTCCATGTCGCATTTTTCCAAAGTGTACAAGAAGGGATAGTTCCTTCCTGATGTGGAGCTTTTCCGACCACAGAAACTCTAAATATGTATCTCTCTCTGGATCTGTAAAGACAGAGTTGCTTGGGTCGTCCCCACAAGTGAAATAGCTTTGGTCTCAACTAACAGTCCTTGTCAACAACCCCCGGGACAGACTTACAGTCTTTTTTTTTTGGGTTGGAGCAGATCTGAAATCAGAATCTCAGATTTTTGGGTTTGAAGTGCATGTGGGTATCCTGCCCAGTTCCTTCCATGGCCTTCATTGCCAGAACAAGATATTCATTAAACACCATAACAAATGTGCAGTGAATCTGTACTACATAATTCATATTGGTTTTATACCATATTTACTGTCAGGACTTTCCTGAAAAAAAGCTTGGGTCCTGTTAAAACTTTGATGCTCTCATTCACTGAAGTACAATCCCCAAGCATTTCTAGGGAGACAGAGTAAGTAGATAGAGATTGACCTGGAACTCTAGCATTTCCTTGGATTCCTTTTTTAAAGCAGGCCTTTTGATTGAGCCTGAGGTTAACTGTAATTTCCGTTAAACTTGACTTTTTGGTCTTTACATTTTTAATGGAATTTTAAAAATGGAAGTCACCTTGAACATGCATGCAATTGAATAATTAGAATATCAATTTTGAAAATGAACTGGCTTTCTTCTATAAAGAAAGATTTACCCTCCAGCTTTTCTCTCATCTGCCTGCCAGAGCCTTGCCCAACTCACAGTTTAGCATGATTAATTCGGGGATGTTACCTATTCTAAGAAATTCTAAGAAATTCTAAGAAAAACAAGAAAAAATACATTGTGAACATAGACCTAAAAGTGATGGATATTCTCCATTCCTTAGAGAACTTGCATATGTTGGTGACATACAGTTATGTGAAGGGATGTCACATGGAGATGGGTAGAGACCTGTTCTCCCCTGCAGGGCACGCTCCAACAGAGCAAAGCTCAGGGAACCACGGTTCCATTTGGATGCCAGGAAGCACTTCCTGACAGTTGGGACCCGAGGGTGTGGAATGGGCTTCCACAGGAGGGGGTTGAGGCCCCATCGGTGAGGGTGTTCAAAGACAGGCTGGACATGCACGTGGCAGGCATGTTGTGAACGGAGCCAGCTGGAGCCGGGGGTCAGAAGGGGCCCAGGAGACCCCTTCTGACTCGCTCTGTTTCTATGTTTCTATGTTTGCATATCAGCCACCTGAGATGTGCACACACATCCAAGATTTATGGGGATTCCCTTTCACTGGACTGGTAAATTCCTGTCCTGCCCCTTGTGGATGTGCATCCACATGTATTCACATTCACAACCCTAAACGGCTTGGGTCCTGGACACCTGAAGGAGCGCCTTCTTCCCTATGTGCCCGCCCGCCCCTTGAGATAGGAGGCAGAGGCCCTCCTCCAGGAGCCCTCCTTGAAGGAGATTAAGAGGGTGGCAACCCGGAGTAGGGCCTTCTCTGTGGTGGCACCTCGACTGTAGAACATGCTCCCCAGAGAGGTTCGCTTGACGCAACGCTTCTTTCCTTTCGGCGCCAGGCAGAATCCTTTTTATTCTCCCACTATTTTAATTGCTACTGTGTTTGAATCTGTGGTTTTACACCTAATACTGGATGCTGTGCTACTTCTACTTTTATCTTTATTCTATTTTATTTTTGTTGTTGTGAACTGTCCTGAGTTGTTTGTGATGGGAAGGTATACGAAAGTTTTGAATGAATGAATGAATGAATGAATGTATAAAGAACAATACTAGAATATTTTATGTGTGAGTAAATATGTCAACAATTCTGTCTCTGATCAAACTTCCTGTATATTTCAGATAAAACAAAAAATACAGATGTCTATAACTCTGTGAGTAACTTTTCTAAATAACTGAACAATAGGGTAGGGGAAAGAAGAAGGGAACAAATACTGTTTGGAATTAATTAAAAAGTGCGCAAGGCGGTGCTTAAGTATATGCCTGTTGTAAGTACAAATGCATGTATCTTGATTATTGATGTGCTTAAATTGAGCCCAGTTTAAGTCAGGCTTGTTGCCTTTGGGTGCCTTACTGTGTATATACAGACTGCTGATCCAAGCCCGGTCACTCCTAACCTGCATGGTTTCAGTGGGAACTAATTCCTAGTCCTGTTCAAGTGTCAGGCCCCCTATGAAAAACTCATGAAAAATACTGCTGGTTGCTCGCTTGGTTGGGACAATCATTTCTTAGCATTTCTACGGGGGTGCTAAGGGCTGTTGCTCACATGTAGGCACTTCATTTGATTATCCACCTTCACATGGCAAGGTATTGACTCACGTGGCTTCCACAGCTGGAGAACTATTGTGCGCTAAGGAATACGAAATGCTTCACGTCCGAACCGCCCCTAACCTCCTGCACTTCAGTGGCTGAAGCTTTAAGAAAGCAGTTATCCAGGAGTAAGTCCACAGTGCACTGTGGAATGAATGTAACATTGGAAGGAGTGACTGATGGTCCGTGACCTGGGAAACTAGAAGATTCAGTTTTCCCACGGTTGCACACAAGCAGCAGAAGTTCAGGCTTGCCCTATACTGTCCTTAGAAGGAGAAAAGCTGAACATATTTGGTTTCAGAGCCCACTGAAATTGGGCTTTTGCACAGCAAAAACCCTCCCACCAGTATGTGGAAAAGCTATTAAATGATGCATTTACTGATGGTAAGAACACCTGTAGATAGTCAAACATGTGCAAATGCATTATTGTGCACTCTTTTCCTGAAAAGTTATTTTTTGGAAAAAACAACCTTAACCAACTATCAGAACCATGCTTATATTGCATCCTAGGCTAGCATATCACCTGATAGGTCTTGCTGCCATTTATAAAACATACATATTTTTTAAATGACTGCATACATTTTATAGCTAGATAAAATGGACTTGCCAATTTATTATGCCCATAAAGGTCAACCGTGGAAGTAAGCTGAGAGAGACTGTAGACACAGAAAGAGCTATTAAGTGGGGAAGATGGGAAGACGCTGAAGAAATTTCACATACCCGAGTGCACGTGGACAGGTTAGTGATGATCGGTTTCCCCCTCATGGTATTCATGGCATTGATATTTCTCATAACAGAAAAATCCATTAACAGTGAGGAGTTTTCCTGCTGTGATTAATATCAGCAGAGCAAATACTTGTAAGTGCTACATAAATTCAAAAATATTCATCTGGCAAAACAGATGTATTGCATGGTTGTTTAACCTTACATGGTCTATATGAGTTTTTTTTTTTCCTTTGAAGAAACGTAATGTACCATAGTTCCTGAGAAGACATGGCTTTGGTAGACTTCTACAACATAGATTTGCAGTGCAGTCATATGCATGTTTACTCATAAGTAAGCTCCACTGTATTCAAAGGGGCTTTCCCCAAGAAAGTGTTTATAGGACTGCAGCCATAATTTAAAATTACCACCTTGTTATATGACATTTTAATGAAAGTGCTTAGAATACTGCAATCAAGAGTTATTTTGTTATTATATACACTAAATCAATTCAAATGACCCACAGTGAGCCTCAGACTCTTCCATTCCCTTCTTCCTTTTTGGGACACAAGAGTTTAGTAGCATTTATTTAAAATTTGAGAGCTTTTCTACAACTCTTTTCTACATTTATTGTGTGCCCATCCCATCCCTACTCATGGTTATTTACAGGATTTTTAGACAGCCTCATGACTCTCCAGTTTCACTTCCATTTTTAAACAGCACTTCCACTGAGGCTTTTTAGAACAGGAAAAAAACAGTATCATTTAAAGAAAGTGAAAGAAAATGTTATTTCAACTTGTGTATTCATACTATTTGGTTATGCAATACTGTCATCTAGAGGTTATGTGGCAGAAAAGCAGGAAAAGAAACATTCTGTGCAATGGAATAGAAAATAGATACAGCAAATTAACACTCTGATGAAAAAAACCCTCTGAATATAAGCAGAGTTTTCAGTTACATCTGAGGTTAGGAAACTTCAGTTAGTTTAAACTAGTCAGTGCCAGCAAGCTGGCATCAAAACCATGGGTTTTGATCTTGGCTTGTTCACTAAGTAAAGATTAAATCAGTGCACAGAGTCCGCCCTTGCAGCCCAAGCACAGCATGTGGGCTTTTTGAAAACGCAGCACTGGCACCAATGGAAGCTCTATAAGGAAATGTGGCTCTGTTCAGGTTAAACTACCCTGAGTTGCCAACATTTAACTAGAAAAGCTCTCTGATTTCCGAATGTGTTTGAGGAGGTGAGAAGGCAAGGGATTTTCAGTCCCTGGGGTCTCCATGGCTCATTCATATTGTTCTAACTGTGGCTTAGGGAGAGGTCCAAAGCAGTCTGTCCAAGTATATACAAACACTTCTGAAATCAAGTAACATAGCCAAGAAAACCAAATAAAAAGCATGTCTAAGATGATAATAAAATGAGATACCAGTCCAATAAAGCTTCAAATTCTTTTAGAATAGGACTGCTTTTTAAAAAAAGGAAAACCAAAGCCATCTTTATTGAGTAGTAAAATCATTGCTTTACAGTCTATCAACAGCAGCTAAAGCTTAAGTTCTCTAAGGAGAGATGTCCACATACTTCTCCTGCAGGTTAGTGCAGCAGAAAAATCACCTTCATTTCTGCTTCATTGGCCTTTGGCCAGATAGCTGATCTATTAAAAAGTTGTTCCAAACGGATGCTCAGACTGCTCGTCTGTATTTTTAATTATTTTCACTAGTTTCTTTCAAAATGCATTATAACATATCCTTGATTTTTATTTATTTTTTCCTGTTCAGAAATGTGGCTAAATCTGCAACCCATGATACATCCAAGTCAAATGTAAGCTCTTTTTTTTTTCATCTTTGAAAGATTTGTCACCTCTATTGGTGTTTCAAAGAATATGTAGTTATTTTCTTGCTTGTTGAATACTTTTTACTGTCTTTTAACCTCTGGGTAGCATACAAAGCAAAAATCATTTTAGCAGTAAACAGGAGACCAAAATTTTGAGAGTGGAACCATAAATTGGCTCATTGTTACTGTAAGAATAAAAAGCAGTGATGGGAAGAGAGTTGGAGTATTTCGGTGTGTTGTTGAGATTGTATCTTGAGCTGGACATTCAGTAAAATAGAACAGAAAATCTTGTCCTAGAATAGTAGACCCAGACTTGTCTTTAGCCTGCATGCGGGTGCTCTTCCCTGCTGCCCCCTCCCCCCCGGTCCTGCCCCCTTTCATGGCCCTCATTATGGTTCGCTAACAAGTGTATCTGTGAAATGCCAGTTACACGGGGAAATTGGAAATAGATTAGTAGAACATCAGGGTTAGTTATGCACCAGGGTTAGAAAAAAAGCTTTGTCAATGAGCTCATCGCTTTGTTTTCCCCTCTCCCTAGTATAACCGTTGCAGCTCCGCCAGAGTCGGCAGTGATTATGACAACAGGAGTGTGCGTAAGTGCCAAGTTGCCAGGGTGTGATGCTGTGAAGCTTTGGGTCAAATCATGGCACAGGCATTGTGTTGGTCCCCCTTCCTTGTTCTTGGTTGAGTCTCATTCCCCCACCCGTGTTTCTGCATCTGTCAAATGGGAATAGCAACGAGCCTTGTGTAATCGGATGCACTGTAACAAAGTATGTGTGAGTCTGAGAGTGATTTATCGGTTTTGGACTGAGAATGCCTACATTGAAGTCTTATCAGCCTCGTAACTCAGTGGGTGGCCTTGAGAAAGTCCAAATCATTAAGCCTAGCCACCTTGGCAATGTTGTGAGGAAAAAAATAAACTGATCGTATCTACAACACCTTGAGATTCTTGGAGTGAAGGCAGGTAACAGATGTGATCATTATAAACGTCCTGAAGTCTTGCATACGCAAATAGCAACACACCATTTTTAAAGGTGGCCCATTTGAGAGGCTGAAAGAACAGAATAGAGCAAATGCTAGCAGGCATGAGATCAACATCCAAACGATGAGAGAGCTTTCGTAAATAAAAGTATATTTGCCAGGCTCCAAAAAGATGTCAGAATAAATGCTAGACAGGTCTTCCTGGGGAGCTTGTTCCACAGGAGGGGAGTTATTACCAAAAACAACCAACTTTCGAAACCGCTTTGGTATAGGAAAAAGGTGCTAAAGAGCCAACCTATGGGTGGGTCTGAACTAGCGACAGTTCCTGAACGCAGACGGAATCCTCTATTCACGCACTGTGAAGCTGACCTGAGTTTTTATTTGTTAGTAGGGGAATCCATGAAGACAAAAAATACAGAGAACAGGCACCCGGAAGGACAACCGCCAGCCTTAGAAAAGCGATCCGAGGAAAGCATGGCGTTAAAAAAGAAAGGCTTTTTAGAATCATTGAAAAGGTAGCATAATAGCATTATGAAGCATCTAGATTTCCTGGCGACTGCATGTGTAATGCTCTTGGCTCCAGAAGCGGATTTAATGTTAGAGATTAATTTCATCTATAAAATCCATTGTGGCTAGTAATCTAATGACATGTATTTTGCATGCCTAACACTGTGTTTACAAGAGCACTGAGAGCAATGCTTTTTTCTCCCAAAAGTCTTTCTCCACATAATTTTAACAAAGTAACCAGAATATGAGATTGGTAGGATGGGAAGCGGAAGGGAGCCATAAAATAAGTTGTGACTTCTTTGCAAGAGATCTGTCAAAATCTCTGAGGGCTCAATCCAATGTATGTTTAGATAGAAAAGACTTACAACTCCCAGTCTTATGTTTCTTTGCCAGTTGTTTGTCTCGCCACACTTATTGCAAACTTGAGCTTACGAATTGTGCAAGGCTCTTCTTTTCCAACACTAGCTCCTGTAAAATTTGGTTTTAATAAAACACTTAGGGGTTTTATTTTATTAAATGCTTATGCCAGTAATTTTCCCTACTCCACCGAATTTCGTATTTCTTATAATGGAGTGATTTCAATACTTCTGTGGTATGGTTTCGTGAATTGTGTACGCTCTAAGAACATATGTTTGCATGTCCCAAGTCTCAGTGGTGCAACAATGTCTGTGCGTATGTTGGGAAGGGGAGGGATGAAGGTGGGGGGGGGGTGGGGAGAAAGGGTTTGATAACAGAAACTTTGAAAGGAAATGCACCACAAGCGTTCTTGTCTGCAGTAAAACTGAGGTCGCCTTTTCTCGGAAAGTTGTGTTGATATTTCAGTTTGCCGAGCAATGTTCTAAGTGCAATATCCCCATTTTATTCCCCTTCAGTACTCTCTTTCCGCCAGTGCTACAGCAGATTTTTAGTGGAAATGGTCAGCCCTCCTGAGGGATTGTGATTGCTGGAAAAGTCTAGCGAAACTCCAGGGATATTTGATGACACGCCTCAATATTTTAACAGTGCAACTATTTCAGAAGCTGAAGGAGGTTAAATGTTTAGTGTTTCTATTTCCATTTCAGTTTTAAATGCTTAAGATAAAGTTATGATTAATTCAGTATAAAGCTTATTTCAGCACACATTGTCAATTTCAATATTGTTAGAAAAGTGAGTACATAATTCTTTTAAAGAGCCTGCATTTGAGTATGTTTTCCTCTGGAATAACTATTAATTGCTAGAATAAACTATCATTTGCAGTCACTAAAGCATATCTGTGTATTTTTTTAATACACAAACTTAAAAACAAACAGATGGTCCAACATATCTTGTGTCCTATTGGTCTATTGCATGTCATCGAGTTCTCTTCAGATCTATGGAGATGGAGACTTTTATAAAATGTAGTGGTCTTGGCATAAAATTATTTTATAAAAATAAAACAATTATTTTAATTGTTAATATTATTTATTTATTTTATTCTTTGGCCAGGTCGACCCAAATTGTATTGTTTTTGTGATTATTTATTTATTGTGAGCCGCCCCGAGGCTTCGGCGAATGGGGCGGCACAGAAGCTTTTTAAATAAAGAGAAGAAGTATGGCATCAGAACGATACAGATGTGATTAACAAACCTCTGTTATCACGCTAGTAAATGCCCGCTCGTGGGCCGTGGGGGCCTAATCTAAGCTCTGTAGGGGCTTAGAGAGATTGCTTGGCGAATCCCCCATAGGATGTGGAATGGCAATTCCACATGTAGTGGGAGGAAATCAAGCTTTTTTCAGCCGGGCAAGACCAGAGGGAGTGCTGCCCTCTTTAAGGTCTCGACATATGATTTTTTTTAGCTTTTGTTTTAGCTTTTGTGTACACACCAAATCTATTGGAACGTATTTTTGTTTTGTTTTGTTTTTTCTGCAATGATACCCATGGAATAAGCTGGTTTTTTTGCTAATTAAAAAGCCCTTTGGATGATGGGGGAATGAAACCTCCCCCCCACGGAGTTGAAAAGCGGCGAATTGCATAACGGAGAGAAAGACAGAACTGTTTGTAAGTAAGGAAAAGATTTATCTTCTTTAATCAATCAAAAGTGATTAAAGGTGGCGGAGGTGGGTGAGGGCCGGTGAGGCAGTGGTGGAGGTGTGCGTGCGCTTGCATGCATGGCGAGGCAGTGGCTTGCTCGCTCAGAGGTCGTTTTCTCCAAGCGAGTCCAAAACGATCTCTGAGTGAGCAAGCCGCGCGTGTGGCGGGGCGGTGGCGAGAGTGCGCATGGCGAGGCAGGTGGCGGCGGTGGCGGGCGTGGGTGCGGACAGCCCAAAACCTCTGAGGGGGGTTGGATCTGGCCCACGGGTCATAGTTTGAGAACCCATGCTCTAAACTCTCCTCATGAACCTTTGAAGGTCATTCCTTTTCAAAAAATGCAAAAATATCCTAGGTTACACATGCTCCTACTAGCAGAGTAGAGGAGATACGAAGCTTCCTGTCAGAAATAGTTGTTTTTGTTCTTGAAGAAACACACATTTTATTGCCTGCCAATTCATTATTAATATAAGATTAATTTTTCATTCTTTAGTCTTCCGGAGATTATCCTGTCAAACCTTTGCCAGAAACCCATTCACTTCAAAGAGAAATGCTAGCATTCTCTCTCTCTCTCTCTCTCTCTCTATTAAAAGCTTTTCTACTCTGTCCACCATTAGCATCTCGGGACAGCTTACAATAAAAATGAGTAGAATAAAACAAAACACTACAGCATCCAACGACTGCAATACTAAAACCCCAATTAAAAGCGATTAAACATTAAAAATTACGGGAAAATAAAAAGATTTTTGCCTGATGCCAAAAAGAATAGAATGTTAGCACCAGACGAACCCCTTTGGGGGGCGTATTCCACAATTGGGGCCCCACCACAGAGAAGGCTCTCCTTCAGGTAGTCACCCTCCTAATCTCCTTCAAGGAGGGCTCTTGGATCTAACCTACATCTGCACTGGGTTCTGGGTATTTTACATTCACAAGTGAAAGGCATATTCTGAAAGCATGTTTGTAGCTTAAAAGCTAGACTCCCCATCAGCAAAGACTCCTTCTTCTCCGTCTGGGCCTCAAATTGCAGGCACCTTTCTGCAGCTTTAAGCGCTGGTATTCTGGAAAGTTTGTGCAGTTTGTGCTCACCTGGTTCATCAGAAAACGTGCCTCAGCAAATAGCTGTTTGGCAAGAGGTCTTCCAGTAAATGACTTAAAAATATGCAAACCTTTTACGCATTACCCTCTGGAATGTAGATACTGTGCTTGGGTATCTCTCTTCTGCCTGCTTTCTTAAATGGAAAGTTGGACTCTGCATGAGAGTCCGTTCGTTCCGGTCAAATGAATTGCTGCGTATTGATCAGAGACACTGGATGTCATGGTGGGGGTGGGAAGCAGCTTCATGTTTGCAATCCTCCCTCCCATGGTGCATATTTTCACTTTGCCATTTTTCTACAGCCCATTCTGGACAATGACAGTCCCCACAAGGAGGCCTGCGATCTCCCTGCTTACAGACAACCACGCCACCTAAGACAGTAACTTAGCAGCAAGAACAGATAACAGCAATATAGACCCAGCAGTGAGACCCTAGATGCCAACTCTGCCCCCTATCTAAATTTTCAGCACTGTTCCAGGGCTTAATATTCTCCTCTAAAGCTACAGAGGTGCATATTCCACAGCTTCCAATGTGGTGTTTCCCAGCAGTGTCCTACTGGAGAACATACTGACTAGTCCCTATGAAAAGAAATAAATGGACCCAAATTTGACACCAGAAGGTCTATTCAGTAAGCAGCAGGGAAACATTTCAGACCCCCGAGATGCTCAGCCAAAACACAGTCCTCTAAAGTCATGCCCAGCAGCTACCTCCTAGTTCTCTTTTTTTTTACCCTAGACTAAAAGTAGGAAGGCTGAGGAAGTTTGGGAATAAAGTATGGGGTCACAGAGCTCGAAGCTTGCAATTTGTATTGCCAAACAGGGATCCATTAAAGCAAGTCACTGGAGAGTTGTGAGGACAAACTAAGATTGTAGGTGCCTTCCAGGGCTCCTTGGAGGAATGGCAAAAGCCACTTTTCTAGCCATTCCTAAAGATATTGAGAGCACCATAAGAGCCAAAGGAAATTAAGGAATCAACCTTTTAGCTTGAGCAATGTATATCATTTATTTAAATGGGTCTGTATAATTAAGCTTCAGCTGTTCCACATGTTGTCCAATGGATCTGTAGCCTTCATGGTTTTTCTTGCTCTCGATAGTGAAATGTAAGCCTTGTGCATGTGTAGAGGTTGAGATGGGGGAGAAAAAAGCACCACTCTTCCCATTCTCTCTCTCTCTCTCTCTCACACACACACACGCACATATACTCCACGTGCATTAGTTCACCATATCCTTCAACCTACAGAGGATGTAGAGTTGTTAATCAAGAATGCCCTTCAGGACACCATCCAAGGAACCTGCTTTGGTTCTGCTGGGGTAATTTGCTCCTCTCTGCCTTCTGTTAATGACAGTGAGTGGAGAGGCACAGAACGGACTATTCAAACATCTGCTGTATGTATCTTGCAGCAAATTGCCCTGTGAATTGCCATGCTTTCTATTGATAGCTTTGATGCCATGCAATCCCGGTGGTGTCGAGCGGGGCTTGGGCAGATAAGGCATTAATGAATCTCAGAGTAACCTTGGTTAATCAAATGAGTTGCTGACGCTTCCTTTCTCTCCAAGTCAGCCCCATCAAGTTTAGTGTCAAAGGTTTAGTATAAAGAGCCGAGGCAGCCGTCAGAACGCCCCTTTTGCCCAGCTCCAGGACCAGCTGCAGCTTCTGGAGCGACGACATCCAAGAGACGGACACCATGAAAAAGTTGCAGCTGCCAAACCCCGGCTTAGAGTGGAGGATCCCTTCCCATGAGCAGCTGGAAACCCTTGAGGTTACGGAGGCGGACTCGAGGCCCAAATGGGACAACAAGGCGCAATACATGCTCACCTGTATAGGGTTTTGCGTAGGCCTGGGCAATGTTTGGCGATTCCCTTATCTCTGCCAGAGCCACGGAGGAGGTATGTCTTTGAGGGTACCGGTGGATGATTCTTGGGTGGAAACTGCTTGTGCAGTACCGAAAATAGCATGCATTTTTCTCCATCATTTGACAACGAGACTCGAGCGTAGACAGACGCCCTTTCTTTGGCTGGGAAGATAAAGTGTTCTTTGGATTGTGCTGTAAAGTTGTGTTTGCACAGAATGAAGACCAGCTGTGGGATTTACTACAGAACGGTACATGCATGGACCACAGCAATGGGCACAAACCTAGAAGTCCATTGTTGGTGCTTGCACAAAGTTAAGGCAGGCAGGCCAAAATCTCTTTTGCTTTCTCTCTCTGCTGCTCCTGCCTGACTGTAAAAAGAGGGAAGCTATCGATTTTCAATTGAAAACAAGAGAGAAGAGTCATTGTTTTGTAAAATGAGCTTTAAGCATGAAATGATACAGTTTGGTATAAAGAGAATCCTACTAAATGTGAAGGAACAACTATGCCACATTTAAATGGATCAACCCGCTTTGCTTAATGAAACTTTTGCCCAATCCAAAGGTCTTCCAAGATTTCGTGCAATAAAACAGGTTCAAAGGTATTCACTACCACACCTGCTTTGCATTATTGCATCATTTGAGGTAATCTTTAGAGATGGGAGATAATTTGATATTAATAACTTAACATTTGGGGGCCCATGTACTGCGTATGTGAGTCTGCTCTCATTCCACTTGAACAAAATATCTATTTCTGTAGCAGGATATGTTTTTATAAATGTATCTCACAAGCTGGAGTGATTTTCTGCCCGTTGATGTATCCCTCTTTCTTGCTTTTTCTGGCTCTCCTAGCACTTTTCTGCTTTCTAAACCAATGCAACTTGAGGAACGGATCTCAAATGCAAATTGCAATAGCAACATGGAAGAAATGTTTAGGAAAACGGTGGTGGGGAAGAATCTATCGTCTACTTCCCCACGCCACATGGTACTGATGTAAACACACACACACACACACACATAGAGGAGCTGCTATTTCTTAAGCAACCGAAAGAACAATCCCAGCAAGAACAATCCTGTAATAGATTGTAATGTAGCAAATGTACCATTTTTTGTCCTAACTTTTGTATGGGTTGTGGTTCCTGACCTGATAAACTTGCACTAGGATTGAGCCTCAAATGTTCTGTATCAGGAAATGTGCACACAAACAGTTTAAGCTTGCTTAAACAGTTGCCCAAACTTTTAATTACCCAGGACGCAAAAGCATTCAGTGCTCAAAAATATTTTCTTGACCTGGAACCACAACAATGGAGAGGATTCTCCTTGCCTGTGTAATATTCCTTCTCTTCCACCTCCCTGCCGATTCCATCAGGACTCAGGGATAGGAGCCTTTCTTTGGGACAATGTTGATCTTTAGGACAAGAGTTGCAAACCTGGGTGATTCCGGGACAAATTTCAGCCAGGTCCCCGCCTGGGGGGTCACGCTCCTGACAACGCAGCACCCTGAAGGGGCTAAAAAACAAACGAACAAAACAGCCCTGTTGGAAAACCGTCGCAGATTGTAAAAGAGCCACATTTCATCTGAACGCTGTCCTAATCTGACCGCTTTGGGCCTTTAGCAATGCACCTCTTGACCCAGTTCGACTATCTTTATAATGGAGTGTTCCTAAGCATAGAATGGCCAAACATTAATATGAGTCCAATACTCTTGCCAGAGAAGGGGACTTAAAAGGTAACTCATGCTCCGTCCAGACAAGGCTGTCTTTTTCCCCTTTCTCTCCCCCCGTGCCCCCCCCCCGCCCCGCCAGTATTCTGAGTACATAAGAATTGATTTACTAGGTCAGAGCAACGGTCAGATTGTCCAGCCCAAAAACTGGCAACATTTTTGCGGTATTACTTCAGCGCACACACGAGTGTTTCTGTTATTTAAACACTCCTGTGCATTGATAACTAGAATATCAGGGTTCAGCTTAGCGCTGCCCTTGGGAAGCTCTTTCTTGGAGGTGCAGGAAAGCTTGTGTGTGGGGAACACGCTGCGTGCTGTCCTCTGCGCGGTCTCTGGATCGTCCCTCCTGGCTGCCCGCCTCTAGTAGCTGGCTCTGTCCCTTGTCAAGCTCGTCCACAGCACATGGCCTGTCATCTCGTTTCTGAGACAGACCCTTTGTGCCTGGATGTCCCTGTACTTCAAGGGCTGGGTGGAGTCCCCTGGCACACAGTTGTGTGTGTGTGATGTGTGTACCTAACTGCTGGCCATGGGCAAGAGTAGAGGCCAAAGCAGACGGGTTGCACCTCTCTCTTTGCAGCCCCTTTCTCTTGTTTTCTCTGTCCTGGCTGCAGAGTCTGTCTTTCAATCACACAAACTCACTCACACACACCCTGCAAAGTAGACCGACACAGAAGTGACCAAATTCAAGGTGGTTTGTTGGTTGGTTGGTTTAGTTATTTATTTGGAAGGCTTCTGTGCCGCCCCATTTGCTGAAGCCTCGGGGCGGCTCACAATACCATGATTTTTTGAAATCATTACCATCCTGGTTTGAGCATATTCCAAAAGTGCTCGGATGCGCAGCCTTCTTTAAAACACGCACCCTTTCATCCACTTGGTTAACAGCCCTTTCCCACTAAGTCTCTCTGTTAATATACTTACTGCATCTCCTCTTTGCCAAAAGTGCAGATCCGCTCTTAGTAATGATCAGCTTAACGTCACAGGGGCAAAAAAGCAATTTAAGAGTCCAGCTGCTACAGATCGTTTCTCATCCTTGTTTTAAAAGGCTTATTTGGTGATTTTCCCCTCCTCCTGGCCCCCCTCCTGTTTCTCTCTCCATTTCGGGGTTATTCATCTTTCTCCCAGAAAGGGGTCTGCATAAAACTCATTTGCACATTGTCACTCAAGGCAAGCTAGATTTCAAAGCTTAGTATACTCAATGTTTGGCATCCTGATGAACATAATAATTAATTATGAGGGAGGGAAGCTTGGATCCTGCAAACGCCGAGGCCTGTTCCTGGTTATTTTTGTAAAGTCCCGCGTAGATCACGTCCCTCTTACGTGGAGAGACAGCCTGGCCTTGCATCATTCATCCACTAAATCTCTTCCTTAATGCACTTACTGGATCTCTGCTTGCCAAAAGGGCGGAATACCCTTCGTAACGATCGGCCCGTCGACACAGGGCAAACGGCTCCGTCACTGGTATTTGTCCCTTGCCATTCCGCTTCAATGCAGAGAAGTGGAACCTAACTGGGAAAAGCCAGGCTTAGGAAGCCGTGCCAAAAGCAGGCTGGATAGCTGCCTCCTTCAGCACTAATTTGGGTGGCAGGAGGGAGGATACAAATCTAACGTCCCAAATGCTATAATAATGCAATTTGCTTCCATAGAAAGGGAATTTAAAATACACCAGGGCCCATTATATTGGCTTTAGTCTTCCTTTTCCTGCTTTTCCTTCCTGCTGTATCCTATGACCACTGTATTCCAGTTTTCCTTCTGTCTAAAACACACTCATTTTCACACCCCTGCAGGAGCCTTTATGATTCCTTTCCTCATCCTCCTCGTCCTGGAAGGTATTCCTTTGCTCCATCTTGAATTCGCCATTGGACAGAGGCTCAGAAAAGGCAGTGTGGGCGTCTGGAGTTCAATCCATCCTACCCTGAAGGGAGTTGGTAAGTTCAAAAATAACAACAGAATAACAAATACGTGTTCAGAGAAGGAAGTGAACACCAGTTTCTCAAATGGTACAAGTGACAGTGAAATAAATCCAGCAAGGTGCATCTTATTTATTTATTTAAAACATTTTTATGCCGCCCCCATCGCAACAAAGCCTCGGGGCGGCTCACAAAGGATACATAAATACATAAATAATATCAATACAACAAATTTTAAAAAATTGTTTAAAAACCCCTGGTGCATTCTCGGCTAAAAATTTTAAATCCTATTAATTCAAATAATTTAACAATTAAAATAAGTTTTAAATAAAAAGGTCTTAGCCTGGCGCCGAAAAACAAATAACGACGGTGCCAGGCGGACCTCTCTGGGGAGCGCATTCCACAGATGGGGTGCCACCACAGAGAAAGCATCTCCTTCATATTCGAGTCTTGGAAGTTTAAGGGGACGTTCCAATGAAATAGATCATTCCTTGCATGCTTTGCAGGACAGATTTAAGCTCTCTAAAACTGTATCCACACTAGGTGATTAACACTTCGTCCAATCCACAGAATATCATCATGGGTTCATATCATCATGGGTGGTCCATATTCCCCCAGTGCTTCTGCCAGCATTTTCCTTCTGTAGGAAGTCCAACTGGATAAAGGGACGAAAGTGCAAGACAACTTCCAAAGATGCAGAAGTCCTTAGCACTTCTGAAGTGGTGTGGTTTTGATCCAGGAAATGGTGATAGCAAATTCTTTTTCAGTTAGCAAATTACTGCTTAAATAAAATATAATAATACGTTTTAATAATATATATTAATACAGTATTCATATAAACACGATATAACAACAACCAGACTCACAGTGCTATCATATTATAATAGTGATTGAAATGTATAAAATTACTTTTGGGCAGTAATTAGGTGTCCCTGCCCCCAATCTACACTTCTGAGCCAAGACAAACATAAGTAAAACAAAGAGGAAAAACTCCAGATGCTAAAAAAAGAGAGTTATTTACAGGTGCAAAACCTACAGGTAATTTGTGGGAATCACTGGAGAATCTGCAAGATTGGTGAATCATTAACAGTTTGTTCCAGACGAAGGGTACACTGAAATATATCAACCCTCCCCTCCGAAATGAGCATGTTCTCTCTCTCTCTCTCTTTTTCTTGTTCATGGTACAACCCTGTTTTTGCCTCTGTTTTGTTCCGACCATGCAAACAAAACCAATGTCTTCAAGTTGTAGCCTTGCATTTCCCCCATTGCTTCTTCCGTCTTCTCCCTTGCCAGAAATAAGAATCCCCTAAGCAAAAGGACAGTGTGTGACGCCTTCTCATCTTTAGTATCAGCCATCCTGTGTCTGGAAGCGGCATGGACATTCATGTGCACCTGAGTTGTAACGTGTGCTTGGGAACAGGGCGCATTTGGCATGGTACCTCTTTGACATGGTTATCTGCATGCATGGATTGGAATGAAGTGTGCATTTCCACCTGGTTTCTGACTGGGATGGAAGGTGGATTTCCAGCCACTGCGTCCTGGGCAGACTTGCATGGTTGAGAACAGCTCTATTTGAATTAGCATCATGGGATGGACCAAAGGGAGCTTGTCAGCTTACTGATGTTGCGCATAAATTGCTAAGCAAACCCGAATGCTCAGGTTTAATTTCTCAGTAGTTTCAGAAAATGAAAATTTGACCCTGTTAGAAGAAATGCTGTTATTGCTTATTTAGAAAATTAGTTAATATTCCAGCATGAGAAACGTTTCTAAATGAGAACAAGATGAGAATGGCAAAAAAAAAAAAAGGGGGGGGGGGAAGTCAAAAGGGTCAACAAACAAAAGCCAATCTTCATCATGGCTAAAGATTGGTGAAAAATAATTTTCATACTCTCTTCTCAGTTCAAGATCATTCGTTCAACACACACACCAAGGAGGGGCTAATTTGTGGCCTTACAAACATCCAGTTATATATATCTATTGATTAATATCTTTGACTTTTTTCTGCATCATTTTAAAGAAAAGCCAGCGATCATTTGGATGTGGGTGAGACAAGTCAACTTCAGATTTATTTTGGGATTCCTAAGGCTTTTCCATTCTCAATTTCTTTGCTCCAGTATTGTCATAATTATGACTATTTTTATTGCGACAAGAAGATCTGTTTAAAACCTTTCTTTCTGTTCTCACAGGTATAGCAGCAATGCTTGTCTCCTTTCTTGTGGGTTTATACTACAATACAATTATTGCCTGGGTGATGTGGTACTTCTTCAACTCGTTTCAAGAGCCATTACCCTGGAGTGAATGCCCGCTTAATGGCAACAAGACAGGTAAAGGTGACGGCAGGGAACACTTGCAATATCTGCTTGTTCATTTTGAGGAGGTTTCTCCTTGTACCGCTTATAATAAATGTAGAATATTGGTTTTCACCAGAAAACATTTGGAACAGCTCTTTTCTTGGCATTCTGAAACAATTCTATGGGCAACAAGCCTTTTGAAAAGAATTCTGAATAAAATCTTAAAAAGGGGTTCTCAGATACCTCAAACACTTTTTGATAATCACGTATTAATTATATTATGAATATATTTTGATAATTATTGGCTGCTCAGAGATAAATGGTGGCTCTCAAGCAAATCTAATGAAATAAATAAGTGAATAAAATTACATTTGTATTATGTTTTGACGGGAGACCCCAGAGCAGTTTACAATGCTCATAAAAGGTAAGAGAGCTTCAGTTGTTGGGTGGCATAGAAATAAAATACATACATAAAATAGCATGAGCAGGCTCCTGGTGGCATATTTCCGTGCTTCTCTTCTTCATTTCTTTTTGATATTCCCTGCATGCCAACTTAAACATGTCCGTATCATGCCAGGCATTTTCCAGCCGTCCTGAATCGCTGGGGATTAATACATTGCGGTATAATCCCATGGAAACGAACATCAGCTTCTGCGTCCAGGGGCTCAGATTCTTCCAGGACAACCTTCCCCTTCCCAGCCTCCTGTGCCTTTTTGCTAGGCAGATATTTGCAGCTTTCCAGTGACTGCCTCGGAGGGGCGTGAAGGAGGCCGAGTGGCTTCTACCCTGGCCACTCGAGTCTCTTCCCCACGCCCCCTTCAATCGCTCTCTGAGGTCACTGCTTAACCTAAGCATGTAGGCAGCACAGTTCTTTCCGTGCCAATCGCACAATATCTACAACCCAGAGCAACATGATTCTATAAATTAAAGGGTATCTCTTGGGCAACACACTTTTTTTACATTGAATATAAGAACCTAAAACAGCCTTGCCCAGTCTGGTGCCTTCCCATCATCGCCTGCACCGTTCCTGCTGACTTACATGATGGGCTTGCCATCCAGGACATCTGGAGGCTGATGAACAAGAACAGTGGAAGTACCAGAGCAGAGCAGAGCAGAAGTGTCACTGTCTTGTGAGAAAGAGAGAAGGAAGACGGGTGTGTTCTGGGGAGCTGATTACTGTGATATGTGGAGACAAAATCTGCCAAGAGAAAAGTGAAGAAGACCTTCTCAACCATGGCGGCCATCAGCGAGAATGTTCTTCCAACAGAGGCTTGCATGACTGGTTCACCACTGGCGTTCCGCTCCAACGTTTGGTTTAGCCTTTCCCTGTTTTTGAAAGGCTTTGGGTGAACTGTGATGTAACCTCCTAGTTCTTAAAAATGATGGCTGACGCCAAAGCACCATGAGAACTGACAGGTGCTGTTTTTAAGTCTTGCAGTTTAATGGCGACTGGGAAACAGCATGGCCTTCTAACTATTGCTGGATGTTTGATGTGCCATGTGGGTCTCGCACACAGATCAAAAGGCGAAGGAGAAATGAATCCGCGAGGGTTGCAACCTTTGGAGAGCAATACAAAGCATGTTTTGACAGAGTTAGTCCTACAACTCACAGCAGGCTTAGTGGCTGAGACAAATGGAGAAGTGTAATTTTTTTCAGCCTAAAAATGCTCAGAATCACACTTTTGATTGATTAATTGACTGGATCCATTGATTTAACAACTTCACTGCTACTGAAACAGCATCTCTGGTTAACGGAGTGTCACAATTCTAAAACATTATTTTATATATCTATATGAATACCTTCAGGTGGCAGATGCCATCTTAGGCAGATGCCATCTTAGGACTGGGCCTTTCTCCTGCTCTCTCAGCAAGGGACCTACACTCACCTGCTAAAACAAACACCCAAAGCCCTAAAAGGTTCCCTGACAGACGTCCTCTTCCTGTATAGCACCTACCTGGAGCTTGAGGTCATCTCTGGGGGTCCTTCTCTGGGAGCCCCTCCCAAAGGAAGGGAAGCAGGTGGCTACCCAGAGGAGGGGCCTTTCGGTTGTGGCAAACCCGTTGTGAAATGAGCTCCGCCAGGAGGTGTGTCTGGCATCTAACCCTCTATTCTTTTAGACACCAGATGACGATCGTAATATTTTTCCAGCATTTTAACGACCTAACTTTTAAACTTTGCTTTTATATATTGCATTTGATTCTGTGCCTCTTCTATGTTTCCGAGCAGATTCAGCTGCAATTGCTATTATGGTTTTGTTATTTTAAATTCCTTTGGGTTAGTTTGTTTGTCTTTTAAAACTCTTCTTTCATTTTAAACTTTGTGAACCACCCAGAGAGCCATGGCTATTGGGCGGCTTAAAAAGGAAACAAACTATGTTTGCTTCAAAATGATTGCCTTAATCACATGCAGATTAATGCTGGTGATTTGATTACGGCTCACTTTGATTGTCTGACTAAGCATTGTCTGAATTGTGTATCGCCCTGTTCACCTGAAAATGGACGCATTCACAAGCTTGCTTACTCCTGCCTTGCCACATTCACATGCTTTCCAGTCAAATTATTTTTGGGGCCGACTTGGGGCATGGGCCTCTAAAGCAAATTCTCCTGCCCAAGCCCTGCTGCCGTTTTCCTTTCCGCAGGCCCTCAATTAAAGGACTGCCCAAGGCATTGCTGATCTTCTGGCGTACTAGGATTGTCTCTTGCATTTCAGGTTTCATTGAGGAATGTGGAATGAGCTCGCCGGTGGATTACTTTTGGTACCGGAAGACTCTGAACATCTCCACCTCCATCGACGATTCCGGAACGGTGCAGTGGTGGCTCCTGCTTTGCTTAACGTGTGCCTGGGGTGTGCTTTATGTGTGCACAATCCGAGGCATTGAAACGACCGGGAAGGTACTTCTTTCTGGCTTGCGATGGAAAAAGAACGACCTCTTGCAGTGTCTTTTCCACCCTGGCAATAGCTCCTGTGAGCTGCCCCGGAGTCCCTTGGTTCGGACATGTCCCATTCCAGGCTTTGCCCTGCCACGTCCCCTGATCTGGGCTTGATTTTGAGACTGGGGAAAAGTCTCTCTTTCACAAGGGATGGACAGCCTGGTGGGGGAAGAGGGACAATGAGAGAAACCCAGTGGGTGGGGAGGAAAAGAGAAACGTTTTCCTTCCCCTCTGTTACTTCCCTTCTGAAAATGCTCCCTCTCCGCACCTTGGGCTGCAAACCCAGGGATGAAAATCCCCTGACAAAATATTTATTTTATTTTATTTATTTAAAACTTTTCTATACCGTCCCTTCACAGATGTCTCGGGATGGTTTACAACAAATTAAATCGGAAGTGTCAGGGAGTATCATCACTGGAAAAGTTAATGGCAAATGTAATTTGTTAAATGAAAAATTAAGTGTCACCATAAATATGTAAGGTGAACAGCAGAATAACTAGTTAGAAGTTAAGATTTGCAGGAAAGGAGTGAAATTCAGCCAAAAGGCCTATTTTTAATTTTCAATGAGTATGTTTCTTTTTTACAAGCACACTCAGTTCCTTGGAGTGCATCCCAGTTCACCTGAAAAGTGTGGCCTGTGGTTTTCGGAGTGGCGCTTCACCAGCGCCTTCTCACCTACTCCCCTTTCAGCTGAATTTGCTTTCTTTGTATGAAACACATTCAGATGTTCACCTCTTGTTGCTGTTGTTGGGATCGCTGCAGTCCAGAGCTAAAAGCAAGAGAAAAAAGCACGTCAGTAACCTGGCCACCTTTGGTTAATGCTTCTCATTTTATTTACATTTCTAAATGCTATGCTAATCATGAAGTCGCGTCTGACCCATTGCGACCCCATGGACAACATTCCTCCAGGCCCTCCTGTCCGCCACCATCCCCGGGAGTCCCCCTAAGCTCACACCAACTGCTTCAGTGACTCCATCCAGCCACCTCATCTTCTGCCATTCCCTTCTTCTTTTGCCATCTCTTGTTCCCAGCATTAGGCTCTTCTTCAGGGAGTCCTTCCTTCTCATTAGGTGGCCCAAGTATTTGAGTTTCATCTTTAGTATCTGGCCTTCTAAAGAGCAGTCAGGGTTGACCTCCTCTAGGACTGACCGGTTTGATTGCCTTGCGGTCCAAGGGACTCGCAGGAGTCTCCTCCAGCACCACAATGCAAAGGCCTCAATCCTTTGGCGCTCAGCCTTCCTTATGGTCCAGCTTTCACAGCCATACTCATTTCTAAATAGTCCCTGATTATTCTGAAGTCATAAAGAAGGGAGTGGTTTTCAGGTGCACACAGGATGGTGGAACCTGGAGTGGAGTGGCGTTTTCGAGGGCAGGCTACCTGAACCAGGAAGAGGTGTATGGAATAGGCAGAATTACGCCAAACAGAAGCACTCTTAACATACACGTTTAAAATGCACATGTATATCAAGAAAGAAATAGAACAAATCCTGGATGTTGATGCGAAATGAGGAGGGTTTCTTTGGGAAAATTTAGCACTACCTAAAGGTGCCTGGAATGCTGACACAATCTTCATCTCAAAATCCCACTAGTAAAGGAAGGAATCCTAGTAAGGGAAGGACCTGCAAATGTCGTGGCCAAAAGAACGCGTGCTTTTGCTGGCGCAATTTCAGCAAAGCCTGCGATGGCACGGTCCCTCTCCCAAGGCCAGCTGGCTGCCCTGTGGACTCCGGCAAGGGCAGAGAATATATGAATATGGACCTCTTCCCTCTCAGTGACATCCCTTCTTTCTCCAGGCCGTGTATGTAACCTCAACACTCCCTTATGTCGTGCTTACCATTTTCCTGGTCCGGGGCTTGACCCTGAAAGGATCCGTCAGTGGAATTGTCTACCTCTTCACTCCTAACGTAAGTATTGAGCCGATGCTCGAGAAAAGCTTGATGTATCCAGCGTTGCCATTCGGAGAACCAGAACAGTATCAGTGGTCCATAGCAATAAACACAGCTCTCCCTGGTGCCACTTCCTTGGTGGACAGAGGAGGTAAAGAATGACATCCTTGGCCTATTATTTCAGCCCGGAATTGCCAGAGGCTTTTCATTTGAAAAACAAGGGGTGGGCAATGAACCCTGGATGGTCGCCGGAGGTCTCTGCAAGGCGGACGGGCGGTGGCACCACTCCTGGTGGATTCAGCCCAAGAGGTGATTGGACCGGGATGCACTTCAGGGCTGGCTCGGCTTAGGGCCAGGATGGACCATTTCAGCACCACACGTGTCCTTCAACAAACACTGCAAGCTCGCCCTTGGCTAGGATTCCTTCTATTGCAGGGGCCGAACGCTCAGGCCCGTTTCCCTCTCGTCCCCAGATTACGGAACTGGCGAACCCCGTCACCTGGCTGGATGCGGGCGCCCAGGTGTTCTATTCCTTCTCCCTCGCGTTTGGAGGCCTCATCTCGTTCTCCAGTTATAATTCCATCCAGTAAGTTCTCGGCGCGAATGGCGAGACCTCCACGCGAGTCTGAGGCGCTTTCCATTTCTCAGCGATGGTTGCCTTATCCCAGTCCTGTTGCCTTGCTATGCAGAAAGTCAATTTTTTAGTTGAACACCAGCGGATGGGAAGAATGAGGCTGGGTGGCACAGGGTGGAGGCCCTGAGAAGCCGGAGCTGGCAAAACCATTGCTCCTGGTGCAGCTGTAGGCACGCTCTCACACAAATAATGATCTAACATTTGAAATAAACACACACAACGTATATTTAAACAGGATGTTTCTATCCTACCTTTCCTCCAAAAGGTTCACAGGGGGCAAAGAAGCCCCCCCTCCTGATTTATCCCTCTAATCCTGTGAGACACCACAGAACTCACTGGGTGACTTTGGGCCGGTCACAGACTCTCAGCCTAGCCTACCTCACAGGGTTGTTGTTGTGAGGATAAAATGGGCAGGAGGAGGAGAGTTATGCTGAGTTTTTTGAAAGAAAAAAAAGGCAGGATTTGCATGTAATAATTAAATGAAGGAGTGAATACACCTGAGGCACTGGGGCTGGCAAAAGGCACTTCACAAACCTTGTGGCAGAGCTGGGACTAAAACCTGCTTTAACCACTCCAACCCCACCTGTCCTGGTCTTACAGTCCAACCAGTCCTCACCTCCCAGATGATTTGGACGGCAGCGCCCAGTAGTCCCAATCCTGCCCATTGTCCATGCTGGATGGGGTTGATGGGAGTTGAAGTCCAAAAAAGCGGAAGGCACTGGACTGGACTGGATGGACTGGCCAGAAGGGAATGTAACCCAGGGCTTAAGCACTGCACTGCACTGCACTTAAAAACTGGTTCTTGCTCACCTGTGTACCTGTGCTTTGTCTTGCAGCAACAATTGCGAGAAGGATGCCTTGATTATCTCCGTGATAAACGGCTTCACATCCATTTATGCAGCTACAGTCATATATTCCATCATTGGATTCAGAGCAACAGAGAGATACGATGATTGCTTTAGCCAGTAAGCTGCTTTTTCTGTTCAGCATATTTTTGAGAGTCGAGGGACTTCATTTTTCATTTTACTATTGTTTCAGGGAGCTCGCAACAGTCTTGTTCCATGGGGAGGGAGAGCCAGAGATGCCAGACTATTTTTCATGCACAAATCAGGCTTGTTGGGTCTGAGCAATGGAACATTCTAGTCCTCAGTCCTTTAGGTCATAAAAGAGATTGCACAGCCCTGGATGAATCGTTCCTGTACGATCACAGCGATACATTTGGAGAATTCTGTGCAATAAGCGAAATTCACTTTCTCCGTTTTCCTTTCTGTTTTGCAGAAATATCCTCACTCTGACAAATGCATTTGATTTGCCAGAAGGGAATGTCACCCAGGACAACTTTGTGGACATGCAAAACTGGTTGAATGCAACCTATCCAGCAACCTTTGCAACCCTGACCTTTAAGACCTGTGACTTGGAGTCATTTTTATCTGATGTAAGGTGACAACAGGGAAGGAACAGCACAAAGAATGGTGCAGGATACCAACCACGCAAATATCTGTAACACCCATGATAAGGGAAGGCTCGCACAGAGGAGACTAGGGATTTTAAAGATGGCCCATGCTTACTCTGATGCTTTTACCAAGATCTTTCACACTGGATGATATTTTTACTTTCTGCCTCTGCTTCTCAAACACCGGCTAATCCGTTGGTGCTTAAACCGTGTGCTTCATGGGCTGAGTGTTGGGCATTCCCTCCACCTTGTAGTTCTGGGTGGGCATCTTTGTAGGGGACAGGATAGAAACAAATAAACAAACATACTTTTAGCCATCTAGGAGTCAGTTTCCCTTCCAGACCACTTTGAGCAGACACAGTTGGCGAAAGCCATTTAAAACCTCCATGATTTGCTGTGGAAATTTGAGCGCAAACTAATAAAGAAGATTCAGCTTGCTTTCAGATTAAAACTATTCTGGTTAAGCAGAGCCGGCCTTCCCATTGGGCAGGGTGAAGCAAGGTCCTGAAGCCGAAAATGCCGGGGTGGGGGAGACAGTTGCAGAACCCCAAGCCTGAGCCTCAGGGGCATCGCCCACCCCCCGTATTCCCATTCCAGTGCCTTCCCATGCTGAAGTTAAAGTAGCACTCAACAGCCGGTCTGGATGTGGGATGGACACGCGATAACTCATCTTTTGCCTCAAGCAAGAAAACGACTTGTTAATAAGTCTCCCTAGAGATTAGTGGCTGGATTTCAGTGGCAAGGTGGGAATTTTTTTAAACGAATCCTGATATTTGAGAGAAAAGGTGGGGGGGGGGGGGGGGGGGGAAGGGAAGCGGATTTGGGGGGGGGGGGGGGGCAAGATGCAGCCTCTACCTTGCATGTTGCCCCCCTTGGCTTCATCCTTGTGTCTGTTGCTTAGATTTTATACCCTTGGCATCGACAGGGCCAATGGTTAATGCAAACCGGGATCTGAATCTAGGGTTTGCATCTGGCTAAATGAACCTGGTTTGTTTGGTCATGTCATAAATGTATATACCATTTGCCAACAGAAATATTGAAGTGATGAGCATAATAACAACAGCAACCCTCATAACATGATAAAACGGCTTGGTAAGATTACCATCGTCAGCAAGAAAATAAAATCTGATTGGGTCACAGCTCGGAGAACCCTGATCTAAAGTTATAGGTCTAAAGTCAAACTGTGAACGCCTGTCTGATGTGGAATATATTCCACAAGGCTTTTCACTTGTTCTGCCCTCCGTTGGTTCCAAATTTGAATGATGCCTTGGTGGAAAAGGAGTTACATGAATGTAAGTGACCATAATGACCCAGGACACCTAGGCGGTAAGATGATCAACAGCGTAAATCCTTCGCATGTCTCATTTCACCAACTGGTATCTTCTGCAGGGAGTTGAAGGAACGGGCTTGGCCTTTATTGTCTTCACGGAGGCCATCACCAGGATGCCCGTCTCGCCACTGTGGTCCATTCTCTTCTTTATCATGCTGTTTTGCTTGGGTTTATCCTCCATGTTTGGGAATATGGAAGGTGTCATGGTCCCTCTGCAAGATCTGCAAGTCATACCAAAAAAGTGGCCGAAGGAACTCATTACAGGTTTGTTGAAAGAAGTAGTGTGTCACTCATAGATTGTTTTCAGGAGAAGACAATAGGCGAAAAGTCAGCAACTTGTTCAGAGGCCCAGTAAGGGCAGCAGGCCAGGCAGAAGAAAATGGTCATAGCCCCTCATTGGTCCTACTCCTGCAGCCAAACACAGTAAACCATGTCCTGCTACTGAATTCTGCTGGGCAGTGGCTGAAGGGGCCCATTTCATCATTTGTCAGATGATGATAAGCAGCTCACCTCGCCCTCTAAGTAGCAGCTGCAAATGCATACATGCCCGCTTACTTTGATGATCAATCCATTGCGAACATCGATTAGTTCTTTCTGTGTTGCATTTTATCTAAAAGTACTCACTCGTGCTTGCTCTTTGTCTGCAGGTCTGATTTGCCTGGGGTCTTACTTGCTCGCCATTATTTTTGTGCTAAGGTCGGGAAACTATTGGCTAGCTCTGTTTGACAGCTTCGCTGGATCCATTCCCTTGCTGATAATTGCTTTCTGCGAGATGTTTTCGGTGGTCTACATATATGGGATAGACAGGTACATCCAACTGTTCTCAGGAACCTCTTGTCCTGAACTGCGAGTAGGGGAAGGCTGCCTAAGGAAGTATTTTACCCCGTGGCCCTGCTGGAATGCAAGGAAAAGATTTCTTGCCCATTCCACAGACCTGTCTTAAGAATTACAGAATTACTTTATATGGAACAGGGTTGCCTCTCCTAAAACAGTACAAATACTATGTGTTCTTCTTAGAAATACTTTGTATATAAATATCAGAAATGCAGGGAATGCCGTTTCCTTGAATGTTTCTGGCGATCGTACCGGGATGGAACTCATTATTATAGCACTGCTTTCCTTGTGGTGGACACTGAGTTCCCGGGCACATCTTTCTCTTGACTGTGCAAACACAGGTCAACATACTGGCTGAGTTCGCAGAACAAGGTGACCTGTTTCACAAGACAGTGATCTGTTGTGTCTTGCACACTGGAGTGATTTCTGCAGGGGGCAGAAGCCCTTCTGCACCACCGAAAAGCAGAAAAGTAAACGGGGAGGACAGAAGGAAAATTGGGCGCAGAAAGGAATCTGGCAAGGGCAAGGTGGGAAGACATGATCTTCTAGTTAGCAATGCAATTCTCCGGATTGTACTAGTTTTAAATACTCTCCACCCTTTTTCAAGACTGCAGGTAGTCCAGAAAGGTGAGAGATTAACTCCCCACCTTCTTGAGGTTTCCCTCCTGGAGTGCTTAGTGCTGCACTTACTGTTCTGACAAGAAAACCCTGAGAAGGTGGCTGAATGGGGCCTAGTGAGAGGCGCCCTGGGATTTGTCCCCAGAGGTGGCAAACATTATGTGCAGACCCACCCACTGAGGTTGCGTTGCGTGTGGGTTGCATGTCGTTACCGAATCATGATTATTGTGTCGTGTGAACCTAGCAGCAGCAAAGTTTGTTCATGTAGCACAACAGCCCACAAGTATCCATGGTGCAATGACAATTCACATGTCACCAGCATTCTGGCTCCTCCTGTTGTGTGAAGATTCATTGTCTGCATCACAACACCCACTTCCATCTGTTTGTGAGCTTGGTTGGAACCTGGCTATATCCATTATCCCTTCCTAGAGAGCAGCTGATGCGTTTCTGTGCCTGAAAGTCATGCCAGGGCAGTGTCGTGGTTAAGAGAGTTGGACTGGGACGCAGGAGATCTGCGTTCCAGTCCCTGCTCAGCTGGGTGACTCCAAAGCATATTCTCAGCCTAACCTACCTCGCAGGGTTGCTGTTTGTGAGGGTAAAGATGGAGAGAAGGTGAAGCTGACATGGGGTCCTTGCATAAGGAAGAACAGTGGGGCATAAATGTCACGTGATCATAAGTCTATCCGTCCGGCCCCTTTTTAGTCAAATGTCATTTTAACTGTTAATAGTATTTATTTATTTTATTCTTCGGCCAGGGCGACTTAATTTATACTGTTAATTTATATTTTTTTAACGAAGTTATTTATGTTTGTGAGCTGCCCCGAGGCTTCGGCGAATGGGGCGGGATAGAAATTTTATAAATAAATAAATAAATAAATAAATAAATAATAAATAAATAAATAAATAAATAAATAAATGCAAAGCATTGTTCTGCCGCATGTGAGAACCGGAATCTGAATGTGTGGACAACGGTTGTGTTTGAGGCCATGTCAGCAGCTCAGAAAGTTCTTTCTGCCCATTCGCTTCTGCCAGCGACCAAGCCGTCGGTCTGTCCTAGGCGACGGGGCTCTCCCTCACCTTCCCTTGTCTTTATCACCAGATTCAACGAGGATATAAAGTTCATGATTGGGCACAAACCCAACATTTTCTGGCAGGCCACGTGGAGAGTGATCAGTCCCCTCATCATGATCGTCATCTTCTTGTTCTACTTCGTGGTGAAAGTGTCTCAACAGTTACTGTACATCACCTGGGACCCCGATTATGTAAGTGCCCACATTCAAGGAAACACACCCCAGACTACATCGTCAATGCCCCCCCTTCTTGCCTGGCTTCTCATGCCTGTTGGGGCCCCTGCGGCTGGAGTATCGTGTTCATGTCTGGGGCCCTCGTGACAAGGGGGATGGAGCCAGGTTGGGATCAGTGCAGCGAAGGGCCACTAGGGTGGTGGCTGGTTTGCTGGGGAAGCCAAATGAGGAGAGACGGAGGGAGCTGGGCCTGTTCAGCCGTGAGAGGAGGGGACTCAGAGGAGACCTGTTAGTGACATAATGGTACATGAGGTGGGTCCTGACCTTTCCCCCCTGCAGCGGAGGGCAGGACATGTTCCAATGGGGCCAAGCTCAGGGGACCCAGGTTCAATTTGGATGCCAGGAAGGACTTCCTGGCAGTTAGGACCCCGAGGGTGTGGAATGGGCTTCCATGGGAGGTGGCTGAAGCCTCATGGGTAAGGATGTTCAAGGATAGCCTGGACATGCACATGGTGGGCATGTCATGAGCAGAGCCGGCTGGAGCCAGGGGTTGTCCATGGGGTCGCGATGGGTCAGACACGACTTCGCGACTAACAACATGTCACCATGAGTCACCATGAAAGGTCACTATAAGTCGGAGGTGACTTGGCGCATAACAACTACCGTTTCCACACCTGTGATGGGCTTCCTACTTTTGTTCTACCCTGAGATCTGCTCCGACAGATTGTAAAACAAATGGCAATGATATTGCGTGTAACAGCAGACAAAGAGGGTCAAAGTATGCTTCCGGGTGGGGCCAAAAGCATATTGCTTGCATCCGGAAGATCCTAGTCTTCAGTTAAATTATTTAGGATGCTGTACCTTCAGAGAACACCCTCCATTTCACCTGCAGTGCCACGATTCCTTGAGACCTGTTGTGAACCGATTGTTGCAATGCAAAGCGCAACCAACGGGGCATTGTTGAAAACAGGACATGCACACACTGCCCGCGTTGATGGCCCTGTGGCCTCATGTGCACGGGGAATACACCCAAGGGTACACGCAGGCCTCTCACATGTTGAGGAACGGCTGCAGTGGCCCTTCAGTGGCGTCTGTCTACACTCCTGGCCTCTTTTCACTGGGAAACCCTCGGTGACCTGTCAAAGCATTTCAGGGTTCCCCTGGAGTGGTCCCACATCAGTGGTCTATAAGATATACATGTCTCTAGATTTCCCTCTTGGGATCCCGCTGCTTTCACCCTTGCATCTGAAATGCCTCTTCTCCTTTTCACAGGAAAACTTCCCCAAATCCAAAGCAGTGCCATATCCAGACTGGGTTTACGTCATCATTGTCATCCTCGCGGGAGTGCCCAGCCTCGTTATCCCCGGCTTTGCCATCTACAAAGGCATCCGAAGTGCCTGTGGAAGGAGAAAGGATCCCGGACGGCAAGATCTGGTCAATGCCATATCAGAAGTATCCATCAATGGAGACCTGAAGAACATGGCGTAACTCACGCTCCTGAGAGACCACAAAGACTTTTCATGAGAGATGGCAGAATGCGGACGTCTCCCTACCTTGACCTCAAAGCAGTGGCTGCTTCCTTGAAAGGTCCCAGGTGCCATGTTGTAAATGACTGTCTTTAGCCGTCGTTGCCGGATGAGCAGATGGCTAGTTCCGATCCTAACATGCACCTGCGATACTCGGTTTCCCCCCTTTGCGTGCCCCCATGTTGCATAAAGCACAACCCAACCTCTTTTCAAATAATGTATTATTAAACAAATTATATTTGGGGACCGTTCTGACTCTTTTTTAAACTTGTGGAACTGTCGTAGCATCTGCTTTGCTTCCCAACCATGAAATTAACCTCCTGACTGATGAAGAACAGCAAGAAATAAGAGTTCAGCAGTAAATTACACTTTTTGCACCCGTAATATAGCATGTATAAAGCACTAGAAATGTTTAGCATGAATCTGTAAAGTCCAATACCTCAAATAGTTACACTCAGGGCATTTGTCACTGAGGAGCAAAATAAAATAATACAGTAGACTCTTGACTATCCGGCTCGTGACTATCCGGCCTAGTTAAAAATTAACTATCAATGAGCAGTAAAATAAGTTTAAATAATTTTTGTAAGAATTAAGCCTATGTTTTATGTTAATGTTTTGTTTATTTAAAAGTGTATGTATTCATACTGCACAGTGAACATGATTTTATGTTTCCTGCAATTGTTAGACATTATAAAATGTATCTTAAAATGTGTACAATATTTTTATCCTTGGTCTTCCTTTTTCTGTAATAAATTTTTAAAACGTACAGTACAGTACATAAACATTTATAAAGTACTGGCCTGTACTAAGAGGTCAGAAAATATGAATAAGAGTGGGTTTTGGTATAAAAAAGGTGTTTTTAATAGTATGGGTGGGGTAGGAAGTGAGCATTTATAGAACTCTGGCGTATCCGGCCTTTTTGTTATCTGGCCTGCCCTTCTGCCACATTAGGCTGGATAGTTGGGAGTCTACTGTATTTTCAGGTGTTACTGGTCTTTCCTTGGTATTTGCAAAGAAATCTTATTCACTGAGAAAGCTCTGCAAGTAAAGCTTCAAATGAAGCATGCACTGGGCGTCCTGCAAATCAGCCACTGAAGACCACCCAGCTGCAGCATGTTTGGCAAAAAATGGCGTTCGGCTCTACGGTTTTCACTTTGAGAGCGTGAACTGCACTTATGATGGGGTCGTGATATGTTCTGTCTGTTGCGATCCTTGAATATTACTGAAAAGTGAATCCCAGTTTGGCTTCCTTCTTCACGTTTTGTTGGGTGGTTTTAGCTATTCTTTTGAAATTGCTATTTTTAGTTTGTAAAAGAGTAATATCTTTCCCAGCCGCAAGGTCAGAGAAGCGCAGAAAGAATGGAGGAAGCTGCATCTCTGGATTGCGGATGTGAGGAGTCCAGGAGGTGCCTCCTAGCAGGACCTCAGCTTCCTAATCTGCACCTTCTGTTCTTCTCTTTTTCTGCTCTGAGGGGGATGCCCACAGTTCCCTGACTCTGGGCCCTGATTTGATTAGAGTGCACATATTTCTACTGTTTTATATTTCTTTGTTATTATGGCACTAGAACCTGTGTGCAAATTTTGGAGTTTTGTGCGGATCTCTTATTTTGCTAGCAATTTGGAGACAAACCCTCAGCCTAGTTCTGCTCATCTATAAAAGAAGTGGCTACTCGGTGGCGCAGGCCTGCAAAGAACAGCCCCTGCTCAGTGAATGTGTCTGAGAGGTGTCCTCTCGGGGCTGCCCCAGGCATCGGTCTTGGCTCGTTTGCAAATCAGGAGCCAGTGTGGAGGAAGCGGGAATCCCGCCTCCTTCCTCTGTAATCTGAAAGCACATTTTGGAATTACATGTGTCACAACGCTAGCAAGGGGTTTCCACAGAATTACTGCTTGAAAACCTGGTCTGAAGGGGATTTGCAGTGTGAAGTTAAGAGACTTGATAAGCATTAACCTTGGCTGATACCTGTGCACAAGCAACTTCAAACTGGCAAGGCAAGGCAAGGCGAATTTGCTTTGGAGCCAAGGTGAGGAACAGAAAAGGAGCATACAGCTTTGCTCTCAGCACTTAATTCAGTCAACCATCTGTTCTAGCTTCCTTTTTGAATCCTGAAATTCTGAAAACACGCAGCCTCTTGGTATAGAACCATCTGGGGAGATATTCAGAAGGATTTCTGCTTGCTCCCTTGGAGAGCTGGTGGATGTTGACCGTCTGTGGGAGTGTTTCAGGTGTGCTTCCACCTATGCGCTACCTGTGCATTTGCAAATAAATGCAAATCCAGACAAGGGCAGATCAGCCACCGGTGATGTCCTTCCAAAGGGCTGCATCTCTAGATTTGGATGCTTCTGGACAAAAATTAGCTGACAGCAGCAATTGTGTTCTCTCTCTTCCTCAGCAATTTTCTGCCTGGAGGAAATGTTGAAAGGAGCTGTAAGGAAACACAGGAGAGTTACAACCTAAAGATAATGTTGTGAACTGCCCCATGAACAAGGCCAAGTGATGACATGTGAAAAGTCTCATCTGCATCACCTTCTGAGAAAAGGGGTGCCCACTACCTAGAGTCAATTTGCACCTTTAAGGCTACCTAAATAAAAGTATTGGGAGAGCATTTTCTACTTCATTATGTAATTTAATTGCCCTTAGTGGTGGAAATAGTCTCACTTTTCAATATATTTAAATCAAGACTAATTTAGCCTCTCTCACAGCATTACTAGGTTTTGAAAGGATATTTATTAGCCTTCACATGTTAATAAATTGTTCCACTGTTTTTGTGGGAATGAAGAAAGCTATGAGAGAAACCAGAGGTTAATCCACCATCCAAATAAGGCAATATCTGAATCAAAATTGAATTTCTGAAGTGTGAAATGACCTTAATGGTCATTAGAAAATTGCTGAGAGGTGGTTATCCCGCTGTCCCCGGACAGGAGTGGGGGGGGCTTCGCATGCCATATTCTTTGGTGTGATGTCAGAGACGGAAATTCCACAGCCATTGTTCAGAATTCTCTGGGTTGTTTCTTGTCGTTTATTTGGCAAGTGCTGACTTTGAGCTGCCGAGCTGGGAAGCAGGTGGTGAAGATGTCGCATGCGGAGGACTCAAGAGACATTCAGGTCGATGCGAGGCCAAAGTGGGACAACAAAGTACAATACCTTCTAAGCTGCATTGGGTTTGCTGTCGGCTTTGGGAATGTATGGCGCTTCCCGTACTTGTGCCAAATCTATGGAGGAGGTGAAAGAATTTAATTATCTATTCATTTTGGCACTGTCTGGGTGAAAATTAAATTGGGATTGTCGTTTTCTAGAAGCAACGCAATTAGAGTTGTGGGATGAGTCCATGAAAGCATAGTTCTCTATTGATCCATGTTTAAAAAAGTTTGAGCCTACATCACGATAAGGCGGGATTCCAGGAGAAGCCTCAGTCATTATTCAATAGCAAGCTGTTGGCTCTTTCAGGGAGAGACAAACCAGGGTTCCCAGTTCACACATAATACTAAACAAACAATGGATGGAAGGTCTATGGTTTGTTTAGCCACTCCCACTTGCCACAGGAACAGTGGACATAACTTACAATTCCACTACTCATACCTAACAGGTAGGGGAACCCTGGCTTTTGGGGATGTGCATAGTAGGGCTTGATCCTATTTCTCAGTTCATCCTTCCCCTCCTTTCCCAAGGGTTTCTTGGCCTCTCAAGAAAAGGCCAAGCCCATCTTTATAGTTCAATGAATTGAAATCATGGGATCTTGTTAGTAAGTTGGTCTCTGAAGCCATCTATCATGGATGCAGCAGCTATATGGGCAACGGACTACAAGAACAGGGTTGGCAACTCTCTACTCCTAACAAATGTCCTCTCCAGAGATGTGGATACATCCTGGAGAAATGGTCTAATTTTTCTTCTCTTGGCCCTGAGTTCAACCCAGATGCTGTTAAGCGATCTCTCTTCTTCCCAAATAGCTGCAGCCTCTGTAACTTAAGATTGCATCAGAAGCAGCTTCGCCCGTCCATAAACAACACTTCATTTCTCAGCCCTTCCTTAGTCAGCCCTCGATGACCTGCCTCGGAGGGCGTGAGCGACTCCAGTGAAAAGCAACTGCACTGCAGATATTCCAGGGGGAGAGGAAAATTCAGCCCCTGGTGGGTGTGATGGCTCGATAAACGTGGCTCAAGCAAGACTTTGAGCAGAACTGTCCTTTAATGCTACATCTGGAGCAGGTGCTGCTGTAGGAAGCTCAAGAGTGCCAGGAAGCAGCAGCCTGAATTCACGACAAGCTAAAACCACAATTGTGCAGTCATCCAGCAACCGCCATGCTTATCTAGACCTGTCTCTACTGCGCAGAGTTGAACATTTCAGGGCATTGTAATATCACTGAGGATAGGGGACAAACCTCCAACACTTGCTAAAGAGTAAGAGAGGAAGTGTTGGACAAACCTCCAACACTTGCTAAAGGAGAAAGAGGATACAGACTTCTATCAAACTTGGAACACTTTTTATCATTGGCTAGTGAAACGGGACTATGAGTAGATTTGAAAATGTTTACAGATTGCTATAAAAAAATAGGGAGCTGACCTAGTAGGTCTGATGCTTTATGTTTTTTAGTTTCTTCTTGTTAGTTTGTCAAAAAATAATAAGAAAATTTACTTTAAAAAAAAAAAGAACTCCAGTTCTGAACTGAAATGCTACCTATCTTTGCTGCGTCCAGGAGGCACATCGCAGGGATGTGTCGTTAATGGTTCTGCTCACCTCTGCTTCATTCCAACTCTGTAATTCGCATTCAGAGGTGAATAGGGTGAAGAGCACGTTTCACTTCAAAGGCCTTACTTGTCACTATTTGAAGTCGCCAACAACTGGAGCTTTGGGTCTTCTTGGGACTGTTAGCATCTTCCATCGTTACTCATTGATCCGGCTTTACTGCCTGGATTTAATGCCTGACTGCCTTGAGGTATTTACTTTCTCTGAATGAATGGACAGTGGATTTCTGGTTTATGTTGTTTTTTTAAAAAATTTTGCAAGAAGCATAAGAAACAAATAGCCAAGTTTCTAGGCCACTGGGATAATAAAAGAGGCCTTTCAGAAGAACAAGTTTGTGTGTCTTTTGGCTTTAAATATTGACTCTCAAAAATGACTTGAAAATGTATCTTCTCTAATGTGGAAAACTGCTGAAGTTGCAAACATATGAATAGGTCCAATAACCCTCTTGGGCCTTCATTGCTGAGTGTCACTTTCTGTCTTCGTGCTTCTGCTTTTCAAGAAAGACTCTTCAGTGATATCTTATGTGAAATATGATCGCTGCACCTGACCTTGGAGGATGAACCCAAAGCTGATTAACTTGGGTTTTAGACCGCAAAGCTGTCAAATCAAAAGAGACAAAGCCATTTTGTTCTGCAAATACCTGACCTTTAGTCATAATAAAGCGGCAGAAGGTAAAGGGTTGGCAGAAGAAGGAGGGCTGCGACACCCTTTCTCAGAGCATCCTATGGCACAACCATGAGGTTATCTGGAAACTAGATATTTCCTTTTACCAGTGTGGGCATACCGCGTGCACGATTTTGTTAAACCGAATCCCCTTGACGTTGGCTTGTTCAGAGTGACTTGGCAACAGAAATGCTACCGATTCACCAGACAGCAACTGCTACGACACAGTGGGGGGTTTTTTCAAGGAAGAATGCTAAACCACAGTTAAACCCAGTCCTTCTCACCTGGTCTTTACAAGAGGATGCCAGGCCGTTCATGGATATTCAAGCAGCTTGACATGTCATCCAAACTCAGCAGAGGTGCCATTGATCAAAGGTTAAAGAACCCGCTCATAAACCTGAAACGAGCCATTGTCAAGCCCTTGCTTACATTCATCCCTGTTGAATTCAGACAACACAACAAAAGAGAGAGTGATCCTAATGGGCAACATTTACACACATTTAATAATCAATCAATCAATCAATCAATCAAGATAGTGGCTTGAATATGATGACCATCATGCAAACTGATCCACTATTTGTTGTTAGGCCCAACCTGAGAATTATGGTTAGTTTTAATGATGGTTTATCAAATAAGCCAAGATAATAAACTACATATTGAAGCTGGCATGTTCCGGTAAACAATAACTAAAATTAATCACACTTTGTCCAGGTTTAGACATAACAATAAACAGTTGTTTTTTTCGTATGTTTTGTGGGGGTTCCGTGTTGCATGAGGACCTGGGAGATCCAAGTCTGAGTCTGTTATTGGCCATGAAGCTCACTGGATAATTTTGGGCCAATTACTCACTCTTGGTCTAGCCTACCATGCAGGGTGGTTGCTGTGAGGAGTGGAGTGGAGAGAACCAAACTGCCTTGGGTTCCTTGCAGAAGGGAAAAAGGCAGGAAATGAATGCAATGAAATTGTGACCTATTTTTACACTATTTATTAATAAATACAAGGTTATATATTACTTTAAGACAACTCAATACCCTGGGTAGTGTACAGGAAAGTGAAAAACATAAAGTGAAAAACAACCACGTTTTTGAAGTATAGAAAATTAACTGCAAATTTGCAAAAATGGACTGGAAACCTACAGAAACAAAATTGGAAGGGGCCTCAAAGGTGATTGAACCCATCTCCCTGTTGATGGAGGCTATCCCTTTATGGAACGCTCTAGCATCTTTAGAAAGTATCAGCTGAAGTTGGGGCCACTGTCTTTCTGGGCAGCATGTCCTCTGTGGAACAGCCGGCACCATCCGGAAGGTCTCCCTAAAGCTTAGATGAAATCCAGTTTCTTGTCTCTGGATCCTGTACACTCCTGAGCGGCAGAACCATTAAGGCCCAGTCTTCTCTGTCATGGTTTTTCAAATATTTGAAGGTGGCCATCACAACCTCCTCTTAACTGACATCTTCAGGCTAAACCTACCCACCTATGTCAACCTTTCCTCATAAGTTCTGTTCTCCAGGTGTCTCTCCCATCTTCTTCCTCCTCCTCCTCCAGTTACCTTATATCCTTCTTAGGTGCAGTGCCCTGAACTGGATGTGGTATCCAGGTGGGCTCCAACCATAGTGGAAAGGAGGGGCTCCATTACCTTTCCCGATATGGTGGCCACACAGCTCGATGCAGCCTTGGCGTGCACTAGATTTATTGCTCCTCCATCACACAGCGGATTCATCCTTCGTTTCTTGCCTGCTGCGTTGCGGCTTCTCCAAGAGACTTGCTAATAATTTTTGGCTGGAGGATCCCAGATCCCCCACAGAAGTACAAGCCCCAGAAGTGCTTGATTAGGAGCCCTGGAACCTTGATGTTTCCACACCCGAATCTGCATGCGTACCAACCAGTGCCCCGAAACTAGTTGCACCTTCATCCTGTTCCCTGTCCAACCGATGTGCTGCCAGATACCTTCTGCTTAAAAATAATGATAGGACTGAGACCAGTGTGGCAAGGAGTTAATTGTGTTTGGCCCTTATGTCTCTAGGTGCATTCCTGATTCCCTACGTCATTGCACTCTTCTTCGAAGGAATCCCGCTATTTCATCTTGAACTGGCCATAGGGCAGCGCTTGAGAAAAGGCAGTATCGGAGTCTGGACCCAGATCTCCCCATACCTGGGAGGACTTGGTAGGTTCCTATTGTGTCGCTCTGAAATGTGATATTGGGTGGTCACTCTTAAAACCCGTGGGCTCCATATGATGCATGAGGAGGCCCCACCATGGAGCTGAGAACTTGACCGATAGTGTGACAACTGAGGGCAAGAGAAAGGGAGGGAAATGACCCTGTCAAGCCCCTGAAGAGCTTAGAAAGAGTATCCTGAAAGGTGAGTAAGGGATTCAGGGCATACATATAGAACTGTACTGCAACTGTACAGCGAAGATTTAGGAAGAAGGGAAGCCAGAAAACGCAGTTCCCAAACTCCCTGCTCCATCCTGCTTCACTGCGTGTTGATGGAGTGTATGAAGTTCAGAGTGAGTGCGGAGAGCTACCTGGCCCGAAGAGCAGAGAGAGGAGTAGCTCGGGAGGAAGAGAAAGTTGTGCCTCCTTACTACACTCCCGACACTTCCCCCTTCCCCCTGCATGGCCTGCAAGTGCCCTGTGTTAGGGCGTTTGGTGCCCTGGGCAGGAGAGTCCCTTCAGATGGAGGCAGGCCCTCCCGCAGCTCCACCTGTGAACCTGTTCTGAGGTTGCCTCGCATCTCCTCCTTGGATTTCTCGTGGCTTGGCAGGGCAATCCGCACCCCGAGCCCTTTCGCCTGCTCATGCCAATGGGGCCAGCTGCTGGATTTTGCTCCGTGGCCCAGGATGGGGCAGGGAAAGCCACAGGCCAGCCGAGGGGCTAGGGAAGCCCCTCAGCTCTGCCCTCCAACAGAGGGGGGCTGTTGAGGGGCTCAGGAAGACGGGCAAGGCAACCCTGCATGGACCTCCTGGGGCACCCACTGATTCACTTCAAAAGGTTCTCAGTTGTGCTTGCAGAGGCTGGTGGAGGAAACATAGAAACAGAAACTGAGTGAGTCAGAAGGGGCCTCCTAGGCCATCTAGTCTGACCTCCGGCACCAGCCGGCTCCGCTCACGACATGCCCACCATGTGGACATCCAGCCTAGCTTTGAACACCCACACCGATGGGGCCTCAGCGACCTCTTGTGGAAGCCCATTCCACACCCTCGGGGTCCTGACTGTCAGGAAGTGCTTCCTGGCATCCAAACTAAACCTTGGCTCCCTGAGCTTTGCTCCGCTGGAGCGCGTCCTGCCTTCCTCTGCAGGGGAGAACAGGTCTCTACCCACCTCCGCGTGACACCCCCTCACATACCTGTATGTCACCAACAGATCCCCTCTGCGTCTCCTCCTCTCCAGGCTGAAGAGGCCCAGTTCCCTCAGTCTCGCCTCATACCGCTTCCCCTGCAAACTGGCCACCAACCTTGTGGCCCTACGCTGCACTGACTCCAACCTGGCTATATCCTTTCTGTAATGAGGGGCCCAAAACTGAGCACAATACTCCAATTGCAGGCATACCAGAGTCATATAGAGTGGTAGTAATACCTCTCTTGATCTAGAAGCCACACTTCTGGCTATGCAACCAAGGGTGGCGTTCGCTCTCTTGACCACCGCATCACACTGCTGGCTCAGATCCTTCCGCCGTTGCTGCCACCAAGCAGTTCAGCTTTAAACTTGCCACTTTGCATCCCCAGGAGAAGTACAGGAAGGTTCTCCTCCGAGTCTCTGTTGGGCTGACTCTTTCTTCAGCCCCAGTGGGGAGTGCGCGTCTTCCGCTGCCCTGAAGGCTGCGCAGGACTGGCCTCCTGAGACGCAGCTCTTTCCTTGAGCCCCGCGCTGCCGCCGTCTCCCAGCACCTGCCGCCCGAGGCGACCGCCACACTCTGCCCAGTGGTAGGGCCAGCCCTGCCCGTGCGTGTGCTGATCCTTAAGAAGAGGCAGACGCTTCCGATCAGCCACCCCGCGTGCTAAACTACGAGTCCTGGGTAACTGGCCTCCCCGTTCTTGCTAATCCGGTGTGCTTGTCCGCTCCACAGGTTACGCTTGCATGGTGGCGTCCTTCTTAGTGAGTGTCTACTACAATATGATTTTGGCCTGGGTGTTGTGGTACTTTGTAAACTCCTTCAGAGATCCCTTGCCTTGGAGCATCTGTCCAGAATATAACTACAACGCAGGTGAATTCTGTGGGTCTCGCTCTTTGCAATTACATGTGTGTGAGTACTTTTAAATGTACCCGGGCGTTCCTTACACTGCTCTAATCACTCTGCCCCACTCCCCCAGTGCAAAGCCAGCTTTCTCTTCTCTTCCCTGCACTCTCCCACCCCCAGCATACAAGCTCCTAGCATCCCTCTTCCCTGTCCTTCAAATTAATTCAAAGAGCTTATTATCTGGGTAAGACGGAGAGGAGACTATTGTGTTACTGGCAGAGGAGAGGCAGTGGGGATGGATTTTGGCTTGGACATGTGTGACCGTGAGAAATCCCTTTCTACATGAGGCATCTATTGTGTGCTTATCATGCCTTCCCCTGGTTGACTGTAAGCCCTCCAGACAGCATCATATCCCTTCCGCTTCACTCCTTGGCACTTCCCAGGTATTTTTTTAATAGAAGAGGGAAAATAGGGTATTATTTTAGAATGGGGGAGATATCTCGCTGCGGTTTCTCCTAGTGTATTTGAGTTTTTCTGCTATAGCACAGTGCCACCTAGAGGATATATAATGGAAAGACAGGAGAGGAAGAGCTTTTTGTTTAGCGCTCCTATCTCTGTCCTGGGATGATACTAAAAGTAGATGCACAAGGTGACCAGCCTTGTGTTAAGAAAGCCCTAGACTCCAGTGCTGACTGGCTGCAAGAGCTGTATTCCAGCCTTCTCCAACAGCTGTTTCCTTAAGCCATATCCCAGCCTGCTTTGCTCTCTATGTGTCTAAGCATTAAAGGCACGCTCCCCCTGCCCACCCCGACTTCCAGCCACACTTGCATTTAGTGACCCAACGTGCCACGGTTTGAAGAGACACGCCACTGTCTTTGTATCTGCCTTGCTGGGCTTGGCTTGGCCAAATTTGTGATTAGAACCGAGTCAGGGTTTGCCGCTGCGATGCACACAATATTGTGGACTGGCTCAACCAGCAGAGTTGGAGAAATTGCCGCGGTGCAGAAGGGGAAAGCAAGATCCTTCTTTGCTCTGCCTCCAACTTCCACCCATGTGCTTGGTAGCTTTTAATCTGTCTTTCTGCCGAGGGAGTGCCATGGCTGGAAGTAAGTCCATTCTCACCAGAAGAAAAATGGTGCAGAAGCATCATTGATTGACTGGATTTCTAACCTGCCCCATTAGCTGTAGGGCTTCCTAGGTGGGTTACGACAGCAAAGTTCAATGTTCAAATGGAATGTCATGTCCTGGGGGGAGAATTCAACTTTCCGCTTCCGCCCAGCCTTGTTTCCCAAATCACAACCTTGGAATGATACAGAGAAGGTGGTGTCCAAAAGACAATTTGGGAAGTGCTCAGGGAAGTACCTATACTGAACTAGGCTGGCAGGCTTTTCCTACTCTACTGTAAATGCACAGAGTCTGAGCTGGACCACTGTGCATTTCTGAAAATCTTCCCTCTGTGCTGACCCTTTCCACCACCTGCTGGCAGAGGGACTTAAGCGAAGCGAAGCGAAGCGAAGCGAAGTGAAGCAAAGCTTGGCTCCAGCATTTCTCCAAAATTCTACCGTGACCCTGAGAGGAATCAGATCTGTGTTAAAAGCTCAGCAAAATCAGCTAGCCGAATGCTGCTGGAACTGCACCATGGGAGAACGGAAGAAAGAAAATCTGTCACAGTTCTTTAAAATGAACTTCATATAACCAAATGATAACTCCCTGCCTGTAGAAATGCAGCAAGTTGGGAAAGATGTTCTAGTTCCCTCTCAGGATATATTTATTCATGGCTGTTCATGCCCAAAACACATGAGGAATTTTCCCTTGGTCTTAAGTAATGTCTCATATGGTCGCCTTGTTATCCTTGCAGCTGTCCTAAAAGAAACTTTCAAATAATATTATTTGAAATATTTCTTCATTTGAAATATTTTTATGCTCCCAACCAAAAGAGCCACCGGAACAGTGAAACGAGACTGCCCTGCCGTTTCAACATGACTAGTAAGGAAAAAAGAAATGAGAAGGGAAGAAGGGAAAGCTCCGGCCCGTGTCTGTCTAGCTTAACAATGCCTGCTGTGCTTCCCATTCCAGAACTCGCTGAAGAGTGCCACAAAAGCACGGCGTCCACTTTCTTCTGGTACAGACACACATTGAACATCAGCTCAGACATCACGCAGAGTGGCCCTTTTCTGTGGTGGATGGTTTTGTGCCTGGCTGCTTGCTGGATCATTCTCTACATGTGCACAATCCGAGGAATTGAATCATCTGGAAGGGTGAGGGGAGAGAATGGCACGGGATAGACTGTTCACTGCCCTAGCCCTCACTGAGGGGTTAAACCCACATCTGGAATGCACACCTGGAATGTACCAGCTCACTTTAGCAAATGTGCCACTGTATCTCCACCATATCTCTTTACACGAAGAGAACCAACGTGTTAGGTAGAAGGCTAACCTAGAATCTTTTCTGAATTCTAGGTGCTGATTTAATTTTTTGTTGGTTTTGTTTTCCATGCAGTGAATTTTTTGAGTGCATTCCATCATGTTAGTCTTGGTCTAAGTCGTATGGGTCTGATGCAGGTTCCACGCCACTGCAGTAAGAGAGGTTCTGGACGCAAAACATTTTAGGTCTCTTCAGTGCAACTGATGTGGGATATGTGTGACCATGTGCTGAAGGGGAAGCTCCCATGAAAAGCCTCGCAGCTGCTTTCTGGGTTAATTCCAGTTCCAGGCTGTCTTCAAAGACTGTGCCACTTAAAATGTCTCCTCTCTTGTAGTTTAATGGATAATATAGAAGACTTAGGGCAGTTTTTTTTAATTTGGCAAAAGACACTAAATAAGTTTAAGAAAATGTACAGAATGGCGCCAAGTTGCCCCAAGTTTAGCTCTGATTGCACAAAACTAGGTGTCCTAAAAGGGTCAGTGAAGCCACCTTGGTCTCCAACAGGGAACTGAATGAGCAGGGCACATCTGTGCTCATATTATCCACAGATTTTCCTTGTTGGACTGAGATGCCAGGACTTGTCTTAGCCTGAACCTCTCGCCTCACGCTTGCAATCTTTCTGCTGAACGGCTCCCGAAGCAGAAGCAAAGTCAGCATTATCGGTTGCAAATACCGCTAAAGGAAGTGGAAAGTGAGGGTGCTTTCCCTATACCCCTTCCCAGGATTTTTGGCAATGTGACCTTTCTCTGCATTGCTACCATTTATGGTGGGGTGTGTGGGGGGCTTTGGAGGCCTCACAGGTTTTTACCCTGCCCTGTGGGCTTACTTGGGGTCTTAGGTTCTAGTAGGACTGGAAAGTGGCTTTGGCCAGGAGCAGAGGGCAAGCTTTGGATACAGAAATTCCCAAGCCGATCCCGAGCATCTTCACCTGATCTGCCTTAAATGGCTGGGAACGATATTGAAAACACTCCATAACTTCGAAGAAGCATTTTTGAAAGTCCGACTAGCCCAGTTCAGCAACCACTACACCAGAGTGGATGGCAGCACCCACCTGACAGGCTTGCTGAGGATGATGGGAGTTGCTGTCCCACACAGCTGGAGGTTGTTCTAGACAGGTTGTGTAAGAAGCTCTAAGAGTGCCAAGAGGTTGGTTACGTCTTGGGCTTCAGTGGGAGGAAGCTGTGAGTCACTTGGCCAAGCTGTCTGCTTTCTTGGTGGTTTTCTTGCTTCCAGGTGATATATCTGACAGGCACATTTCCCTACATCCTGCTCACGGTGTTCCTTGTTTATGGACTGACTCTCCCAGGAGCTCGTGCAGGGCTTATCTACCTCTTCACTCCAAATGTAAGTGTTTATTCTATTTAATCCTGGGGTTCGCTTGGTGGATTAATGGCCTTCTTTTAGACACAGCTTTGAATTGAATTGTCATTGATATGGTTTCTGTACTTAATAGCAGACGCTGGATGGGAGCTGGAGGGGGTCTTGTGGGGTCTTGTAGACAGAAGATGGGAGAAGCAAGGGAACATCTTGGGATGTGACCTTTGGCTTCAGGAAATCATCTGTAGGCACTCACTGTGGTCGTGGAAACCCTTGCGCAGCCCTCCCCGACACGGCGTCCTCGAGGTATCTTTGACCACAGCTCCCAAGATTTGTGGGAGTTGGCCATGCCGCCAGAGGCACTAACTAAATCCCGAGTGGACACGACATTGTCTTGTGGCCAGTGGTGAGAGCAGAGGGCTCCCATTCATGGAAAAAGGGACAGAATGAGGAGAACGTGTTTAGCCTTGACCTGAGTCGGATTTTTAATTTTTAATTTTCTTTGAACAGGTGGATGTCCTGAAAAACCCACGGACATGGCTGGACGCTGCCACGCAGATATTCTATTCCCTTTCTTTAGCACTGGGGGGACTCATCGCATATTCGAGCTACAACCCACAAAAGTAGGCGGTAGCCAGTTTCCTCATTTCCGTTCGCAGCTCTTTCCCATAGCGTGTCTGGGGAGAGAATGTTCTCAGGACAGCCCCAAATCCCTACTCAAAATCCCTTTTCTTCCAAACTGTTCCATCACTTCCTGTAATAATTCCCTGTTGGTTAGCCACTTGGAGATGATCCGGGGACTGGAAACAAAGCCCTGAGAAAAAGTTGAGCTGGGCTTGTTTAGTTTCGAGAAGAGAAGACTGAAGGGAGAGCAGATAGCAGTTTTCAAATACTTGGGAAAAGTGTCCACACAGGAGAGCTGGTTTCTCTTCTAGGTCATCCTAGATATCCTGGTTCTGTCCAGGATACAGAATAATGGGCTCAAGTTGCAGGAAAACAGATTCTGGCTGGACATCAGGAAGAACTTCTAAACTAAAGGCAACTAAACCAATGACCTAAGGAGGTGGTGGGCTCTCCCACACTGGAGAGAGTACGGTCTACTGTTTAAAATCTGGGGAGAGCTAATATCCTGGAAGGCAGAAACAAAATTCAAGGTGATCTTGACAGGCTGGGCTGCTGGGCTGAAAGCAACAGAATGAAATTCAACAGGGACAAATGACAAGTTCTACACGTAGGAAAAGGGAACCAAATGCACAGTTACAAGATGGGAGGCAACAATGCTGCAAGCGAGAAGGATCTTGGAATTGTTGCAGATTAGAAACTGACTACGAGTCAGCAGTATGATGTGGCTGAACAAAGATGAATGCTGTTTTTGGGCTTCTTCAATAGAAGTGCACCCTCCAGATCACATGAGGTATTGGTGCTCCTCTATTCAGCACTAGTGAAGCTCCATCTTGGGTCCAGTTCTGGGCTCCACAGTTTAAGGAAGATGCAGACAAACTGGAAAAGGGTCAGAGGAGGGCAACAAAAATGACCAGGGGGCTGGGAACAAAGCCCTACGAGGAAAGATGGAAAGACCTGTGCATGCGTAGCCTTGAGCAGACTGAGGGAAGATACGGTAGCATTGTTCAAATACTTGAAAGGCTGTCACACCGAGGAGGGCCAGAGTCTCTTCCCAGTCACGCCAGAGTGTAGGATGCAGATTAACGGGTTCCGGTTACGGGAAGCCAGGTACTGGCTGAATGGCAGGAAGAATGGTATGGCGATGGGACCAATGACCTAGGGAGGGGGTGGGCTCTCCCGCACTGGAGGCATTCAGGAGGCAGCTGGACAGCCATCTGAGAGGGATGGCATCCTGCACTGAGCAGGGGGTCGGACTCAATGGCCCTTCCAACTATCCTGTGATTCCAACAGGGAAAGACGGAGGTTTTGAGAAGGTGACAGAGATTACCAGAGCAGCTTTGGATGCCCACTCGACATTTAGAATCAGTCCTGGGCACGGGGAATCCTCTGGTGTTGGTAGCCTTCATACACCAGCTGAGAAAGGTGCTTCATCTGTCAGTATGCCAACCTTTCTCCTAGGAATGACTGTGAAAAGGATGCACTTACAATTGCAATTGTGAACAGCCTGACCTCTCTGTATGCCGCCATCCCGATTTTTTCTATCCTGGGGTTCAAAGCAACCGTGGCCTACACAGACTGCTTGAATAGGTGAGCCATTCAAGTTCCATGCATTAATCTCAGTCCATGAGTTGCCTCAAGGTCTAAGATCTCAAGCTACTTTCCAGTTGTCAGGTTTACATGAGATGATAAGCTGTCTTACCCAAAATGGGTAGGGTGGCCCTCCCCTCCCCTTACTTGCATCTTAGACCTCCACAGGTATCCCAGGACAGCCCATGTGAAAAATGAAACAATCCCCCCATCTCCCTAGCTCTGAGCCATCTCAGGGTCCCCTTTGAATCCCTTTTACTGGGCAACTGCTGTCCAGCTGTCGTGAGCTGGCCCGTTCCCTCATTCCCTCTGGTTCCAAAACTCCAAACAATTCTTTGCAAAATTCCAGGCATTTCTTTTATTTAAGCTCCACAGATAACAGAACCGTTTGAGCTCCAAATAACCTTCTACCACTCCTGACAAGAAAAGCCTCTGCTATGGAAAGTGCTGAACCCAACTTGGAAATTTCCCCTGGTTCCTCCTTTCCAGAGAGGCTTTGGACTCCATCCTCAGGGTGGCTCTGGCTGCTTGCGGTCCAGGTGGCACGAAGGGAACAGCTCCTCCGACTGCGCAGCTCCTTACTCCCAGCTGCCTCCCCACTGGGTCATGAACAGGGCTCCCCCTTTCTCCCCTTCCCAAACAGGCTGGTTCTCATGCTTGGCCTGAGAAGCTTCAAGGGGCACCCCTGAAGGACCTTCAAAGGCATCGGCCCCTTGATGTGATTATGAGGCTGAGTCAGCCTTGGTTACCCCAGTGGATCACCTTTCTTGGGAGAAGTACAGAAGGAGGGCAACCCTGCTAAAAGCTCATCAGCTTTCGGTATCTTGATTGCTCATCAACTTTTTGACACCAACTTGGCGGCCTGTATTGGTCTCTGGTCTGTCCTGTGGTGTTGGAGTCAGGATGACCCTGGTTGCTTGGGCCCCTGGAAATTGCAGGACACCACCCCGTCCCCAGTGTGAGGCCACTGGGAGAGGCCATCTGGGGATCTGAAGCAAAGTGCTGTCAGTGTGACACCCGATTCAGCTGGGGTGGTGTACAACCTGGATCAGTGCCTAGACTCAGAGATGGGCTGGATGAGGCCAATGGACCAAAACCGTATCCTGGCAAGACGGAAGCTCCGAGCCTGGGAGAGGTGAGGGTTTGCATGGGGTTGCACTTCCTTTGAAAGCTCAGACTCGTTGTCTGGGGTCCTCCTGGGCCCAACATGGTCGCTGCAGAGGCTCAGAGCTTTTGACCTGGTTCCACTGGATTACCGGCTGCAGCGTCTCCTGGACAGAGGGGGCTTGGCTGCAGTGGCAGAGCTGCTGGCGACCTCAAGACCGGATTCCTGCAATGTGGGAAGCTGGAGCTAGTGCAGAATGCAGCCGCCAGCCGCACCTTTCGTGCAGGTAACTCCTTCGCTGGAGGAACTGCCCTGGCGGCTGATTTGGAGCTGCATCAGGTGTAACATCCTGGTAAAGGCCAAAACAACTTGAGACCAGCAGACCTAAGAAAGCACCTTCTGCCTCTTCCCGGCTGGTCACCGGGGCCATCAGATGGGACACTGCTGGTGGTTCCACATGGACCCATGGCCTTCAGTGGGACAGCTCCGTTTCTGTAGAACTGGAGGTCAGGCAGCACTAGCTTTGGCGAGGTGTAGAAATATAATAATGACCATCAACAACAACAAGATTGTGTTGTATTCAACGCCTCCTCAAGACATTTTCATACCGGGATGTTGACGTGGTTTATTGCTCATATTTTCCATTGCACCATTTTATGCTTCTATTGGTTTCATTTTGTTCACTCTGAAATCTCCATACTGGAAAAGGGAAATCTTGCAGGAAAGGAAAGGAAAGGAAAGGAAAGGAAAGGAAAGGAAAGGAAAGGAAAGGAATTCTGGTTAGGGCACAATTTTCTACCTGTTCAGACAGAAAAATCCCCCCAAATTCCCAGCATTTCCCAGTCATGCAATTATTTCAGCAGAACTCTTGTAATCCCTAGTCTGCTGACCCCACCTTCCAATGCACGGAGGTGGTTTTGCCTGCAAGAAAAACCAGGATTTGCATATAATGTATTAGTATATTGCTGGTTGTCTTTGTCAGGAAATGTAGTGATGCAGTTAAGTAACATCATTCCTGGCTTCTCTGAAAGGAACATCAAAAAGCTAGAGGGCAGTTTTAATCTGCTGCAGCAAAGGATCACCAAGGACAACTACACCACGTGGCTGGAAAACCTGAGCCCACCGTCTTTGGGAAAGGTTGCTGAGCTCCAGCTGATAAATTGCGATCTTCAACATTTCCTGGACCAGGTACGGTGCCCGCCAGGGGAGATGTCATCCCACCATGACAGAACAGAAGCCCCAGTGACGTCTTTTATCTGGAGCTCCTTGGCAAGCCCTGGCAATGTTCAGATTTCAACAAGAAATGCGCATTTTGGCTTGGGATGTTGAGAGTTGCTTTGGGATGACTCAAAGGCTTGGGAAGGTCTCCCCTTTCGGGTCATTCTGCAAACTGCACACCATGGGTGCTGGGGCAGGTCGACGAGCACAGCCCGAAAGCTCAGTTAGGCAGTGAGAGCTCACGGGTGTGAGAGTGGGTGGGAAGGTGGATTGCCAGGAAGCAGTAGGTACGTAAAAGTAAGTGGGGGGAGTTGGAAACCTGGGCAGTAATGGGAACAGTGCCCAGGGAAGGGGGAGGGGTTGCACTGGGGCCCCTGGGTGGGGGGCGCCACATGTTGAAGGTTCCCCCATGTCCAACATTCCCTAGAAATGGAAAGGGATACGTTTCACACGGCTCATTGTAAAAGGACAAAACTGGCAGCCCCAAGACCACTAGGTCACCTGGATTTCAAAAACCATCGGGCAATTAATGGAACATAAGGGCTGTCAATGGGACATGTCATGGTGCTACAGAAGATGGCGTGCTTTTGGGGATCCAGGGTGGGTGGGTGATCTTGCACTGCTCTCCTGCTTGGGAATATCGAATGGTCCATCGTAACAACAGAATGTTGTCTCAGTGGCCCATCTGGCGGCGTGGTTAGTGCTGCCATTTTGTGGAAGTGGTTTGCTGCCGCCATTGGCCAATGGGAAGCCAGTGAAAAGCCATTTCCTCCTGAGAAAGGGCTTTTCCTCAGTTCTTGGAGAAAAGGCGTTGAGCAGATCAAGGCCACTATTTTCATTCAATCCTCCTGCTTCCTGTTATTAGATATCCCAATCACTTTTCTTTTGTCCTCCCCGCCTCTCTCGAACATTGGAAAATCGTCCTCATCCATATTGGTGCTCTCCTTCGCCAGATTGGGGTAGGGAATCTGTGGGTCCAGCAGATGCTGGTGGCCTGTAATTCCCATCAGCCTTAGCAACATAGTCAGCAGCGAAGGATGCTGAGAGTTTCTGTCCAACAACTTCCGGTGAAGAGAGAGCACCTGTTCCCCATTCCTGAAGATCTAGAGGATGGCTAAACTAGAGGCTGGATCCAGATTTAGGTGGGTGGAACTGGGCTAGTAGAGGACCTTGGCGTTCTTCCACCTCACAGTAGTTTTCCTATTTATGCCCTTCTAGGGGTTAGACACCTCGCTACAGAAGCTGGATCCAACCTCTTGTTCTGTCCACCTGCTGTACCTGTGTTGCAACTGGGCACCTGCATGACAAACGATTATAGACTGATCTGCCTGATTCAATCTCTTTTGTGAATTTTGTAGAGCACTTCTGGAACCGGCTTGGCCTTTATCGTGTTCACAGAAGCCATCGTTCATCTACCTGGAGCCCAAGCTTGGGCTATTCTGTTTTTTATCATGTTGTTTTCTCTGGGCCTCTCATCCATGTTTGGACTCGTTCAGAGTATCTTGACGTCTTTCCTAGAATTCCAAACTGTGTCTAAATACTTACCTAAGGAGGCTGTATCTGGTAAGGATATTCTCCAAAAGCTTTCCTCTTCCTTAACATTTTTGTGATATTCCTGGTAGAATAGTGCTTTAAGATGTTCAAAATGTTACACAAATTACGTAGGTTAGTACTATCTCCATATTGCAGATGGAGACCAAAGTAGGTACATTCATGGCTGAGATTATAGCTTAGATGCAGACTTAGTCCTAGAGTAAATTCACAGAAATCAATGGGATTTCAGTTAGGCATAACCAAAATAAATCCTATGGTTTTCAGCAGTTGGAGCTTAAGGATGACTAAGCCTGGTCCAACCCAATATTTGCAGAGTGGATATGTTGCATTCAATACGACACTATGCTGTACATAAGCTGACTTTTTTTGGATGAGTCTGATGCACATTAAACCGAATGCCAGAAAGTTTAATGAGCTCTTTCTTGGTTAAAAAAGCAACACACTTGTGGTTCCTTAAAAACTAAGTATGGCATTAGGATTCCTGACCTCACATCCGGTTCTTTAAATGCACGAAGTCTTGGCTCACAGCAACATCTCAGAAAGACCAGGGATGGGGGAAAAAAGAGATGACATCTCAGGAAAGATGACATTTCAAGATGCGGCCGCAAGACCACAGTTCCATGCCTCCTGCCCAATGTTTGCACTTTGAAAGAGACATTGCATAAATTTATGCATTAAATTCCAGGATGGGCAACTGCCTCTTTCTCACTTGACTGCAATGCTTCACTCCATGAAACTAGTAGCAGGATTTCTCACTGTTCTAATTGCATCTTTATATTCTCTGGCTGGGAAGCTTTAGGGAGACATCTTGGAAACATCCGGGGTTAGGCAGAAGCCGAACAGACATGATAGGAATACTCATAAATAGACATTAAATAGTCCATGACAAGAGAACTTTGGCCATTGGGTGGTATAACGATGAAAGAATGAATGAACAGCAGGCTCAACTTTGCCTTTTTCAGGTATTATTTGCCTCATTTCCTTTCTGCTGGGTCTCATTTTTACTCTGAGATCTGGAAGCTACTGGTTGGAAGTGTTTGATAGCTACACAGGATCCATTCCTCTGCTGATCATTGCCTTGTTTGAACTGATTGGGATCAACTTTGTTTACGGAATGAAAAGGTAACCTGCACTTTTTGAAGTACGTGCCAGTATTGGGACTTCCACAAGAAATTCTTAATAATAATAGTATGCATCATTTAATGTATCCAAAGTTTAATGAATCAAAAGTTCTTTGTGTATATTATTACAGTAATCTTTAAAACAACAATAACCTTAATAATAAGAACAGTAATCCTTCAAACAACAGTATCAGGGAGACTAGCTTCTATTGCAGATGGTGGGCAGAGGCAAGGAGAGGCCAGGTTTGCCCATGGCCACCTAAAGAGTTCATTGCAGAAGGGAGATGTGAATGGAGCCAGTCCTTCCTTGGTCAGAGCTTCACTCTGGCACACGTGATGAAACTAGCTGATAACGGCCTTCTGGTCTTGTGTGTCCTAGGAATGCTTTTTCCTACTGAAAGCAAGTGATTGCCAAACTTGTTAATCAGGGTCCTATCTCGTCCCCAAAAAATATGATGTTCACTAGCCTATTGAGATCTTCCAACAACCTGGTGCCCCCACCCTCAGATAAGTTGGGCTCAGCTCCCAGAAGCTCACTGAGTTGGGAAAGGGTGGTTTATACACCATATAAGGTATCTGAAAATACTCCAACAACTCACAGGTAAAGGAATGTACAGGACAGACAAAATATTTTCCAGTAAGTAACAGAAAAACTGGCAGACAATTGCATTCAAACTAATAATCAGTGTGTTGGTACGATTAGGTTCTCAGAAAGTTACACTTGCATATTGTAAATAGAGGACATGGCAGTAAAGGCAAACTGGCATCCATTATTGACCAGCCTCGTGACAGAGATGGGCCAAGCGAGCAGAAGTGTCATTAGTTCTGTCCTTGCCTGCATAACAAAGTCAAAACCAATTTAGTAAACCATGGGCACGAACAGAAAAAAAAATGGCTAGGGACACCCATATGCAATACGGAACTTCAGAGTCCACCATTTTTATGCTCTTTAGGCATTTGTTTATCCTCCTAAGTAATCTAGGAAAATAAGCCAGGTGACTAATCATAGGATTTTGAGGTCAACAAAGCCACTAGAAATGGTCTTGACAACAGTGGAAACAAGACATTCCATTATCAGAGGTTTGCAGCCCTAATTTCTGAAAATAATGACAGAGGCTTTGCTTTCATGTCAGATGGTGCTGTTAAGGCATAACCCCCCCCCCCCAAAAAGCCCAAATCTTTTCAGTCATGGTGTTATGTATTGGTCCAGCATGGTGTTATAAAAAGCAGTCACAGCATCCTCTCTCAAGGGCTTCTTCATATTTTCAGGAAGAATAGATGAGATAAAATGGAGTGGAATGCTTTCTTTTTTAAAGCTGGGGACACTGACAACTCGTCCATCACTGGCGCATCACAAAAAGTCCCATAAAATAAATTTAATAAATAAATGACTACATCTCCCACCAGCCTGGTGTCATGGCCAATGATCAAGACAACAGGTAGTATGTAGACACAAGCGGTCCTTCGGGTATCTCAGTTCTACTGAAGGGCTTTAAAAAGTCAAAACACAGAAACAGAGTGACTCAGAAGGGGCTTCCCGGGCCATCCAGTCTGACCTCTGGCACCAGCCGGCTCCGCTCACGACATGCCCACCATGTGCATGTCCAGCCTATCTTTGAACACCCGCACCGATGGGGCCTCAACCACCTCTTGTGGAAGCCCATTCCACACCAACAAAACCAGTACTGTTGAATCAAGCCTGGAAACAAGCAACTCATTGTTTGATGACTTGCATCTGAAGGTGCTGTAGGATGAATTTTCTCATCTGCCATGGTAATGGATTGGACCCAGGTTGGGTCAACATTTGGAGCAGTTCCACTGAAATCTAAAGGCTCAAGATAGTCATGATTATCGTAACTCACTGATTCCAGTGGGTCTACTCTATGCATGACAAAGACGGGATCCAACTCGCTGTCCTTTGCTCAAGCCATAGGTCAAGAAATGTGTGGGTGAATCAGCACAATCAGGAATTGACGGCTATACCTAATAAGGAGTGATGCAAGGACCTATAGGTCCATGGTCTGTTAATACTCATCTGTTAATATCTGGAACCAATCTGGCTCACAGGTTTTGTGATGATGTGGAATGGATGACAGGACGGCAACCCAACTTTTATTGGAAGGCATCATGGCAAGTCATCAGCCCCGTGCTAATGCTCACCGTCTTTTTGGCCTACATAGCTGTTCTGAAACCACCAGGTTACAGTGGATGGAATCCAAACTATGTATGTGACTTCTATATAAGTGATTCCTAGTCTTTGCCTTATTTCTATGCCTCATACCAGAGTCTTGGAGTCATGAAAAGGGATAATGCTTAAAAACTAATTCCAGGGGCAGCCCAGAGTAAGAGAAATTGTCCAACCAAGGTCAAAAGTCCACTCAATCCATGCACCAAAAAGATGATCCGGTTGGAGCTGGCTGCCTGCTCTCTCCCATGTCTCTTGGTTTCTTGTGATCGGTGGTTGCAAATATTTATTTTCTCACAAGCTGCTCTGATGGCCATAATTACTTTAGAATAAATAACCCCCACACCGGGCTGCGTAAGGCCTAGAGCTGGCTGAGCGGGCTGTGTTTATCTCTGCGGACAAGTCATCATGCATTCTGTAATACATCCCCTCTAGTTCCTACTGGTTGACTAACAAAAAAAGGCTACCATTTTGCACAGCCAATGAGCAAGCTTGCAACGACGGTCCCTTTGTTGCGGATACAAAAGACATCTTGACTTTTCCTTCGGGAACATGATCAACCTTGGTTCACTTCCCACTTCGCAGCACTGACCTGTGTGTGGTTCCCCCCCCTCCCCCATTTGTGTTTCTTCTACAGACACACTTTCCTGAAAAGGAGACAAAAGTTTACCCCAAATGGGTTGTCTTCATCTGCAGCATGCTAGCAACCGTACCTTGTCTATTCATCCCAGCTGGAGCCATTTACCACCTGTGGAAAGTGATGCTCAAGCGGAAGGAGAAACAAGCGCTGCACCCTTCCAACAGCACTGGAGCCAACTGATCTTCCTTCATTTCACTGCTGCCCCCAAGCCCTCGCCGTTTTTTAAAGACATATCCAACTTTAAGGCAATGAGAGCCAAGATGGATTTTGTGTGTGTGAAGCCCTGCAGGATGTTTTATAGGAATATTCTAAATAAATATGCCTTTAGAGAACACTCCAGAATGTTTGCAGTGCCTCATATAATTCATCCCACTCTTCGGCCTAAAGGGCTCCCAGGGCAGCTGGAAATCAACAGCAACAGCACAAGCCTGTTGCAGGATCCAGGATTACAATGTAAAATGCAAAATATGACAAGAAAATTGGGTGGGAGGAGACAAGGAAAACCTCAAACTCAGTTCCTGAAGTTATGGATCTTCAAATGACCAGCCGGGATGGAAACAATTCAGGTGGTCTGATGGAATGGTTACTTCTTCATGGCAAGTACAAAGAATGAGGTGCTGACCACAGAAAGTCTAGCAGCAGAAGCACTGGAGTAACAGCTTTCCTTCTCTTCTTGTACAGGAACGTCCATGATGATTTTGCAGATTTGCAACAGCTTTGCAAAGAGAGTCAGTGTCCAAATCAAGAGTGGCTTTTCCAAGACCACCTTGTCCATGGCGGTTCAAAAAAGTTTCCCAATTGGCAGCTTAATTGTACACCAAGGATGGGCAGATCAAGGCCTTTGGGATCGACTTTGTTACCTGAACCCTGAGATTCAACATCCAGAGCCTAGTGCAAAAGCCGTACCATCAAAATTAAATTATGCATTTTGCGTTCCAGAACAGAGTGTTGTTCAATACAAACTCCACTAGTGGTTCCCCCAACTTTTCCACATTTGAGCTCTATAAATCTGGGAAGGGGGAAGTCTTGTTTCACTGTTGCTTTTGTTATAAACGGGGAGCCAGGAATCTTTGTCCACAGATCCAGGTCTCTCATCTGTCCAAGGGTAAGTGGGACTTCTTAACAGAACGGACTGAAGAACACTTGAGACATGGAAAAGGCTCTGTATACCCAAATTATTTCTACTTCTGTTTGGATTTAGATAAATGTGCAATTATTTTTTTAAAGTTTCTTATTTCCCCCTCCAATGCATTGTTTCATGCAAGCCAGGTAGCAAGAAAAACCAACACAATCATGCCAGCATACAAACGAAAGCAACAGACTTGATTTTCTTGAGTTCAAAAATATGGACTCTTTTACGCCATATTTCATGAGAAACATAATGTTGTATAGGAACACTGCTACTTCCAACTCCAGTGCACTGAAGGAATGTTTTGGAAACTTACTCGGCAAGGACAACCAGCCTGCCAGTGAACATCCAAGACACATTTACTGGCAATGAAACATTTGCATGAAATCCTTGTATTTGGCAACCAAATACAACTGAGCAACCAGACTCAATCCAGCAAACTAAATATGAGCCAATAAAGCAATGCAGCCACCAACAGGGCAAATGCTATTCTGAGAAGACTTAATGGAAGTATTCCTTCCAAATCACCAGTAGTAGTAGTTCCCCTATACTCCTCACTAGTCAGACCTCTTCTAGAATGCTGTGTCCAGTTTTGGGCACCAAGATTTAAGGAAGATGCAGAAAAATTAGAAAGGGTCCAGAGGAGGATAACAAATAGGTTTGGAAACACTGCCCTGTGAGAGAGACGGAGAGAACTGGGCATGTTCAGCCTTGAGAAGACTGAGGGGGGACATTATATCCTCTAGAAGTACCGCAAAGGCTGTCACAAAGAGGAAGGTCAAGATCTCTTCTTGCTGATGCCAGAGTGCAGGACACGGAATAATCAGCTCAAGTTGGGACAACCAGGTTCAGGTTAGATATCAGGAAAAGTTTCCTCACTTTCAGAGCAATATGACAGTGGAACCAGTTGCCTAGAGAGGTCATGGGCTCTCCCACACCAGAGGTATTCAAAAAGAAACTGGACAGCCCTCTGAGTGGGATGGTGTCATGTGGTGCCCTGCAACAGCAGGGGTCGGACCCAACGCCCCCTTCCAACTCTATTATTCTATGATAACTACAGCTATATCCCATTCAGATTAGTGGGACTTCTGTTTTGTGTTTTCAGAATTCAAGTTTGCCACAAACCATTTCTGCTATGCTAAAGATTTCTCTCATCCCTGCTAAAACTTGCTATTTGTAGAAAGAAGTGTAGACTAGCATGGAGAGGAACAGAACTTTATTTATACAGAAATACCTGGCTGCAGAAATGGCACTCGCTCTTTGAATGGATTATTCCAGTCCTTAAGTAAACAAGTTATCACCAACCATGATACAATGACCTTGACAATGTCATCCATCCTCTTTCCCAATTAACATGACAAATGAGCACTTTGTGATGCCACTCAAGGGCTGGAAAGGGCTGTGCTTTCTACAATGTAGGTTCAATGTCCGCCATAAAACTAGAACAGTATCTCCAATCCTTATGCTCGACTGCATATTTTAATCTCAGGCTCATCTACTCTTGCATGTACAAATGACTGAGAGCTGAGCATAAACAAAACAGGCTCCTGAAAAAGGATTATCCACTGTGAATTACTGGCCTTGCCGATAAAATTTGTGTAATGTAATAGTCGTATCACACATGCAAATAATGAAATGTTGTTAGAAAACTCCCAGCAAGGTGGAAGAGCAACTCCATGATTATGGCACTACCGATTATGGAAAACAAAAGGTACATTTTTCAGAACTTGTTTGCAGCAGTATTACAGAATGGATTATGGAAACCGACAGCCACTTTTCAAACAAGGCACCAGATCAAGCAGTTTGCTCACCACTGCTGGAGTGTAGAAAAATATATTTTCCCTATTTATTATTATTATCATCATCATCATTACATTTCATTTTATTTAAAATAAGAACCCAAGAATTCCACGGAAAGCATAATATTGACACCCTAAACAAATATAATGCACATCCCAGAACGTACGTTATTCACTTCTTGATTGAGGAACTATTTTCAACAGTGGCTTTGGGCTGCTCCTCTGTTGCTGAATGCACTGGATCTTTCCAAGGAAAAAGGCCACCAAACTAAATTTTCCTGCTTTGAAACACATGCCAAGGAAATGTCAGATTTTTTGACCCCAGCCCCACCCCGGGAAAAATGTTTCACTATTTATCAGAAATATAAAGTTCATTTTTGTTTTGTGGGATCAAAAGAGATATCCATCTACTCAATTTTAATTTTGTGCAAGTGTGTATGTTGGGGAAAAGCTAAAATAGCTTAAAATTTCACCTCTGACTGGATAAGGCAAAGTCTTTTAAAGGAACCTATTATATTCTCAGCTGTTTTGTAGACAAAAATCTTAGGTGAATGTATGTGTGGAAATGAATGTGGCTATAAGTCATTAATCCAAAATGACTTTGAAGTCTTCGTACAGAGCCGGCTCTGTCACTTCCTTGAGGAGCTTCATGGTACCTTCTGGAATTTGTCGAAGCAACTTTATTTTACCTACAAAGAAGTTAAGATTTTACCTACAACTCATTGTTCAGGCAAGCAAGTAATTCAGAACAAATACACCAAACCACCATGGGCCAAACACACCTTACTTGAAATCTGTACCTAGCAGCAATTATTTCTCCTTTTCTCTAGAGGAGACACAGAGATTCCACTCTCCCAAAGATTCCATGCGCCTGTGCACATGCAGGGGATGGGGTCTTTGAAGATAGGAATAGAGTAAAAACGTAAATAAAGAGTAAAAGAGTAAAAATAAATACAGAAGACATTGCTGCTAGATAAAGATTTAAGGCAATACTTATCTGAAGTTAAAAGCTCAGCCAAATGCACTGGAAATTTTCTTTCTGCTCTGCTCATGAAGCCCTCTTGCAGCCACTAAACGAGAAGTGATGCATCACTCAAAGAGCTGTGTTATTTTTAACTAGTTTAATAGCTGCCAAATTTCCACTGCGGCAACAGAGCCTCTGGTAAGGCTGTCCTTGTTTTTGCAAAATCCTTTCCTCACTTGGAGCAGTTCCCCAACAAATCTCCATGCCAGAAATTCATCATGGAAGGCACCTGTGAGGAGACTGATTTCCAAAACCTAAGCTGCCATACAACAGGAATTTTGATTTTTCTGTCACAGTGGGGGATAAAGTTGATCTATCCCTGTATGCTGCAATGTTTTCAAAAATAAAAACAAAAAATAAGAACCCAGCGCAACCTAAACCTGGTTATTTCTGTGTTCTGGGGAAATTTTTGAGAAAATCTGAAGGGAGCAGCTGTCTGCTTCCCATTTCTAATCACAAACACTGACTTCTGCAGCTGAAAAGTTCAACAAGGTCTTTGGTTCAATGTCCTCGATAATAAGCTATATCTTAAATATGCGTCTCAGATTAGCTTTTATTCTAAGAACACTCCCAGTGGCTGTATAGATAAGGTTCCCTAGCTAGAACGTGAAGAACTGGGCAATCATAAAAACTGACATCATAAAAATCTACCTTTCTGTAATGCACTATAATTCTATCTATAAATAGTTCCACTGAATCAGAAGTTTATGCTAAACTTCTATAATAAACCAGCACTAAAAGAAAAATACCCTGATTTTTCCAGAACTACTCCTACATATTAACTAATATTTTTCCTTACCAAAAGCAACTGTCATCGTAAATAAAAATAACTAAAAACGCACATTAAGAAGAACTTAATTTGAAATACAGCATCAGCAAAATTAACAACAGTTTTCAAACTGCTCAATGGCGTTTCTGTTCAAGGTTTATTGCAGAGGACCCCAATTCAGAAGGGGAACTGGGAATGGATGCTGTTGCTGGCACATGCCCCGATACCGCCTGAACCCTGTTTAGGTTTGCCACAGCCTCTCTAGGGACATAACTCTGTGGGGCCACCAGCTCTGACATGCAACCAGCCGCCCACGCTTGGACAGAGTTGCCACTGCAGCCCTGTCCATGTGCTCCCTCTTGCGTGTTCCCTGAAGTTCTAAGCATGTAGGGCACCTGACCTGAGTGTGTGAGCCTTCCCGTGTGCAAAGTGCAAGCCCAACGCATGGGGAGGCTGCAGAGCCAGGTGACGGGAACATGACGGGGCTTTTCCCCCCTCCCAGGGATGGAAAGGAGCGAACGGGGCTCTGACGGAAGCTCTCCCATGCAGGGGAAGAAAGCAGATGGAGAACATCAAAGGAGAGCGGGACTTACACTGCTTGAGTGGGCCCAGAAGACACTTGTAAATGACCTTGTGATTGGCCAGCTTCACAATGAAGGCGTGGTAGGAGAGCCACTGTGTCGCTTCGAAGGTAAGCGGAGCAGAAGTACAAGCAGGAGAAAAATACATCTCTGAGAATAAAACAACACAACACTTGAGCTTATTTAAGAGACGGGTGTCCTATCCTTTCAACAGATCTTTTGTGTGTGTGTGTGTGTGTGTGTGGGGGGGTGAATTTAAGGGCCCACATATGGGTGGAGGAACACATGCTTTGAACGCACAAGGTATCCACCCCAGAGATCTCCTGTTAGAAGGAACGCCTTGCAGATAATGGGAAAATGCGGCCCTCTTCAGTAATCCCCTGTCCTATGGGCTGCTTGCATCTCCTGGCTTCCTCCTTGAAGAAACACGTGTTATGGAGTTTCTTCTGCACCCTCAGCCAGCAGAGAGGGACAAAGAGGGACAGATGAGCAAAAGGGAAGGCTTCCCTTTTGCTCTTGGCAAGAGATCGGAAGCCTGGGCAAGCTATACTTCCAAGGGCTGCTTGCACTAGGAACTTCCTGGTGGTGAGGTTTTCAGGCCCATGAAGACACGAGGAGAACCCTTTCTCCAAATAGGCAGTTCCAAACACAGATGCTAGAAGGTAAGAGTTGAGGAGGGAAAGGTTATTTCAGAGGCTGCTCAAAATCAAGGGGGTTTGAGCTTAGAATGAAAGGAAGTTCATTATTTCTGAATATTCTGAAACTCGGCCTGAACACCTCGGGAGGTCAACTGACCTAAGAGCCAGTGGTATCCAGAAGAGAAAGTACTGGGCTAGATAAACAAATAGTCTGACTGGTAATATGTGGGTCTCTCTATGTGGGTTTTTTAAAATGCTCAATTAGGGTTGAAAAGTGAAGGCTATAAGTAACCATTTGAAAGAATCCAATCAAATTTTATTTCTCCCAACCCTTTTTTCCATCTCCTTTTCCCCGTAAAGTAGTGCACTGAAAGGCACAAAGGTACTGAGTTAGGGAAGGGCAACAGGGTTTCATGCTTGGGGAGAAGTGGCCGGAACTTTTAAGAACGCAAGATGGGAATCTCCGGAATTTGGAGCAAGTTCTCAGATTTGGTAAACTTCTTTGTACATTGGCATTTGATCATCTCACGTTAGCGGATCGGACCATTGCAGCTCCTGGGACATTCACAATCCAGCATGGACACAAAGAGTGACCAGGTGCCACGAGGCACCGAGATAAAGTGTACCTCAGAGCTATTTTAGTCTCACTGCTTCACTGGGGAGATTTTTGGCCAAGTGTTTTGTTCCTCTCCCTAGGTTCTTATGGACTTGCTGGACAATAATATATGGGCTGAGTAGCAAATCCTTCATTGCTGTGCCATCCAATAGTCTCTGGTGATCCTAGGAAGGGAAACCCTCCAGAATGTCCTCTCCAGAACAGCCCTACTCAACCCTTGAACATTCAGGGCTGTGGCCTTCTTTCTGGAGTGAATCCATCTCGTTCTGGGTCCTCCTTTGCTTCCTCTGCCTTCCACTTCTCCTAGCATGACTGTCTTCTCCAGGGAGTTTTGCCTTTTTCTGATGTGCCCCAAGATGGACATGCTCAATTCTGTCATTTTTGCTTCTAGGAAAAGTTTAAAAACCTGCATGTGAGTGCCATTCAGTCGTTGCTCCCACTCTGCATGCAGTTTATCAAACAAGCCAGGAATGGGCTGCTCGGCATGAAGTCCAAAAACAGCAAGCTTTGCCCTAAACAACCCAGAGTTTGACCCCTTGGTTTGCTCTTCGGTTCAGACTATGAATTGTTTGAAGTCAACCCAGTCTCATGAAAACTAGCGTGGGAGTGAGCCCTTCCGAAATCAGTGTCGAGGACCACACTGTTAGTCTGCCATTTGGGTTTTCGGCAATGTATGTACATCTATCTTATCATGGACTGAACCAGACTGGCCATTCCATGAAAGAGGTTCCATATGCTATTCCATATGAGGTGCCATTCCGTATGAGGGCAACACGGATGGTCCAGGGACTAGAAACAAAGCCCCATGTGGAGAGATTGAAATGGGCATGCTTAGCCTCAAGAAGAGAAGACTGAGAGGAGATAGGATGGTGCCTGTCAATTACTTGAAATGCTGTCTCACCAAAGAAGCCCAGGTTCTCTTCTAGGTCATCCTAGAGTCCAGGACACAGAATAATGGGCTCCAGTTACAGGAAGCAGGTTCTGGCTGGACATCAGGAAAACTTCCTGACTGTGAGGGCAGCATACCAATGGAACCCTTGACCCAGGGAGGTGATGGACTCTCCCGCACCCCAAGAGGCAGCTGGACAGCCACCTGTTGGAGGCGATTGAACTGGTGTCCTACACTGAGCAGGGAGCTGGGCTCAGTGGACCTACTGGCCCCTTCCAGCTCTACTATGGCTCAAGGGTCCCATGGCTTCTGCCATTATGCCTTCCCCATGCAGCCCTAGACTGTCCCTCAAGGAGCTCTGGGGGTCCCCAAGCTCTCTGGAGCAGCTTTTCAGGAGGCATGAGGGAGGAGGCTTTATGAAGGAAGGGAAATACTGCATCCCCTGCTGCTAAGCGCTACTCTTGGCTGGAAGGCAGCGCCCCGTGGCATTTCAGGCTGCCCTGCTTGAACCTGAAAACGCCCTACAGTTACGAACACACAGTATGTGGTTCCTCCTGAACGATACACAGTGACTTTGCATCTTCAGAAAGGCACTCTATGGACCAAGGCAGGAGTGACACCCAACGGATCCCTCAACGAAGCAGCTCCCTCCACCCACCCGCATTCCAAGGTGGCCAGGACTGGGCCTGCAGCGTGCGCTCGGCCGTATCCCTTCATCCTCGGCAGAAGACATGGCAATACCCCCTACACCCAACTGCTCCCGATGCGGCCTTGCACCTCGAGCCAAGCAGCAACTTGTGGGAAGGGCGACCTGTATGAATGCTGCTACAGAGGAGGAAGGGAAGCTGGGTTCCCCGCTGGCATGTCACACTGCCAGTTTCTGAGCATGTCTCCCCTCCGCCCCGCTCTGCCCCGAGCAGCTATTTGTAGTAAAAGAGAGGGAGAGATACTTTTCCATGATGCAATTAGCATTATTTCTAGTTTGGCCCCTAATCAAGACAAACAATTCCAGCAGCCGTTCCCAACGAAGATTTTCGGCAGTGTTGTGCAGGCATCTGCCCGACCCACCTGCATTTTTGGCTTTCAAGGCAGAGAAGCAGCACGAAGTGCTGTCAGATATGACCCTCAGGAAGAAATGGGGATTATTTTTTACTTGTTGACGGAATGGAAGCTGAAGAACGCAGGCATGAAACCTAGGATTTCAAAAAGAGAACGGCTCATTAACCTGCGCTGAAGAGGGCCAAAATCTCAGCCCTGTGAATTAGCCAATTCCAGCTAGTTTAGTGGGAAGCAGAGCAAGAGCAAGTGCCTGATGGGCCCACACGAAGGTCAAACCAGGCGAGAGAGGGTAGCTTTGGCCACAGTGACATTTTGCGTCATTCCCGCACACCATTCCTGGGCTGATCCAGTGTCTGGGATCCCTTTTATTTCCCGCCACAGCTGTTCCACAGAAGAGTGATATGTCCCAACGAGATTAGAGGGCCAACTTGGATCGCTTCCGATTACACCCGAAGCCATTCCCATTTGGCCTTGACCAAAGGGTATGTTCCTTATGATAAGCAGATGCTTGCAGGGAGGGGGAAGAAAAAACAAACCTTGCGGGAGAAAAGGTTTCTGTTCACTTGTAAAGTCATTAAAAGATTATCAGCCCTTAAGAAAGTGAAGATGGGACTTCTAATGCATTAACAGCAGAGCTGAAAGGATGCAGGTCAAAGTCCTGGGAGATTTCATCCTGACATAATGTTCCAGAAGGGGAAAATGGTTAATGAGTGACACACTTACTCTCGAATTTTTGACAGCAGAGAAGCGAAAGAGGGAGAGGCACAGAGGAAAGGAGCAAGTACAGTTACAGATACAAGTTTTGTTTCAGCTGCAGTGATCGGCGTCCGATTTTCAACCTGGGGGTGCTGCAGATCCACCGATTAAACTCACTTCAATGTAAAAAAACAGCGAAAACTCCTAATGCAGATAAATAGGAGTCCCAGGTTTGGTCAGTCCCTGTGCTGGTCAGCAGGCCTCTCCAGGGAAGCCTTGGGTGAGTTGGAGCAGGTGTAAAATCATGATAAATCTCACCGAATTGAACAGTATTTGTGTGAGGAATCTGGTTTGGAGGCAGAACTTCAGATTTCCTCGGCTCGGCTCTGTGGAAGAGTCCACAGTCTGGCTTTCTCTCTAAGTCCCCCACATGCCGAGTTTGTCTGCTTGTCTGGAAGGAAGCGAGTCCAAGCAGAGTTCTGCTTCCAGACAGGAACGGTGTTATTCTGTGCAAAGAATTTTATACTTTGGGCACCTTTAGATCTCAGCTCAGCAGACTTCCTGGCCAGGGCCGAGCATGGGAAAGAAATCCAGTGAGCACAAGAGAGCCAGTTTCTAGCCTGATCTCCACATCCCTAGCTGGGAATGATGGGAACTGTGCTCCAACACATCTGGAAGGCACCAGGCTGCAGAAGACTGTATTGACCAAGGTAAAAGTTGCGCTGGGATTCAGTAGGTAAATCCGAAGGAAGCACAATCTCTGTAGAAAAAGCACTGCAAGGTTTTCCCTGCCCCACGGAACAAGCTATCTTAAGGTACTTATGGGGCATTTACAAAGAACAACTTCCCAAAGCGACACAGCCTCATTCCTCTGGGCACACTGGGATGGCTGGGATAATACAAAGGTGAAGACAAAGAGATAATAAACACACAAACTCAAGGAGCTTTGTGGTACAGCAGCGCTTAAAGTACAGCTCTGCATAACAAGCATTTCAAGGAGAAACCAGGGAAGGGAGATTATCATCTCCGAGATTAAAAAATGAGAAGCCAGCTGTGAACTGTCAACACACTTTCATGACCCAGAAGAAGCACCAAGTTCTAGGTGTGTTTAAAGCACTGTTAAAATGGCACAGAAGGTGCGGTGATCCCTTTTCCGAATCCACAGCACCTTCTAGTGGCCTGTAACGGCAGGGCAGTGTTGGACGTGATCATACATACCTGAAAGCTTGCAGGAGGAGTATCTTGTACACATTAATACAGACTGTCCTAAGGCTGTTGATCTAAATTTAGAGAGTGGAGTGATAAGGGAAAAGCATTAAAAAGTGACACTATTTTAAAAGTTCCTCCTGGAAAAATAATTTGGGTTAAAAAATCAGAAGAAAATAACGGCTTGGGGTAACTATGCAGAGAGGCAAGTGCATCCAAATTGTTTACGTTTCTGCTCATTGCTGCCAGATGGCATGAAATGAGCAGACCCGATGCAGTCATTCAGCCAGTGGCATCACGCTTATGTTGCATGCTTTCTCACCTGTAAATCAACAAATAGACTGTGGCATTTCAGCTGCAGGACGGCAAGGAGTTTATTTCTCATGCTCACTCCAGGTTTGTTGCTGCAGTTGAACGAAAGGCTGGACCTGATGGAGGTGCAAGCGTACCTGCAAGGGGCGACGGCCAGAAGGGGAGAATGAGAGCAGGTGCATTGAGGCAGGGGATTTTTAAAAAACATGCTGTAGCGTCTTATTTAATTTAAAACACTGATGCCGGGTTGACTAATAAACCCTTTTTCATAAAACGACATTTGGGAAAACACAAATCAAGACAGGTAATTCGGCTTTTCGTAACAGCTGCACAGACTTAGGGTCACAATGGTGGGGAATGAAAGAACAGGGCAAAGTCTGACCACATGCTGAAGTAGGCCCAGCTTGGTCCCGCTAGGTGCACGGATTTCTAGGTGCAGAGGACCTTTCTGGCTAATGGGGTGTGATATAAATCAAGGAAATAATTAGATAATTAAACGGATTGGCTGAAGAGTTTATTGCTTCAACTCTCAGATCGTGAATGCTCATCATGGAAAAGGCCGCCTGGGTTTGTCTGTCTGTCTTGCTAAAAACATTCATCCTGTTTGGTTTGAGAAAGATGGCACACACTGTAACAGTATTTCACGACAAAGAGTTAATAAATCAGGATCTCAGTATTTAAAGGCCTTTTTAATTTCTTTTGCAGAGGCCCTGTGTGCATGCAGGCCTTTGTCGTAGCATTCATGGAGCTCTGAAATACGAGACCCTTTGGAGAAGAAACCGGTGCAGAAGTAAATCTAGACACTGGGGCCCAGGAGAAGCGAGCGAGCACAAAGGACAGAGGCTGCCTCAGCTATTCGTAGGACCCGCATCCTGGCACAGAGTGAGCGGGTAACCAGTCAGACAGACACGCATCTCCACGAAGAGCAATTTGGATCCCCAGCTGGTTACCTGGATGGTGCCACTGAGAAATAAAGGTGCTTGCCACTTGCTGAACGGGCGGTCATGTGAACGGGTCCCCAGTCCTTCATTCCAGAAGCATAAGCAAATGTTCCGTCATCAGACCTGCACAACTTGCAACTTCACCAATCCAAAAACAGCCCGCTAGTGAGCGAGCGCGTATATGCCTAGAAGCTTCTTCCCTCACTCTGCCAGTCTACCTTGGACAGTCCGGATAATAAGCCTGCCAAGCACTGGATGGGGGGCCGTACCTGATGCACTGACTCTGCAGGTCTGTGCCGCACGGAAATCGAATGGAGCAGTTCCAGTTTGTGCCAAAGGCTCCTATGACCATCTCTTGCTTCTAGCAGTACTTTTTAATTCGGGTTGCCAACCAACTAAAGGCATTTAGTTGATTCATCATCTGCATCTTAATTGATGATGTTTGAATTAAATAGTTTATCGTAAAACAGCAGCTTTTTTTCGAAATAGCAACGTGTGAGAGCACCTGAAAGTTTTACAAGCAAAACCTATCCAAGCATTAAGATCATTGTTAGACTTTTTAAAGATTTCCCTCTTCCAGTCAACTCACAAGAACTAGAATTGCCTTGCAAAAATAAATACATGTTCAATTGACTCACAGAGGCATTGTTTAAATGTTGACCTTGATAACTGAACGTAGACTGCACTGACTAATCAAAAAAAGCATTGGTTGATTTGCCTAACGATTATAGAGGATGCTGTTCCAACACACATACAAATATTGTTTCTATTTACCTTGAGTAATCACAATACATTTCAAGGGTCTGTGTACTAATTAACAATCCACACCATGGAATTACACAGTGAGCTGGTAATTGCTTGAACTCCGAGCATCCTGGAATATCCTCATCGACAGGGAAGTTCACCACTGTCTTGGCTGGGTTGATAGCAAAGCCATACTCTGGAATGCCCACGGCCAGCGTCCTGCATTAATGGAAGTGCATGGTTAGAACAGCAAACAGAATGCCTCCAAGAAAGGGAATCTGGAGGGCTGTGAGCTATAGGGAACTTTAAGTGGCTTTTAGAGATTACCTTACTTTGTGGGAGAACCACAGAAATAGACCAGGAGATGGTTAAATGAAGTACACTCTCTGGTTGATCACAATCATCACGAGAATGGTTAATTTTAAGCAGGTGTGTACGGTTAGAATTCTGCAACTGAGCAAATAGTTTTCCACACCTTTTCTACATGATGTCAGTTATACTAAATTTGCACCCCGTTTTTCTTGCTTTGCAATATTCCTTCTGCTCCTGCTAGTCATGGGAAGAGGCAAGAGATACGTATGGGCAAAACTCATCTTTTGAGTAGGCTTTATCTGCATTTCTATGAAATAGTGGCATATGTGTATCTACAGTTGCTGACATCAACTATCTGTAAGAATACAGAAGAAACTTGGGAAAACAAAGGAAGATGCGCTTCTATTCCATCACGTGCGGCATCAGGGCTAGCAAGAGTTGAAGCTCAAGCAAAGCTGCAGCTGTTAACTCATTTAAAACTGAGATCCTTTTTGTCATACCTCAAAAATGCTTTTGCTTGTGTTAAATGAGGTGTAACAAGCAAGAAATCATCCGTCAAACGCATCAGCAGTCTGGAATATTAAAAATAAGTGTTACAACATGCCTTGAGAAAGATCGTTTTTATAATGCGTGTAAATGACTAATGCACGCTTATTTTACATTCACATAGACAAGTTTCTAGGATTTCTGTTTTCTCACCTCTTTTTTTCTCTTACTGAAAAGGAAAATATACAAGAGGTTATAAATACTATCTATCTCATTATCAAAATGTGCATTATTATCTGACATCTACTAATTATCATCATCATCATCATTATTGCATTCATATCCCACCTTTTCCCCTCTTGTGAGCAACACAAAGTGGCTTACATAATTCCATTCCTCATAATGACAACCCTGTGAGGTAGGCCAAGAGTGACTGGCCCAAAGCCACTGTTAGCCTCATGGCCAAGTGGTGACTAGAACCCGGATCACCAAGGTCCCTGGTGGAACACTCTCAACACCACCGGTTCTCCTTCCTTAAATCAAATAAACACCAGTTAGGTAGGAGCATTGTTACTGGAATTTAAAAAAAAATATTACTAATGAATCCACTGGATGAATAATTTTGTGGCATCCCAGTTTAAGTAGTATATATGATGAGAAGCCAGTTTCTCTGAATTGGCCACTAGGCAGAAAATATGTAAAAATCAGCATGTACTTTTGTGTTCCCCTTCTCTGCTTCCCAGACCTTTATCTGAGGGTGGCTGTGGATAACAACAACTTATTTCTACCTGGAATCCCAGCAATCCCTTGAAAAGTGTGTTATGGAGCATAAAACGCAGTTGAAACCATGCAGATATAAATCAGAATTTCTTCTACCTGCTTCGTCATCAAATCACACTGACTTTCTACTAACTACTTTCCTTTTTTCATGGATTTTCTCATGAGGGAAATTGCCCTTCCTAATTTGAGCAAGTTTTCCTTAACTTCTCCCAAGGAAGCTGTGGAAAAGAGCAGAAGAGCAGAACGCATGAAGATTTCGGAGTCACGTAAAACTAGCTGGACCCCTGGAAGGACACTCTCTGAGGCCCTGCATGTTTTCACGAGGAACCAAACAACCGAGATGAGTACAGTGGCACCTTGGCTCACGGACGCCTCAGTTCACAACCAAATCGGGTCGCAAACAAAAATTTCATAAGAATTTTTACTTAGGTCGCGAACTCTGCATTGGGTGGCAACCGCAATCGCGGCCATCTCCCCCTGCCCGCGAGTGGGGAGATGGCTGCGATCGTGCCCGTCTTTCCTGCATGAGCGCACCCGTGATTGCGCCCGGCTTTTCTGCACGAGCGCAACCGCGATCTCGGCCATCCCCCCCCACGATTGCACCCGTCTCCCCCACGATTGCACCCGTGTTCCCGCCTCTCTCCCCCTGCAGTGCACCAGGATGATGGGCGCAATCTCAGTCGTGCGGGGGGTGGGTGGGGAGATGGCCGTGCTCCTGCTCGGGGGGTGCGGGGGATGGCCGCAATCTTTGTTGTTCCTTGTCACTTTGCTTCACGTTTTTCTGCTTAAAAAAAAAGTTACAGAACGGATTAACCTTATTTACTTTGAGCCTTATGGGGAAATTTAACTTGGCTCATGACCAATATTGGATCATGACCAGAATCCTGGAACAGATTAAGTCCGTGAGCCAAGGTACCACTGTATTTGGGGGAAGCCAGTGGCCATAACGGAGTTTTCAATGCAGACTCACTCTCTTTGCCTGAATAGCACAAAGGATAAAGCCCTGGGGCCTTGAGTTCTCTCCTTCTAGCCCACATTTCTGGAGAAGATAACTCTGCATTCTTAGTGCATGAGGGAGGACTTGGGGATCGGGTGGAAATGGCTCTTATGCCAGGCACAAAGTGACACACCCTTTTACCTTCACGCCCCTCGTCATGCATGCCCACCTCACTTCACTGGGCACCCAGGAGAGAGAGAACCCCTGGATCCATGTTTACTGCCATTATGCCACCGCCTTTGTGGACCTCGTGCAGAAAAATTGTCCCCAGAAGCAGGGGCCGCCAAACAATAATTCCCACTGACTTGCTTGGCTGGAAGCCAGAAAAAGCAGGTCTGACACTGGTTTGTGTTTGCAGTGGGACATTCTTGCACGTCTGTTGCAAGTTGGCATCGTGAGGGTGGAAGAATCTCCCTCTCCTCTCCCGCTTTGGCTGGGACAGCTGACGCTGCCTTCCCTAGCAGGACAGGTGCTCCCTGTCGATGGACGTTTGAGCACAGTGGAACAGGGCCCTGTGGGAGTAATTAGCCGGCGAAGCAGCGGAGTATCACCGTACCCATCTTCCTGCACGCCACGAAGCAGTTTGTCCTCCATGTCTCCATAGCAGAGATTGCAGAGCAGAGTGGACAAGATGGAGCCCTGCGGGATCCCACAGCACTGCACGTAGTACCTGCAAGCACCGGAAACCGACAATTCCATGTCACAATCCGAATCCAAAGCTGTGAGCAGGATTAAGCTGCGCCGAAGGAAAATGTCGCCTTTGGCACACTGCGCAAGGCAGTATTCTGAGCGGCTGAGATACATGTGAAGGGAACGATCGGTGATGCCGAAGCATCCGGGTTGGGCATTTTTCTAAAAGCGGTGAGTGTGGGTGAGAGAGGCAGGGAGAAAGAGAGAGAGATTTGGACCGGGACCAGGGCATCACATGCCCCTTTCCTCCTCCATGCCCCTTCGTTCTGAAAAATCCCACTCCAGAGCTGCCTTAGTCAGAGAAGGGACAACAGACATGTACAACACACAACTTTGCAGCCATAAAAATGGAAGGATTTTTCTGGATCAGAGAAAAAGGTACGTTTAATTAAGCATTTCTTGCGTGATTCAGCCTCTGAAAGCTCAACATCAGTGCAATAAAGGGAACTGCCATCTCCCATTTGTGCTCAGTAACCAGTCCCCAAAACGAGAGTGTTGTGGAACTCAACAGGGGCACCTGGATGGCAAGGTGAAGCCAAGGAAAGCAGCAAGGACCAACAGGTGGCCTTTTACGGACCGGCTTTGCACAACCCGGTCCTCTCTGGATTTGATGGCCTGCACCTCCCAGAATCCCCCAGCGAGGCTCTGAACCTCCCAGAATCCCCCAGTGAGGCTGTTATCTAGGCAGCAGAGCAGACTGAAGAGAATGTCACTGCTCTGGCCAGCACAGATCTGGCTTGGGCAATTCAACAGAGCTGCTGCATCCACATCGATTCCTATTCCACCTGCAGACACGCTCAGCACCCTTCCTCTGGCTTGAACCCCCAGCCTTCTGCACACCATCCCCAGCAGACGCCCGACTCCAACCCTAAGCAACCACAGACACCATCTCCCGTCAGACACAATCTCCCATCAGATCCCTAATGGGACATGATCCCCTCTTTGGCTTGAGCTGTGACACACTGCAGAATGAAGTGGAAGTGTCCTGAATGGACTAGACCATTTCAGACCAGGGAGAGGGAAAATCATCTATTTTAAATGCTCGCCTTCAAGGACACCTAAATTTCTTCTTAAGGAAGCTGATTCAAGGTGCCTTGGCTGTTTTGTGACTTGCAGGACGGTCGGTATATGGGGGAATAAAAAAACGGTGCCTCCCACAAGCCATGGGAAGAGTTGTTGTTGTTAGTGGTGAAGTTGTGTCCGACCCATCGCGACCCCATGGACAACATTCCTCCAGGCCTTCCTGTCCTCTACCTTCCCCCGGAGTCCACCCAAGCTCACACCAACTGCCTCAGTGACTCCATCTAGCCACCTCATCCTCTGCCATCCCCTTCTTCTTTTGCCATCTATTGTTCCGAGCATTAGGCTCTTCTCCAGGGAGTCCTTCCTTCTCATTAGGTGGCCAAGTATTTGAGTTTCATCTTCAGTATTTGGCCTTCTAAAGAGCGGTCAGGGTTGAGCTCCTCTAGGACTGACTGGTTTGATCGCCTTGCGGTCCAAGGGACTCGCAGGCGTCTCCTCCAGCACCACAATTCAAAGGCCTCAATCCTTCGGCTCTCAGCCTTCCTTATGGTCCAGCTTTCACAGCCATACATTGCAACTGGGAAAACCATAGCCTTGACTATACACACTTTTGTTGGCAGGGTGATGTCTCTGCTTTTTAGTATGCTGTCTAGATTTGCCATAGCTTTCCTCCCCAGGAGCGTCTTTTAATTTCTTGGCTGCAGTCCCCGTCTGCGGTGATCTTGGAGCCCAGGAAAATAAAATCTGTCACTACCTCCATTTCTTCCCCTTCTATTTGCCAAGAAGTGAGAGGACCGGATGCCATGATCTTAGTTTTCTTACTGTTGAGTTTCAAGCCAACTTTTGCGCTCTCCTCCTTCACCCACATCAAGAGGCATCTTTAGTTCCTCTTCACTTTCTGCCATTAGATTGGTATCATCTGCATATCTGAGGTTGTTGATATTTCTCCTAGCAATCTTTATTCCAACTGGTGATTCATCTAGTCCCACCTTTCTCATGAAGGGAAGAGTAAATCAGCACATTCCTAAATCAGCACATTCTGTTGCATCTCAGGCCAAAGCCTTTGATGTTGGGTTTGGGGTGGCCGTCCTTTAAGCTGAGAGGGAGGAATAACTTGGAAAGCAGCAGAGAAACGAGAGTGGGAAATCAGTCTGCCAAATTCAAGGGAGAAGGGCTCCTTTAAGTACTTCATGTTTTCCCCCCTTCCTTTCACTGGTTCTCCTTTTAGACAGCAAATCTGTAGGTCTCCCCGAAGTGAGCAGCTCCATAATCCATTTGTATTATGGATTTCCAACAAGAGCCTGATAAAGGAGAGATACCAAAGGAAGGATATGCACGCACATGTAAGCCGGGTCGTTCTCTTTTTCTGTGTGGGAAACCAAATGGGAGACGACCGGGGAGCCTCTCTTTAGAAACAGATGTTTCTCCAGCAGCCAGACGTCTCTGAGAGCCGTTTCCTTCCGCACCACTAATTCCCTACAGCCACCTGCCACTAGGGCTGGGAAAGGCCTCCGCAGAGCCGCTGGAAAACTGCTGCCAATGACAGTCCTGAGCCATCTAGAGGCACCCGGAAACTGACAGTGCTGCCAATTTTGCTCTCGTGGATCCCAAATGTGACCAGTGATTCGACGCTTCTTAATCGTCTGGCTCCATCCTTAAAAACAAATTCTGCAAGGTCTTACGAAATGCCGTGTTGGTCCGCCTTCAGTGCAGCAGACTGGAAAGAAAGGTTGCTCACAAAGACTTTGATCTTTTCTGCTTGTCAGCTTCAATCACTGACACTGATCTTCCCTTCTGAGATACTGCTAGTTTTGTGTATTGTGGCCACAGCTATTCAGCTCGCCTATGATGCCCTTCCAATATGCAGGCTGGCTTTAGGCTTCTCCAGCGAATCTCAAAATCTGTTTATTCTTTGGCTTGGAAGGTCATCAAATCATGCCCTGAAGCCAAGCGTTTTAACAAGAGCTATCACTGAGCCAGAGCAGTGCTTTTGGACCCGATGCAGAAAATATGTAGGTCGCTCAAATAGGCTGGTTAGAAACAGCACAATTTGAATTAAAGATCAGCCCTGGAATGAGTCTGTGTGGCAGCAGTCAACCCTGGAAGACAAGAGTGCCCAGAACATATGCAGAGTGCCCCCTTTTTTCCCCTCAAATACAATCAGTCCTAAACCAAGCTCTCAGAAGAACACAAACCCACAAAGGGCAAGTGCTCTTCTTGAATACAATACTGGCAAAGCCACTCATAAAGGATGCTTGGGCCGGGTGTAAAACTCGAGAGAGAAATAAATAAATAAATATATATATAAAGGTTTTATATATGCATATAAATAAGTCTATGCAAGTTATAATTCACCTCTTTTACTGTAGATTCTGAAGCAGGGCTAGACAATTCAATTTGATATGAAGGTTCAGCACAAATTTAGAGTCCAGAGGTTAACAAATCAAAAGCGAAAATTTTGAAGGGGGAAGGCCAATGTGTATCCAAACCGAACTTTTCACTATGATTAGAATCTGCTCTGCTCTGCAGAATTCACAGGGATTTGGATTACATTCCCCTTCGGGCAGCCACTTCATCTCACAGCCTCTGGGCTTGTCTGCCAGCCACAGGGCAAGGCCACTGGGAAGCCATATCCTACCAGTCATGGGGCAACCAAGCGGCCCCAAACAGCTGCAGGAGAGGAAGTTGCTGAAAGAAACTTGCTTCACCTTTCCCTGCCAGAAAGGACATTTCCAAAGACCTGCAACTAGGAAGAGGTGCCTGAGTGTCCCTTTTTTCTTCCTCCCTCTCCACCTCTTTTCCTTTTGTGTTATGACTTTTAGGCTGCAACTGTGAGGATAGAGTCTGTCGTATTTTTTAACCTTGGACGCCCTTTCTGGGGCAAAATGCAAAAGATAATCAACAAAACCAATTTGTTCCTCCATCCCAAGAGCCTCTCACATCCTCAAACACACCTTTGATTCAGATCAGTAACTGTGAAGGGTCCAATCCTGACCAACATGGGAGGTTCAACGTCCAGGCGGGGAGGCGAGCAGCTTACTTTGGTGGTACATCATTGTGGTCTTAGGCCCCCAGATGTTTTGGACTGCAACTCCCAGCATTCCAGACCACTGGTCATACTGGCTGGGGCTGATGGGCACTGAAGTGCAACCCTCCCTCAGGCAACCCACTTGCTCTTGGCCTCCCTTTCTCGTGTGTAACGTGGGAATGGCCACTGGGCAAACCGAACAAGACTTCTGCAAGGATGACAGAACTCAGGCCAGCAGATAGATGGGGACATAAAACTCGAGAAACAATGTGAAAGTCAGAGCAGTCAGTCAGTCTGGCTAATCCTTCTTGCAGTTTTAAGAAATGTTGCAAAAGAGGAGAATAAAAGTGACTTTACCGGTCCTCAATCTTCAAGATATTATTACGGATGAACTGTAAGAAAAACTCAAAGAGGCTGGAACGTCTTTCCTTCAAAGAAACACTCTAAAGAAACGAAAAAGCAAAACAAGCGCAGAATTATTATGAAAGGTTGTGGTAAAAACGCCATGGCCAGCACAGATTCTTGTGCCTCCCGAGATGGAGGAGAAACGGCTGCCATGGCAATGCCCCTCCTGCCCTCTGGCTTACTCTGAGTAGACTGAGCCAGTGGGTGGGCGCTTGAAGAGCTCAGCTGGATGGGGAAAGCACAGCTGAGATGCCAGGCTCTCCAACTTGAGTCTGGGTGGTTCTCCGGAGAGCTCAGTCCCTTTCTCCTGGTCTGAGAACTTTTTCAGGGCAAAACTCCGGGGAGCCCTGCTCACTGCATTCCTCTTGGGGCAGAGGACTGGCTTGTGCTGCGAGGAGGCGGCAGAGGGAAGGGGAAGCCCGCGATCTGCCGAGATGGCCTGTGGCAGAGCTGAATGTACACTGCACTGCACCGGCCTCTTATCGTAAGCATGTCTGTCAGCTGGTAGCAAAGACACGCACTCAGATACACTGGGGTGGAGAGTCGACCGCCAAATTCAGCAGCAGATGCTTTGAAAGAGAAGCGAGAGACTACGTGAAGGCAACGTTTGAGGAGCCCAGCAATGACAGCTCCGTCGTGCGGCACCATTCGGCACGCCGACGCCCCCTGCCAATTGGCCTGCAACATGATTTGGACCCTGTGGGGTGCACATAACCTGCTCTTTGGAAGCTGCCTTCTCGGGAGTCTGATGCAGCAACATGGAGAAAGCTCGGGGTCAAGCAGACAGCGCAATCCCGTAAAAAGTTAAAACTGCCCCACAGGAGCTGAGGGCCGCCTTAAATAGGGGCAGGACTTCCCGCATCAAATCCACACTAATCATTTCTCTTGAGGCTTAATAGCATCGGTTTCCCAAGTGGCAAGAGGGGGCAGAGTCTGGGGGCCAGCGGTGCAATCCTAAACAGGCTTACGCTGAAGTAAATCCCACTGAACTCAGTGGTCCTTACTCCCCAGTGGGAGGGAAGGCTGCAGCCCATGAGTCTGAGCTTTGACGCAAGGGGTCGGGTGGTGGTCTTAGGTTTGAATTGTTTTTCCACCTCAGTCTCAGCTGCAAAATGTGGATGAGAACACCAGCAAGGTAATTGTATGGCGCCCTTTTAACACTCTCTCTCCGGGGAGTGGGGGCACTTCATCATTTATCATTGTTGTGAAGTATTGTATTTATATATTTTTTTCCTGTCAAAAAAAGGGGGGTACACTCTAAAGCGCCATGCTGGTGCTAAGCAAAATATTGAGGGACACCCTCCCCATAAAGCACAGGGAAATGGTTAAGAGAAGAGGTTACCTGCTCCACCACAATCGCATTCTGCAGGGAACTGCTCTCCTGAAGATGACAAACGAACCGTTTCATATCAGGAATAAATTCCTTGTAAGCAGAGATCTGTAAATGCACGTTAAAAGCACTGAGCTGAGCTTGAGCACACATCAATTAAAAAACAACTGTGTTTTCTTCCTAATTTGCCCTGATAATGAGCAGGAATCATTGCAGGTTGAAGAGGTGGTGATCTGACATTCTCCAAGTGGCCCAGGAAAATAACACAGGGCAGGGCCTTAAATCAGAGGTGGGGAACCCGGCACACTCTGGATCAGCAGGATTACAGTCCCCATACTCCTGACCATCCTGGTTGGGGGTAAGGAGAGTTGGAATCCAGCCACATCTGGAAGGCCTCAAGTACCCTCTGCTCTGAATGGGTGCCTAAAATACCCCGTAACAAACCTCCCCCAGCCTGGTGTCCAAAGTGTTGCAGCACGATTCTGATCAATGCCACCCAACTCGGAGCAAACAGCTCTCGACCAAACCAGTTCACCTGCCTACTCAGCTGTAGTTCCCACCCGAATTCAGTGGGACTCCCTCCAAGGGACGAGCGTTTGCATAACCACAGCCCAACCTGCTTGAAAAAGATCTTCCGGTGACAAATAAAAAGCATAAGACACTCTGCGAACTCAAGAAATGAGAATTAGTTCTATTCAAGGAGAAAAGACAAAGATAAATATAATCCTATAAATAGAACCCTATAATCCTCCCCTCTGAACCTGCCTCGAGAGTAAACAAGGCAACTAAGTTTGTGCCACCACTTAGAAGAACTTTGGAGGTTTTTGACTTCCGCTCTTGGCAGTATGGCCAATGGGCAGGAACACTGGGAACAGAATTCCAAAAAATTTGGAGGGAACCCAGTCGGCAAAATCTGCCTTGGAAGGAGGAAGGTAGCCTTAAAAATAAACCCACCATTTGACTCACTTCTGAGGAAGAAAAGATTTACATGTCTTCGACCCTGAGGAACATCTCACGACAAAATCTGTGTTTCCTCAGGTCAATTGTTATGGTGTAAAAGAGAGGACAACCTCTGGACAGTGGGCCTAATCCAGCCTGCAAAGGTTGGGCACCCTCGCAAAAGTGCCCTCTCTGATTGTAGAGACATCGCCTAAAATCATTTTACTTCTGAGCTGAACCAGCGCGAGGAGGAAGTTCAGAAGATGAGGGCTGGCGGAGAGGCCACTGTGGGAAAGGGCCGTGGTGCTCAGGAGGGCAGGACAAGGAGGACAGGACGACACGTGCCTCAAACCTGGCTCAATAAAAAGGCCAGAGGACAATGATACGGAACGCGTTGCTCCAAGCAGAAGTCGCCACAGCAACAACAGCGGGTTCCCTTCTGAAACAGGAGCTCCCTTGAACGGGTTCCTCAAATCTGCCCGCCTGCGGTGCACGTCCTTCGTGCGACTCAGCTCCCCTTCTTGCAGGCTTTGAGGAGAAACTACTAATGATCTCGCTTCGCGCAAAAGCCGAGCGTGTTGGGGAGACGCCTTCCTTCCCCTGGAGGAGGCCTGGGGGGGCACCGTGAGGCGGTTCGTCTTCCCACCATCTGGACTTCTGCTCGGGCCACCAGCAATCTGTTGCTGGAGTTTTGGGCATGAGTCTGGTGCAAATGAGAGGTACCAGCCCACAAGAGTGGGGTGACCAGTTCTGGCTAGCAAACAAGTCCAATCAACTGCATACGCTTCTGGTCTTAAAGGCCCTTCTAGGGATCTATCTATGTAGAGGGATCCATCTAGGCAGTTCGTATACACCAAGGAAAGTAGCCAACTTGAGGCTTTGCTTTTACTTTCAAGAAAATGGAATGTGGCATTAATACAAGGAAGAGCTGCCTTACGTATCTCCGGTAGTATCGCCTCATAAATCCATTTCTTGTCCTCACGATCACGGCATAGCGCCGTATGCTGTAGGTGGTCTTTTTGCCTGGAGCGATGGCCTGCAAAATCACCTCCACCAGTTTATCGTGAGGAATCGTGTCGTAAGCTCCTGTGACGTCAGCCTGGGAGAGAAAAGGAAGCCGCCCTTTCAGCTCCCAACCGCGTGTTGGAAGTACACCAAGTAAAAGAAGGAATCCGAGGAGGACTTTTGCAATCCAGTGCAGATGTGCTCTGCAGAGACACTGGTTGCGGTAACTTGGCATAGCATGAGTGGCATGCGTAACTCTATGCCTCGATGAGCTTAAATTCTGCAAAGAGGGAGGACTTGGCTTCGGTGGAAGATGGCTGAGGGGCGCGAGTTCAAGGCTGAGGGCCTCAAGGTGGGTTTTCAGGAAATTCTGAAGAACATATAAGCTAGGGGTGAATGGTGGAGGAGCTGCAGAGAAAATTCCAGGAGCCTGAATTGGGGAGGAAGACATGGTGTCTGCCAGAGTATGGCACGGGAAAGTTGTTCCTTGCGGCTGAGAGATCACCAACAAGTTGCTGCTTACATGTTGGAGACAGAGGCCTCTGGCTGGCCCCGTATGTGGCTCCCCAGCCTTCGAGATCTAGGCAGGGCCCCCCCCCCTATGTGAGCCATCCCTTAAGGAGGGGAGAGGGATGGCCGCTAGGAGCAGGGCCTTTTCTGCAGCTGCTCCTCATATCTGGAATGCTCTCCCCAAGAAGATCCGCCTGGTGCCTTCCTTACTTTCTTTTCAGCGCCAGGTGAAATCCTTCCTTTAAAAAAAAATTAATACCTAATTGCCAAAGACCTTTGTTTTGTATGTTTTGTGGCATTTTATTGTTGTTTTTAATGTGTTATTGGATTTATTAAGTTTTTATTGTGCTTTATCCTGTGGGTGGGAGCTGCCCTGAGGTGCCATGGCACAATCGGGCAGCATACAAATGTTTTAAATAAGTATACACGCTAAATCTATGTCGGTCGGTGGGAACCCTGTAAAAATCCTCTTGGGACTACAGATCCCAGCCGTGTTAAAGGAATGCCCAGCCTAGCAGGGTGGCTTCTCTCTGCTTGTTTGGGTCACCAGCTGCCCTGTTCTGCTCTGGGCAATTCTTGAAACCATGTCTGAATTCTATACCAAACTAGGATTCAGCAGCAAACCTAACTTAAGTTGCCTTTTGTTGGAAATCATGGAATGTGTTAACTTTCCCTGAATATACAGTGGCAGTAGGGGTGGAAGAAACAACAACATGGATTGAGGGAAAGGAGAGTGCCAAAACTGCTTCAGGGTTGGTAATACGCCTACAGGATTGTAGGGTTACAGAAGCAAAATTTCCAATGAAAACTGTGCATCTTTACCCAGAAGTTAGCAGCACTGCGTTCAATGGGATTTGATTCCGGATTCACAGGATTGCACTCTTTAAAAAGAAAAATTCTCAGCTCTGCGAAACATTCCTGTTGTGAACCGCCAGCATGGTTTGGCTGCTGGGAGGTATATAAATTAATTAATGGTGATGATTCTGACCAAACATTTCACGTACTTGATTGTTATACCATCCAAAGCTTGCTGGGCAGTTCATCAAAATTACCACCCAAAATGCAACACACTACAACATCTTTAACGTGGGAAGTCTTAAAGCACCAAAGAAGAGCTACTGGGATTCAGAAAAGACATTCAAAGCTTCTGCTGCCAAGCGCCAGGGAGTTAACTTGGGCCAAAGGTTCCCACTGGAGAAAGACAGGCCCGAGTTTCCTGCATACCTTCACAAAGTAGAATCTGGGCATTTCAGGATTCGACGCCAAAACCTTCAAAACAAACTTCTTCCACCGGACGTAAATATCATCTTTCCCAAACACAGAGGAGCCGAGCAAGGCGGGGTTCTTCAGTCGTTCGTAATTAAGAACACTGAACAGGTTCTTCAGCCGGGTGTTGAAGTACTGAACCTGGGGAAAAACGAAAGGATAAAAGTGTGTGCAGCAGGGTATTCTTACACAAATACTTGGGGAAACTCACTTGTCCACTGGAAGAGAAGGTAAGAGGGTTAGGAGCAGGTTTCTCAGCTTCGACTGATTTGCCAGATGTGGGAAGAAAAAGAAGTTACGGGGCCTTCTCCCTTCTTAGCCATAATTACCTGTGCTGGGTGTGGGGAAATGTGCCGTCCAAATACAGCAAGGTGGGTCTCTGAGGTGGCTTCCCAAACAGCTCCTGGTTCCAGCCGAGTTTGCAAGCCACGGCTGATGTGCACCTTTGCTGGGTTCAGACCATACGGCATTTGGCTGGTCAGAGCAGAGTTGGAGAAAGAAGACCCTGCGGCTTTTTTTCTCTCCTGTGTCATGCAAATTTCCAAAAGCATCTCGGAAAAGATGAAATGCAAAGAAGACCCTGCGGCTTTTTTCCCCTCCTGGTCATGCAAATTTGCAAAAGCATCTCGGAGAAGATGAAATGCTTCTGGAAAGGAGGGACCCCTGAAACAGGTGCAGGAACAGGAAAATTTTGCTAGGGAAGGAGGGGAGGAAATGGCACAGAATAGGAGAAGTGCTGGGGCAGAAGAATCAGAAGAATTCTGCTAGAATGATGCTGCTGCTTTCAGATCTTTAGCAGGGGAGAAGATCTGAGAATCCTGGTGGATAACAATTACAACAGGGCTGCACCCTGCTAGGTGGGAAGCCTTGTTCACCTTTCAAAGACTCAATCACCAGTTGCAGGAAGCCAAATCTGCACTAAAGGGATCAGAGGGGGCTGAACGTAGACTGGACCAGTTCCCTTTTGAAGGGCACGGGATCGTGTCCAGTGCATCGTTCCAACCTAGGATGGACCACTGATAATTTCCCTTTTGTCTATCAACCTGGGAACTAACAACACCTCCAGCAGCAGCTATGAAGGTATCACTTTTGATTAAAGGATGTTAGAGAAGAAGGTGAATGACCTGGGGGATCTTGTGGCAGTCTCTTTTTTCCTGTAGGCTGACTGGTTGGCCATGCGGATGGTGGTGACCAGAGGAACCCGTTTCTGGGATGCTGGTCTGACCTTCGGCAACAAAGCATATTCTACTTTGGCAAGAGGTAGGTTGCATCTCACAAGGTTCAGGAAAAATGTGTTTGGTCCAAGCCTGGCGAGCCTGATGGAGAAGACCTCCAACTAAATGTGGGACTGGGGACAAACCCCTGAAGGAAAGTCATGACAATGGGTGGTACAGGAGAAACTGAGGAACTGCAGCCACGTTCAGAAACTCCAGGATAGAAAAGGCACAGAGCATGGAAAATAAACAAGCTTGAAGTTCTTGTCCAGGAAGGTCAACACGACTTGATACCTATGGAGATTTCATCGAAATTTATTCTGACTGAAAATTCTGCATTGAGGAAAACAGTAACATAGGAAAACCAGACAACAAGCATGCAAAGAGGACTGCTGTGATGTCAGGGTGCCTTAAGCAGAACCAGCTTCTGTCCCGAGAAGTAATAGTTCTACTTTATTCTACATGAAGCAGACCTAATCTGGGATACCATCTTCAGTTCTGGGAACTGAATGAGGCTGCAGACAAACTGGAACAGGTTCTCACACAGAGAAACCATTCAGCTCACCAGCTCCCCAAATTCAGGAATTTGAGCTATGAAATAACGAATTAACTCAAGAAGTCAAGAACCTTTTTGTCTCGGCTGGTCTTGCAGAATGTTTCCGCTCCCACCACACTATGCAGCTTCACCACAGGCCTTAGCCCATTTGGTTTGGGGATGAAGCGGAGCTTTGATGCCAAGGGAACACACTTCTTCTGTTGCAGAGTTTTGATCTCCTCCTTCAATAGGACACGAAGGCGTACTTTGGTGAGGTGACTCCTGGAATTGGAGTTCACATTAGTTTTTCCGCTGACTACAAAGCCGACTGCATTATTTCACTTTCCATACAATACCCAGTGCTGAACAAAACAGGTATTAGCTGCCTGGTATCGCCATATTCTTTAATGCGCTATTTAGAATGACTCAATTTATCTTCTACTAGCTAATGGTAAACTGGGAAGGCGCATTTGGATAAGCATCAAGCCATGTTGTTGCGGGTGAATGTGGGGGGTGGGGGGAGGGACGGAAAGATGTCTGCACTCTCACTGGGTCAAACAAACACTGCGCATCAGTACTAAAGCAGTATATGATATAAGCAAAGAATCCCACACTTCTTTCCAACATTAGCATTTTTTTTAATACTGCTCATAGCCAAAGCTCTCGAGGCAGTTGACAGCAACAATCACAGAATCATACACTCAAGTCACTCATCCCACTTCTGCCCAGGCCTGACCCTGCTTAGCTTCCAAGATTAGGCAGGATCAGGCACTGCCACAGTGTCTCCGCAGACCATATTAAGACAGTATGTAGAATATTAATCCTGCTGTTCAGCTATAAAATGACGGAAGCCAAGCTCATTAGAAAGCAGCTGGGGCTGGATTCTGCGGGAACGTTGGCACGAGTGCAAACCTGGCCCGATCAGGAACTCCCAATGCATCGAGGAGCTTGACTTGCATCCTCTGGTTCGAACAGGGCGTCCCTTCTGACGTGCACAAAGAGGTGGAGGGGCACGGCCTCGCCATCCCTTGCACACATTCTTTCTGCATGTGACATCGGAGTAGCACCCCCCTCCCCGGGCAATCTCCAAATTTCTGAAAGCAACATTTCATTTAGAAAGAATTACCTGATGCAGGCAAAAATTTAACGGGACTACTCGAAAGTATTTTCCATTTAAGAATGAAAGCTGATTAGCACAGCCCTATCAGCCAAAACTGAAGCATAGGAACGCCTTAAATTTTCATTTCAAAACGGCAGTTGTGTGCCGAGCTGTAGCTATGTGAATTTCTCAATTTTGTCATTCCCATGACTGGGAATTCACTGTAAAGGTCTAAGAGCTACGCAGGCCCGGAATATGGTAATGCATTTATTATACATATTAACAGTATCATCTATTACAGTAAATGAAGATGCACATCTGTTTTGTCACCTGAAACTTAGTATGCATACAGAGGGAATCCAAGGGTTGAGCACCTCAGCACGTCAGGGTTTCTAAAATGCATTAATTGGTTTTAATTAATTTAAATGTGTCTCTGTGTTTGAAGGTTGCAATCATTAGGTTGCACCTCTAACCGTTCCCGGGAGGTTGTTGTGAGGTTCAGATTGAGAGGAGAATTATGTAAACTGCCTAGAGTACCTTGAAAGGTAAAAAGGTGGGATATAAATTTATTAAATAAATACAATATAGGGGTGGACTAATGCAGGACCTGCGCCCAGGTGTGGCAGCAGGTGTGACTGTACTCACACAAGGTGGGTACAATTTGTCCCCCCTGGACAGGTGCATTGCTTTGCTCGAGGGCTTTGCTGTATCAAGGGAAGGGGACTGCAATTCGTGCAACGCAGCTTGTCTTTAGCAATACTCAGTAGTAAACAAATGCACCTATGGGCACGATCCTATGGACGTTTAGGCAGAAGGAAGTCCTACAATTCCGAGCATTCGCCAGCCACCCAGCCAAAGCACCACTGTGGCCCTCAGTCTCCACTCTCCAACCGTTTCTGCATGCACAGACCTCGCAGTTACCAAAAGTGGCTGGACGACTCAAGCCATTTTTTCACCTATTTCAAGTACCTTGGCTTTATCGTCTTGTTGCTGACAGGCAGACAAACATCCTGGTTGACTATTATAGATTATTCGGTTATTATGCCAAATCAATTAACACCATGTTCCTGGGCCCAAATATTTCCTAGAGTCCTAGACCTTTACAATTAATTACTACTCAAAATTGAACATGTAGCAGTTTAAGGAGAAATTACACACACCTGCAGCGGAATACAGAGAGAATTCTGAAAAGCAAATCTCAGCATGTATGATGTTTCAGTGCTGGCAGATTTGGGATACTAATCAGCTATCCTTTTTGGATAGGAAATGCATTCAAATATTTGTCAAAGTTTTGCCTGCATTCAGTGTTTTTCTCCCCATATCTTTCCTAGACTAGAGCCGAATTCTGTTGCTTCCAGATTTCCCATTGCTGATATTCATCTGGTCCCTCTCCTGAAAGAGGCACAGAAGATTGTGCTAATGGAATATAGATCTTTCTCTATGCAGGATGTGACCCACACGCCTTCTAAGTACACATACCTGACCCCAAGGCTCTGCAACTTGCTCCATATACTCTTTCGAAAGAAAAAAAGCAAGTTCTTCTGAAACATGGTCTCTGTGATATAGAAAAAAGATCGCAAGAGTTCTGCAATGTAGGATTCCATCAGCCAGTAAAGGAATTTGGAGAGCAGACCTCGCCGAAAACTGTGTTCAGACGCGGGAACAAAATGGCCACGTTCTATAAGCAGAATTCAAGTTCAATGAGATCGCTCGTTGGGTAACAGTTGAGCTTTCAAAGAGATTTTAGTTGAGAAACATCTATTCTGGTTAGCCATGCGTGAGGAATCTGGTGTGGGAACGGGCATTCATGGGGTTTTCTTAGTTTCGTTTCCCAAACTCTGGCCCAGTCTTTCTCTGCCTTAAACCCGACTGGCAGCGCATGTTCGTGCAGGCATCTGGCAAGTCCAGCTGTGCAAGCCCGTTGCACAAGCCAGGATCTACTTCTGCAGTGTGGCTTGTGGGCCTTCAGTATTAGCAGAATAAATGCAAGCAAAGAAGGGGCTGCTGATATTCCTGAATGTTTGCGAACTTGATCTTGGCTTGGCGTGCTTTCCAGGCTAGGGCTGAGCACAGAAAGAAGTCCAGCGAGCCTGGGAAAGCCAGCCTCTGGGATCTTTGCACCACCAATTCCAGCTACTTCCATGACCAAGATAAAGGCTGCAAACCTATAAAGCTGAGCACGCCTGCGTGTGAGAGAAAAGCACGCCCGTCTGTGCAGAAGCGAGGACAAAACAGCCACACTCTGCAAGCAGAATTCAAGTCTGAGGCTGTGAGAAACGGAGAATCAACCATGCACAGGAATGCCCACTTCTTCAGCCTGGTACGGCAAGATCTGGAAGGGTGGTCTGCTGGAATGGCCTTCCTCAACGGCCAAGGCACCATTAGTGTCTCTCAGTGGTAGGCTAATACATTGCTTGTGGACAAGTAGCTTAAGAATGTTAGGCAAAACCCTGCTGGACCGGACCAAAGGTCCATTCAGTCCAGCACCACACGTGGTGGCAAAGCAGCTGCCCAGGGATCCCTCAAGCAGGATGGGTGCAAGACCCCCTCGGCAACCGGTCTTTGCTGGCATGCCACCTCTGGTAAGGAGGCAGCACACGGCCAGCGAGGCTAGCAGCTATGATAACCCTCCTTCCATGAATTCGTGCAATCCCTCTTTTTCCAAAGCCCCAATGCAAAGAGCTCCGAACCCAACTTTCGCAGACGTCTTTGCAAGGCCGACTGACGTGTCTGCTTGGGAATGCCGAAATTCTAGCACCCTTACCTTTGCTCAGGCGAAGCCAAGCGCAACTGTTCACCTTCATCTTCCACATCAACTCCTGCAAAGAAAACGAGCCAAACTTCCCCAGGGAGATGAATTTTTTCATGTTTCTGTAGAACCGGCACTTGTTGTGGTCACAACCCCAGAGCGCAGCCGGTATCACTCTCTCCAGGCATTCCCTCACAAAAGTGTACACTTGCCAGTGACTGCTGTGTTGCTTAAGGAACGCTGTCAGGTCAGAACTGGAGGCTCCCTGGGGAACGTGCAACTCCGATTCTTTGCGACTCGGCTCCCCTTTTCCAGAGCTCCCACCTGGAACTCCTGGGAAGGTGTTCAAGTCAGCTGGGACCGACCTGGGACCATTTTCGGCGATGTCCACCTGCAGTGTGGTGAACAAACTCTCCTCCTGATGGCCTTTTTGTGGTCCTTTGCCTGTCTCAGCTACCTGGATGGGACAATTCTTTCTCAACACTGCCAGGTAAGGGCACCTGGCATGGTTCTGCAGCAGCTCCTGGAATACATTCCGCATCTGCCAGTAACGTTTTGGAAGCCTCTTCCTCCTCTCTTGGCAGCTTGGGAGTTTTGACCTGCCCAGCGGTTCTGAGAATTTACCGCTGAAGAATATTGTTTCTACTAGTCGCCGTCCGCCCGACAGAGAACCCTTTAAGCGATTTAGTATGAAAGATTTCGGTAAACATTCCTTCAAATGCTGGCAAGAGTACAAGAGGGAGCACCTCTCAATTTGCATAGCAGGAAGAGAAGATGCACGGGAGGACTTTGGTGACCTGGTTTCAGGAATGTCCCTTCCCACAGCGGTGGTTTCCTTCGCTAGCTGCTGTGCTGAACGAGCGCCAGAATTTCCGGGTTTCACCTTTGCCAGCCTGGAGTTGGGCCTTGTTCTGGTGTGAGGTCCAGCATAGCGTGTTCGGTTCTCCTGCTCTTGCTCTAAGCCTTTACTGCTCGCCGGAAACATTTGATTTTCTTGAGCTGTGCCAGATACAACCGAGTTCTGTGCTCCACATTCCCCTCTCGGAGGGACAGGCTTCACCAGAGTAAACCCTTCCTCAGGCAGCGACCTTGCATTTCCTTCAGATGTGTTAACTCCAACGCCATCAACAGCAAGCATCAACTGAGTTTTGCTTCCAACGGGAACTGGGTTGCTCATCCCATTTTCCCGCTCCTTCTCCGCTTGCATGATTTTCATTCTCTTGGAGCTGATCTCACACTGTCCCCCCCATTTCCTTTTACGCAAAGGTGTGGTTAAAGAGAGACACAGACTGGCTCTTTGCTGGCCCTCTAGCTGGTCACTGGCATTAGGAATGGGTTTGTTTGTTTTAGGGGTTTGCCCAGCATCTCCCCAAACCATTAACGACCGGCGAGAGCCGAATCCTGAAACGTCTCGCACTTTGCTCCTGCTCTGTCTTCTGGATTTTGCTCTTTTTAGGTGTCGCCTGCCAAAGAAACCCCCTTGCAGATAACCTGATAAGATGCTCCGCTTCTGGCCAGGACATTTCAACCTGAAGAACTCTGGAAGGGGGGCTGTATTCTGCAAAGGGAGTTCGTAAAAGGGCTGCCCACAGATCTGGTAACAGCAGCTTGGGGGAACAAGCACGAAAAGAGCGCAGTGCTCCAGCAGATACATCATAACGTCATCGCCAACTCTGCTCAGGATTATTTCCCAGAGCACGCTTTGGCGAATGGTTTCCGTTGTGTTATTGGGCATGTAGTTGTAGACATTTGGCATGCAGGGCTGCTGGTGAATATTATCGTTCATCAGGGCATAGCCGAACGCCAGAACGTTCTTCTTCTTCTTTTCACAAATTCTCTGAATGACTCTGGCCACGACGTCGCTCTGGCTGGAGATCTGGAAAAGAACCGAAGAGGCGTTCACGTTTCCTGTGCTCGAGCGAGCTACGGAACGGGTGGCTTGCCTGTTCGCACTCTGCAAAAGAAGCATCCTTCTCTTATATCAACAAAGACCTCAAAGAACCTGCCATTCTGGCAAGTTCCACATGCTCTCCTTTTAAGGCGAAAGGGAGGAAGAAGCCACCTGGCATGCAAATGGGTGTTGGATGGAAAATCCTGCATTCCTTACACTCTGTGATGGAGAGAAGGCGCAGAATGACTTCCTCCAGCTGCAACAGGGCTTGCCACCACTGGAAGCAGGACAGCAGCTCGCGATTAAGACCCCTTAGCAATTGCTTTCCAATAAAACATTATGTAGAAAGGAAAGCTTCTTCACATTATGGGTTTGCCAAAGGCCTAGTAAAACTGCAGATGCCAGATAAGTTATTGACTCAGTATGAGGAAGGCTGTGGCCAGCTGTTTTCATGCACACACTGGACACGCATGTGCACACATGTACAGAGTGAAGACCAGGCCCATGGTACCTGCTTGTGTCCCGCTAAAGGGGGCAACAGACCCCACACATGTAACTTGCCGGCAGGGCACCTCTGCTCATACTTTTGGCTGGTTTTTGGAGGTCAGACCCCACTGCTTCCTGCAGGGGAATTACCCCTTGCGAGCTTTTGAACTTTTCTTTGATTTCATACATTTAAATGGTGCTTAGCAGCCGCACATGGCGGTCTCTTGTGTTTTACTGCTGGGGAGAGCAATTCTGGACGGCCCTCGGAGCATCTTGAAGCTCATGGGCTTTTTGGTATTTGAGGGGCTTGGCCGGCAGAGACCAGCCCGGCCAAGAAGGGCCCCGGCCAGGTCTTGACCCCGTCTCCTTCCGGCAACGGCCTGCCTCGTTTCTCCGCGGAGCATGGACGCCGCCGAGCCCTCCCGTGCAGGGACACCCGCTTCGTCCTCAGGTCGGGGGGTCTAATCGCGTTCCTTGCTGCACGGTTCACGACCGCACACGGCCCTGCGCGTGCAGCTGCCAGCGCGGATCAATCTGGGAAGCCTCAGAGATGCCACAAGACTCCTCGCGGCACAGGCACCGGCACCGGCACCGGCACCGCCGGCTCGCATCCCGACGCTGCAGGCGTGCAAGCGCGCCGGCCTGTTGCACGCAGGCGCCCGCGGGCCCCGGGCCAAGCCTGGACGCGCCCGCAGAGGACGTCGGCGAGGCCCGCGGCCAGGAGAGGGGCTCGCCCCGCGGCCGTGCAAGCTCCGCGCCCCGGGCAGGGCCGGGCCAGCCTCCGAGGCCAGGCGCGGCGGGTCGGGGAGCCCGCGCGCAAGAGCGACCCACCTGCTGGAAGACGACGCGCGGCGGCAGCGCCTTGCACCCGGCCGGCCGCGCCACCAGGCAGCGCTCCACCAGGCCGCGGTAGCACGCGGGGTCCCCCGCCTGCAGCAGCGGCTCCGGCGCGCCCCCGCCCGCCGCGCGCCCCTGCAGGCGCCGAACGAAGCCGTCCAGCCGCAGCACCTCGGCGT